AAAGACAAGAAAATCTGATTACTTGTGTTGAAAGTTTCTGTATTTCGTCTTCTTCCAAACACAGCGTTCAGATGCAGAAGAAAATGCAGCCGTAATGACGCAAAAAGACACTAAAATAAATTGGAGAATTTCTGAAAGTTTTTACTGAGCTTTGTTATTGAACCCGAATTTGTTGCTGAGTGACAGGATATTAAATCTACGACATTCATGAGTAATTGTTATCAATTTGTCAATAAATTATGTTGAAGATGGTTTAAATGTCTTCGAAGGCATGAAATTAGATCCTAAATCTGTTTGAGTTAATAAAAGAGAACAAATGTTGAAAGAGTTGTCATATTGCCTACAAAATTTTCAAACATTTGCATTGAGACAATGTGAAAAAATGATGTCCAAAATACCTTTACTAAAATATTTTTAATTTGAATCATAACAAGGAAAAACAATAATGGCAGAATAAGAAAAAAAAACAAAGATGTTATGATTTGAACAGTTGCCTTTTAGATTCAAAAAGAGCATAGTGTTCACAACCACTACACTACCTTCCTTTCTGATAAAAAGCTGAATAATTAGTATTTAATGAATTCTCCAACTTGGGGATTTGCGGCTTTTCCAAAATCTGTTATGATAGTTCTATATAGCAATTGATATATAATATGTTTTTTATAATCAAATAATTTTTTAGTCCAGATAAATTTTTTAAAATTTCAAAGTCTTTCCATTCTACTAACGCTCTTCACATCCATATTCTTTACCATATATGTAATATAACGCCTTATTTTAATTCCCATGTTTACGATTTATTTGTCGAAAAACTGTCTTGCCCATTAACATCTCGCGAAAATTTTCGACTTTTTGAATGGCCGTTTTCAAGATCTCAAAAACTGGGGGATATTTTTTACAAAGCTAATCGACATTTATTTACCACATATATGTACTATACAATGCACCTGGTTTCATCGAATTTTTACCGTCAGTTTTCTCGTGAGACTACCTTTGTTAATCGCTTTAATTTAAATCAAATTGCTACAGTGTTACCAAGTATGAATAATAATAAGACCACCGATGTCAAAAAGGCATAATAAAAATCGAAATAACACATCTCGAAATAGCCAACATAGAATTTTTTACCACTCTTTATTTTTATTCATTTTTTAATGTATTTTCGTATACATTGTTAACTGGAGAAAAATGCTAAAATCTGGCAAAGTTATTGCAAATCGAAGGGAAAGAATTGCTTTTAAATAATATTAGGTACCAGAAATTAATATACCCCTCAAGGTAATTGCAATAATGGTTCAAATATTTCTATAGTTCCAAATACATTCAAATAAAATTGTAATCTTAATTTTAAAATCCAAATTGATAATATCATCACAGAGTATACATAAGTGTAGTTTTTTTTGTATCTATTTACTTGTTATCGTTTAAATATCATCATAAAATCTTAATTATAAACTATTTTGAAAATTGGTATGAAACCAATATTTTTATAAGAAGTACTGATATTTAATACATTCTAGCTTTTAAAATTTGATATTATCATATCATTCTTCGACTTTTATTGACTTTTTACACATTAAACGATGTAAACATGATTTTGTTTCAATTTTATTACATATCATTTTTCTAAATTATTTGCAAAATCATTTTTTCTAGCTGAAAAATGTATTTTTTAATTTCATCTTTGTTTTTTCGGATTTTTTTTGGAATTAAGAAGTGTGTAGCAGCGGAGCAGTGCCAATATAAAAGTCTTACATACCTTAAGAGATATGGCATTCCAAACGGGAACCGCGGTTGGTTACCATGGATTTCCGTCACCGGTCACATTTTAAAGATTTTTAAAGCCTTATAAAAATATGCTTTGTAAATCATTTTTTGTAAATCGGCAAAAATTTGGTAATTTTCTTCAACTAATAAATCTGCGAATAGCATTTATAATACAAGAACAATCTTTTAAAATGCGTTTGATTCATTTTTGTATAATTTCATATAGGCACATATATTCTTCCGGGACTTTCCGTGATTTTACCGTAAAATCATTAGTTTACACCAATTTTTCCGTATTTTGAATAGTTTACTGCACTTTTTCCGTAAAATTGAGTTACGGGAATCCGCAAAATTTCCGGACCTCATTTTTCATAGAATATAATAATAATATTTGATAAAAAGATATATTATTTATATTTTTGATTTTTGAATTACGGAAAAAGTGAATTGTTAACTTGATTTTTTTATATGGTTAATTTTTCAAATGATATTATGAAGATCTAAAATATTAAAAGTAAAAAATTGAATTACGGAAAAAGTGAGGTCAAAAGTGAAATAAATTTGCAGAACAATTTTCATTGAAATAAGACATTGAGTATCACACTTTAGTGAATCAACATCTATAAGAATGAAGTGTTTTGAAGCTGAAATAATATTGAATAGAAATTAATTTTTTCTGAAATTTTGAATGAAATTATAGGAAATAAAAAAATTACTAAATATTGTATTCATACAAATATATTATTTTAAAGGAAAAATAGATGCTGATAGAAACGATGAAAAATTTTGAAAACTTTACAATTAATTTATGTTCGTTAACCACAGAGCTTGCAATCCAAAGCTCACGTTAGACTACAAGAGTCATGAAGTCTCATACTAAGGGATATCCAACATATATTTTAATAATCTAATGTTTGTGACAAATATTCAACATAAAATTAAGTTTTCGTTTCGTTACAAGGCATTCATACTTTGGAGATATCATATTTAATGTACAGAAAAGTTAATATTAAACAATACATGCTAAAGAATTAATAAATAAGATAATAAAATAAATTTATACGTAATTACTTTCATTTAATATGCTTTATGCTGTATAATATTGATTAAGAGGCATTAAAAGGTTCCATAGTCTGCTTTTATAGGCAAGATTTTTGATAAAAATTTTAAATTTTGAAAAATGATGAGAAAAGGAAAAAAAAGGTAAATGAGAGCAAGAGGAGGGAAAAAAAAGAAAAAGAAAAGAAAGGGAAGGGAAAAATAAAAGAAAGAAGGACATATAAAAATTTAGATGCGCATTCTTAATGCCGAGGCGGCTTGCCGCCGAGGCGCGATTTTTTTAGGCCTCTACGGTAACCCGGCAATGTTTTTTTAAATCTTGTACAGCCCTATTAAGAGATGATGAATATGATAAGAATTTTCAGAATTTATTTTCAATAACAAATATAGACTTAAATAGAAGGTATTTCGAATAAAATTGAAGCTGATTATGAACATGTGCGGTCAAAAATGTAAAATATTATAATAAATAGTGTATAAATGATGTATTTAGTCTAAATTTAAGGGATCACTGCCTTAGTTTACAACTATTCAATTTTTAACATTTGCTTTAAAAATGGTATAACAACAAAGAATTAGCGACCAATATTATGAAATATATAATCAATGATACAATACTATCTTATGTGCAAATTTTCGAAAAAAGTATTCAAATATCTAATGTGGTGAAGCGCAGAAAGTCCTCTAGATTTGGGTTGTTGACTTTTTTCAATAATGAAGATATAGACTCTTAATCATATTTAAACATATTATTTCAATAAAAAATGAACATCGGATGGACCAATTTTGAGAAATCTTGATCAGCGGGCCCTCAGTGAAAACTCCAATGTTTAAGGTTTTGATCAAATCTCTTCTTTTTGATATCTGAAACGACAAATAGGTAGATAATGGTATGGACATGTTATGGTCATGCTTATGCAGAATGATATCTATTCTATCAAGAGAAAATAGACTTCGAAGTGTCGAAAATTGAATAGTTGTAAACTAAAGCGGTGATCCCTTAAGAACAAAATCTAATTGATTACTAATTAGTAATTAATTTTGATAGAGTAAAACGAGATTTTAGATAAGTTTGTTTGTATTAACAGCGATAGGGAGCTTCAACAGATTACCTTTTTGGTAATTTTTTACTTTATTTTGGCTTCGCGTTAATGGTTTACGTATTGTATGCAAGCGTATTGATTCTATTCTTTAGTTAAATCATTTCTTGGATTATATGGAGAAATCCATTCCCAAAATTTGATGCTAAATCATAATTTTTTTTTACTTGTTTTAACTTAAACAACACATGTCCTATATGTAAAAATTGCATCGTATGGTAGAACTTGTTTGAACAGTAAAAATTCAATAACTTTGAATAAATTATTCGAAAGTATCGAGGTATTGCTAGCTTTGCGTAGTTACTGTTAATACATTTCCAGTTTCCTACAAATAAAACCGGTTAATCATTTTAGATTTCCTAATTTTCGCAATAAAAGATTTGATTGTTCTTTACATCGCATTTGATTGCATTTTAAACACGACATGCTTTCGTACAATCGGTAACTAGCGATTATCTTTAAAAATTGTTCGAATATATTGTAGATTGAACTAAAGTTAAAATTATTTAACAACAAGATTCAATTTTTCAACAATAATCCAATAGCCATCCAATGGTAAATAGGATTATGTAATAAGAATGTCAAACTAAGATTTTTTTAAATGCGAATATAAAAAGATCGTATTAGGTTTGACTTGAGTTATTTGACTTGCGTCGTTTGAGTGATATTCATTTACGCTCGACAATTAATATCAAAACTATGTCCAGCAATGCGAGAGACTATTTTAAAAATGAAACAAATTATTTTTAAAAACACCATATATGCACTATTAGAACTATGTATTTTAGAGTTGTGAGCTATTAATTTAAAAATTCTCAAAATTTTTTTTATTGCGATTTCAAGGATATGGACATAAAAAAATGCTGAAACAATGAAAAGAAAAAAATAGTTGCCCAATGGAAAAAATCGAACCAAAAAGAATCTCCGGTTCATATTTTTTGAATAAAATAAAATATTTAAATTCCGAATAGCTCTATCAACAGCTCAACTTCTCAGTTTTGTCAAGTGGACAACCTTCAAAAGATAATTTTATGTAAAGTTTATACAATTGAAAAAAATTATATTTTTAAAATTATGCCGATTCCAATCGAAGAGTTAGCTACACAGATTCTCAAGTCTACCACAGAGTGCGGTGGTAAAGTTGAAGAAGCATCTGTGCAATTAACTTCTCTATTTTTCGGTAACAAGCTTATTGAAAAACTTGTCGAAAATCAAAACTGGAATAAAGAAGTTTTAGAACTTAATTCAGGTATATTTGCAGAACTTTTTGCCAGCTATGCAGCAGTTTTTGGTCTACCCATCAACAGCAGTGATACAGAGCAATCACTTCAAATCGTTAGCTCATGCTCGGCTATTGTTCTATACTATCACATTTTATCAACATCGTTAGATGATCTTAATTACTTTATTGGTGATATGAACCGCCTTTTAACAGATTATTTCACTCATAAAATCAACGATGACGATGTTTTAAAGGGAATTCAAAAAGTAATTGATTTTACGGAACATGTTTTTCATATTAATCAGTTCGCGGATCTCGAAATTTCTCTCTTACCAGCAGAATTATCAATTGAAAAGACTTCCGATAAATTTACAGAGGTTCTCGACTCAATTCAGAACTTGTGCCAACTTTGCAGCACGGTTTGCTCCACATTTAAGAACGATCCTCAAAGAGTCAAAGATTTACAATTGGAATACGAAAAAGATTTCACACGTACATCAGAGAACATTCCAAAGTTCGCTCAGTTATATCGCGACCTTGCCGAAGCCGTTAAGGCTCAGTTTTTATCTCTTTTCGAAGAGCCAGAATTTGCTGAATTCGCTGAATACATGAAGAATGTCCTCACAGTTCTCTCAGGAATCTTATTTGTTTCCATCCTTACAACTGAATATACACCAGAATCTTTCTCAACAGTTCAGAAAGTTTTAGATGAGCTTCTCATCCGTTTCAACACAATTACAGCCAAGATGACAAGCTTAATGCGCTTCAGAGGAAAGTTCAACGAGGATATCGATGAATGCAAGAGAACTTCCCAAGAAATTAATTTAATTCTCAACCCACTTCAAGCTTCTCTTGTCTCTTCCATCCAGCAGATTCCGCAGCCATACAACTACATCTCAGGAATGAGATTGACAGAATACTTCGGCCAACTTGCACAGTTATTGACAGCATTCGATACAAATCTCAACCACGCAGCAGAAGCCATCCAACGCGACAGAAGATTCCCACTTTTGGGTGCTTTCACAAACAAATTGGAGGCAGAATTAACACAAAAAGCAATTCCATTCATCAAGGATACAATTTCACTCGTTTGGAACTTGCTTAACATTCAGAAACCAATTGATGATATTCTTGGAGATATCCCAAAGGTTTCTGATCATTGCAATCAATTCATGAACGAAATTACAGAGACAATCAACAATTCTAAGGACGACGACTCTCAAATCCGCTACGCCAAACAACGTTCGAACATCTACTACGCATACACAACCTTTACAGAGGCTTACCAGACCCTTCAAACCATGAAAGATAATTCATGCCTCAGAGCAAACCTTGCAATCACAAGTGCCAGTCTTCTACTTGCTCTTTGCTCTTTGGATAATGATCCTTTCATCATTGAAGCCCTTGAAACCCTCCGCCAAGGTCTTGCCATCAAGAATGGCATTCTTTACCAAGAAGAAAAGGCTATGATCGTTCAACTCCTTACTCTCGTTACACAGCTTATTCCTCAAACAGAGGTTTTCGCTGTTTTCGTTGTCCAAATCTGTATGAAGATTATTATTGACTGCGAATCCAAGATCCCAACCAATGTCAACCACGAATTACCAAAGACAGTCATCCCATGTCTCGAACAGAACTACAATATCAGTATTGCCCTTAATGCAATCGCAGCTGTTGTTCCAAAGAACGATCAGACACAGGCAATCATCAAATTGCTCGAGACATATGCATTCATCTTCTCACAGTTCTCTCTAAGCTACAGAATTGCTTCACAAATCCACTTCATCCAAGAAGCCGCAATCTTTGTCAGAACAATGAAGCCATTCGATGCCTATTTCGCAGCAGGAGGAGGCGAATTCGAAGAACTCCGTGCAAACACAAACGAAGCCATGCAAATCCTCCAGAATTTCATTGATACACCACCACCAGCCGGTGTTTACGATCGATTGTACTTAATCAACTTGTTCCAAGCTGTACAAGCCGGCTACAAACAAGTTGTTCCACTTTTCCGTGCTGCACAGAAACTTCTTGACAGTGCAAATGATATTGCAAACGTCAAGAACGAAATTGCCCGTTTGACAGCATCAATCAAAGGCATTTTACGTCTTTCCCAATACATCACATTTGTTTACGCACAAGTCAAGTTCGAAGTTACAGCACTTATCTCTGTAATCATCAGACACATCTTCAATATCATTGTTCAGTATCTCCAGCAGATATTACAAGATCCTTCCAAGTACTACATTCTCTTGTATTTCATCATCATCAGATTGTTCTTCATCGCTGAGTTACTTGAAGGATTCCCTGCTCTCAAGAACATCGCAGAATCAATCCGTGCAAACGCAGACATCCTTGAGAACTGCGCTGCAAAGATTTCTCTTGGTGATAACACAGCAAATGATGAACTCACATACTGTGTTAAGAACATCGATGAAATCTACCAAGAAGTCATTCCAATCTGCGATTCCCTTGACCAGGCAATTCTCGCATCAAATGGTAATGCAAACCAGGCAAACGCTGCTACAGAACAAATCGAAGTCGAGACACCAAATGTCACGATGACAAGAGAAGTTCCAGAGAACGCAATGACAAAGGCTGAACGCCAAGTTGTTCAGCAAGCCATCGAAAAGGGTGGTAAAGAGACAATGGCTCATATCAGAAAGAACTCAATCGAACCAACAAAGATTCCTGCAACCCTTAAGGGCCAGGATATCGCAACAGCTGCACAAGTTGGTGAAAAGGCTGAACCATCAGTCTCCATTTACCAGCAGAGAAAGGATCTTTCTCAAGAGCAGAACAACTTCATCCAGGAAAGAGTCAGAAAGGCAAAGACAGAAGATTTCAAGGATGAAGTCGCTGGTTCAACACTTGAAGTTCTCGAAGGCTCCAAACTCCGTGAGAAAGCAAGCGAAAATCTCACAAAGGGACAAGCAGAATACCTCACAAGAACAGCTGCTGATGCTGCAGGTGAAATCCTTGCAGAACAACATTCAGCTGCTGTTACAGGTATTTCGCCAATCGAAAACAGCAAGAAGATGGCACAACAACTCGGTTTCAAGGAAGAACAATACGATTACATCTCAGATCTTGTCAGAAACCATGTCACAAAGGATACACCAGAAGAAAGACAAGCTGAGATCGATCGCGTTTGTGCACAAGCTCTTGCTGAAGGAAAGATCGAACCAGAACAAGTTGCTGTCCTCCAGAACATCTTGAGAGCTGCTGATGCTCAGAATGAAGCATCCAACTTCGTCAACAGCATCACAGATGAGGAACTTGCTCAACAAGGATTCACACCAGATGAATACGACGCAATTCGTGACATCATCATCGATCTCGACATCGATTCTCCAGAAGCGAAGAAGCACATCAAGAATGACAAACAGAGAGAATATGTCCAGAAGAAGATGGATGAACTCGAACAGCGCGAACAAGCAATCATCGAAGCTCTCACACCACTCAACAAGCAGATCATCAAGAGAAAATCATCCAAGCTTGCAGAGCGTGGTGTTACAGAAGAAAAAGAAGAGAATGTCAATGAAATCATCGAAGAAGTCGCTAAGGAAGTTGCTAAGGAACAAGCAAGAATTGCAACACATGCAGACAAAGATTTCGCAGCTCACGATCTTCGCAAGGAAACTCGTGTCGAAATCGCAGAAGCAGGTGCAACAAAGAAGCCAAAGAAAGGTGCAACACTCACAACAACGTCCGAAGAAAAGGAGACACCAGTCGATATCGCAAAGGATGTCAGATCTCTCCAACAAGGAATCATCTCTGCTCAACAAACAGTTGCTCAACAGCAACAGCAGCAACAACAAACATCAGCCTTCAAGGAAGCTGCCGGTGTCCAAGAAATCAACAACGCTCCACAGCAACAAGTTCAGCAACAACAAGACGAAGAAGAAGTTGTTAACAACGCTGATTACATTGATGAGGATTATGAGCAGACAAAGAACATTCCTCTTGCTTTACCTGACGAATCAATGTCTAACGCAGACAAGGAGAAAGTCAAGCAAGCAAAGAAGAAGAAACACGGCAAGCATAAGATCGAAGAAATCGAGAAAGCTCACGTCAATCCACATTACATCCCAGCAACACTTGGCGGTCAAGATATCTCCGAAGCTGCTCAAATTGGTGAAAGATCAGCTCCAACAGTCAACAACTCTTACACATCAGTTGAATCCCTCAACGACAAACAAAACGATTTCGTTGCTGATCGTGTTAAGAAGGCCAATACAAATGACTTCCAGCACGAAGTTGCAGGTTCAACACTTGATGTCATTGAGAAGTCAAATCTCCGTGAACAAGCAGCAGAAAATCTTGGCAAGGAAGAATCAGATATCGTTACACACGCAATTGCTCAAGCTGCTGGTGATATCCTCAATGAAGAACATTCTGCAGCTGTTACTGGTGTTTCTGCTGTTGATAACTCTCATGAAATCACAGCAGCAATCGGATTCGATGACGATCAACATGATTTCGTTGTCGAATTACTCAACAATCACAAGACAAATCCAGACAAATCAAAACGCAAAGCTGAGAACGAACAGACAGTTAAAGACGCTGTCAAGTCTGGAAAGATCACAAAGAGACAAGGAAAGACATTACTTTCCTTACTCAACGCTGCTGATGCACAGAATGACATCAATGACTTCTTGAGCAAAGAAGTTTCTGATGAAGAACTTGCCAAACAAGTCTTCTTACCATCAGAATTCGATGCCGTTAGAAAACTCATCGCAGAACACGATGCCGATTCCGATGAAGCCAAGAAGCACATCAAGAACGAGAAGCAGAAGAAGTTCGTTGAAGAAAAGATCGCTGAACATAAGAAGCTTGAAGAAGCTCTTATCGAAGTTCTTGCTCCAATCAACGAACTCATTATTGGCAACAAGATCCAAGATGTTGTCGAAGAGAACATTCCAGAAGAGAAATACGACAGTATTGTTGAAATCGTCGAAGATGTTGCTAAGGACGTTGCCAAGGAGCAATGCAGGATTGCTTCTGAAGCAAACATCGATTTCAGCTCTCAAAAGATCACTCCAGAACAACGTAAGGAAGTCTTCGATGAAAACAAGGACAAGAAGAAGCATAAGAAGCATCACAAGCACCACAAGCATTCAAAGGGTGAAGAAAAGCCAATCGCTGCTCCAGCAATTCCAGATTCCGCTTTATCTGCTCAAGAGAAGGCTCAAATCCAACAGGTTTTGCAGAGAAAGAGGAAAGGAAAGATCGAAGAAATGAAGAACAACAACGTCGATCCATACAATGTTCCAGCATCAATGGGTGGACAAGACATCTCATTGTCTGCTCAAGTTGGTGAACGTTCTTCACCATCTGTTGCTGCTACATACACTCCTTTGGACGAACTCAACCGCGAACAGAACAAGTTCGTCGCAGATCGTGTCAAATACGCAAATTCACCAGAATTCAAGGACAAAGTTGCTGATTCAACACTCAATGTTCTCGAAGATTCTAAGCTTCGTGAGAAGGCATCAGCAGAACTTCCTAAGTCTCAAGCTGAACAGTTCATCAGAGCTGTTGCTGAAGCTGCAGGAGATATCATTGCTGAACAACATTCCGGTGCTGTTACAGGTGTTTCTCCAGCAGAGAATTCTCGTGAAATCACAGCTGCTCTTGGATTTGATGATGATCAACATCAATTCGTCCAAGAAACACTTGCAAACCATCGTACAAAGAGAGATCTCAAGCTCAGAAAGAAGTGCATTGATGACACAGTCAACAATGCAATCAATGAAGGAAGAATCACAGAGAAACAAGGCAAAGTCCTTAGAGCATTACTTGAAGCAGAAGATGCTCAACATGATTGCAACGAGTTCGTCCAAGACATCACAAACGAAGAACTCGCAAAGCGTGGCTTCAAGCCAGAAGAGTTCGATGCTGTTCGCAGAATGATCATCAACCACGATACAGAGTCTGAAGAAGCACAGAAGATCCTCAACAACGATCCAAGAAAGAAGATGTTCGTTGAAGACAAAATCGATCAGCTCAAGAAGCTTGAGGAGAAGGTCGTCGAAGCCCTTCTTCCAATCAACAAGGCTATCATTGAGCACAATGCCGAAGCAGAACTCGAAAGACTTCCTCAGAACAAGAGAGAAGAACTCGAAAAGATCATCGAAGATGTCGCTAAAGAAGTTTCCAAGGAACAATGCCGTGTTGCAGCCAATGCAGAAATTGACTTCGCACATCAAAAGATTCCAAAGCAGTCTCGTCTCGAAATTACAGATGCCAACGCTAAGGACAAGAAGCATAAGAAGCACAAGAAGTCATCATCTTCAACAAGCTCTGATTCTTCATCCGATTCCGATGAAATCTTCGTTCTTCAATCAGTTCCTGATGACCATCTCACAGAGAAGGAGAAGGATGCAGTCAAGAACGCAATGAAGAAGGGAGGAAAGGATGCAATCCAAGCTCTCCGCAAAGAAAAGATTTCTACACGTGATATCCCAGAATCTCTTGGCGGACAAGAAGTCGCAATTGCAACACATGCTGCTGAGAAATCAGAACCAGTTGTCAAAGAGTCATACACACCAAATCGTGCTCTCAACAACAACCAGAACACATTTGTCGAGGATCGTATCAAGCGCTCATTCACACCAGAATTCAAGGATGATGTCGCTGGATCAACACTCGATGTTCTCGAAAACGCTGATCTCCATGATCGCGCCAACGAATCACTTGAGAAGGAAGATGCTGATCTTGTTGCTCAAGTCGTTGGTGAAGCTGTCAGTGACATCATGAATGAACAACATTCTGCAGCTGTTACAGGTGTTTCTCCAATCGAGAACTCCCACGAAGTTACATCAGCTCTCGGATTCGATGATGAACAACATGACTACATCGTTGCTTTGCTCAACAACCATCAGTACAACCCAGACAAGGCTAAGAGAGAAGCCGAGAACGATAAGACAGCAGCTGAAGGTGTCAAGGATGGCAAGATTACAAACACACAGGCAGAAATTGTTGCTACTCTCCTCAACGCGACTGATGCACAGATGGACATCAATATCTACATCAACTCCATTCCAGATCAAGAACTCCAAAGAAACGGATTCAGACCAGAAGAATATAATGAAGTCCGCAAGTTGATCGCAGACAAGGATGTCTATTCCGATGATGCTCGCAGCCACATCAAGAACCCAGAACAAGAGGAGTATCTCAAGGACAAGATCGAACACGTCAATGAACTTGAGGCTGCTCTTGTCGAAGCTCTTGCTCCAATCAACAAGGCAATCTTGATGAACAAGACACGCGAAGCAATCGATAACAACATCTCAGAAGAAAACAATGATGATGTTGAAGAAATCATCGAAGAAGTTGCTAAGGAAATGGCTAAGGAACAAGGCCGTGTTGCTGCCAACGCTGAAATCGACTTCAATGAGAAGAAGATTCAGCCAAAGGACAGAAAGAAGATCCACGGCGACAACAAGGATGAAAAGAAGCACAAGAAGAAAGCCAAACAAATCGAACTTGAACCAGTCAAGACACGCGAAATCCCAAATGACGCAATGCCGGAAGAAGACAAGGCAATCGTTGCTGAAGCTGTCAAGATGGGAGGAAAGGATGCAATCGAACATCTCCGCAAGGAATGCATCGATCCACATCGCATCCCAGATTCTCTTGGTGGCCAGGAAATCTCAGTTGCTCACCAAGTCGCTGAGAAGTCCGCACCAAATGTTGCTTTGTCATACACACCACATCAGGAACTCAATGACAAGCAGAACGACTTCATCGCCGATCGCGTCAAATACGCCAACTCTCCAGAATTCAAGGATGATGTCGCTGGTTCTACACTCGATGTTCTCGAAGAATCCAAACTCCGCGAGAAGGCAGAAAAGGCACTTCCAAAGGAGCAAGCAGATTCACTCTGCCTCGATGCTGGCGAAGCTGCCGGTGAAATTCTTGCTGAACAACACTCTGCTGCTGTTACAGGCACCTCACCAATCGAAAACTCACGCGAGATCACCGCTGCTCTTGGCTTTGATGATGATCAACATGAAGTTGTCATGGACATCCTCCAACACCATGTCACAAATCCAGATAAGGAAGCTCGTGAGGAGGAGAACCAGAGAGTTGCTGATGAAGCAGTTAAGAGTGGAAAGGTTACCAAGAAACAAGGCAAACTCATCAAGGCTCTTCTTGATGCTGCTGATGCCCAACAAGACTGCAACGACTTCGTTAACCACATCTCTGATGAAGAACTTGCTAAGGCTGGATTCAAACCAGAAGAATACAACGAAGTTCGCAAACTCATCGCTGACCATGACACAGAATCTGAAGAAGCCAAGAAGCTCCTTAACGATCCAAAGAAGAAGAAATTGGCCGAAGACAAGATCAAGGAACTCGAGAACCTCGAACAGAAGGTTGTTATGGCTTTGACACCAATCAACAAGGCTATCATTAAGAACAAAGCTCACAACGCTCTCAACGAAGATGTTCCACAAGACAAGGAAGGCGAAGTTGATGCCATCATTGAAGACCTTGCCAAGGAAGTCAGCCAAGAACAAGTTCGCATTGCTACTAAGGCTGATGTTGAATTCCATGGCGAACAGATTCCAACTGATGCTCGTCTTGAAGTTGCCGAAGCCAACAAGGATGCTGACAAAGAGCAACAGAAGCGCCATAGAGTTCGCAAACATAAGCATCATCATGGCCATCACCGCAAACATCCATCCTCTTCTTCTTCATCCTCCGATTCCGAAGAAATCCACATTGCTGCTGAGGTTCCACTCAGCGCCCTCTCATTGGAGGACCGCGAGAAGGTCAAGAAGGCTAAGGAGCAAGGTGGCAAGGAAGCCATGCAGGAACTTCGCAAGGAGAACATCGATCCAGCTACAATCCCAGCAGCTCTTGGAGGCCAAGACATCCAAGAAGCCTTCCAGGCTGGCCAAGAAGCTGAACCAACAGTCAATGCCAAGTACACTCCATCTGCATCTCTCGACAAGCACCAGAACAGATTCGTTGCTGACAGAGTTCTTCGTGCAAACACAGAAGAATTCGCTGACACAGTCGCAGGTTCAACACTCGATGTTCTTGATAACTCTGGTGTCCGTGAAAAGGCAGCAGAAGTTCTCGAGAAGGAAGAAGCAGATGCTCTTACACATGCTGTTGCTGCAGCTGCAGGTGATATTCTTGCTGAACAGCATTCCGCTGCTGTCACAGGCATTTCTCCAGTCGAGAACTCTCAGGATATCACATCTGCTCTCGGATTCGATGAAGAACAACACGACTTCATTGTTGACTTACTCAACAAGCACGAAACACCAAAGGATCCAGCTCAGAGAAAGAAGAACAACGAGAAGGCAGTCGAAGACGCTGTCAAGGAAGGAAAGATCACAAAGAAGCAAGGCGAATTGCTTAAGGCTATCCTCGACGCTGCTGATGCTCAGAATGATGTCAACAACTTCGTAACAGAGGAAATTTCCGACAAGGAACTTGCCAAACTCGGATTCCCACCAGAGGAATACGAAGACATCAGAAAGATCATCGCTTCTCATAACACAGACTCAGATCTTGCTAAGAAGTGCCTGAAGAACGATGAGCAGAAAAAGTACGTCGAAGAGAAGATCAAGGAGCACAAGGGCCTTGAAGAAAAGGTCGTTGAAGCTCTTGCTCCTGTCAACAAGGCAATTATCGAAAACAAGACAAGAAAGGTTGTTGATGCAACAGTTCCTAAAGATAAGAAGCCACAAGTTGAAGAAATTATCGAAGATGTTGCTAAGGAACTCGCAAGAGAACAAAGCAAGATCGCCGCTGATGCTGAAATCGACTTCCATGGCGAAGAAATCTCCAAGGAAGACAGAAAGAGAATCTTCGATAACAACAAGAACGAAAAGAAGACAAAGAAGCGTTCTAAGTCTGTCGAACTCATGCCAATCAAGAAGAGAGAAGTCCCAGAAGATGCTCTTCCAATCTCTGACAAGATGAAGGTCAAGAAGGCTAAGAAGAATGGTGGCAAGGAGGCATTCGAAGTCATGAGAAAGGAGAAGATCGATCCACACAAGGTTCCAGATTCTCTCAATGGCCAAGAAATTTCTGTTGCTGCTCAAGTCGCTGAACGTGCTGCACCAAATGTCGCAAAGACATACACAGAGAACAACAAACTCAATGATGCTCAGAACGACTTCATGGCCGACAGAATCAACTACGCCAACTCTCCAGAATTCAAGGATGATGTCGCTGGTTCTACACTCGATGTTCTCGAAGAATCCAAACTCCGCGAGAAGGCAGAAAAGGCACTTCCAAAGGAGCAAGCAGATTCACTCTGCCTCGATGCTGGCGAAGCTGCCGGTGAAATTCTTGCTGAACAACACTCTGCTGCTGTTACAGGCACCTCACCAATCGAAAACTCACGCGAGATCACCGCTGCTCTTGGCTTTGATGATGATCAACATGAAGTTGTCATGGACATCCTCCAACACCATGTCACAAATCCAGATAAGGAAGCTCGTGAGGAGGAGAACCAGAGAGTTGCTGATGAAGCAGTTAAGAGTGGAAAGGTTACCAAGAAACAAGGCAAACTCATCAAGGCTCTTCTTGATGCTGCTGATGCCCAACAAGACTGCAACGACTTCGTTAACCACATCTCTGATGAAGAACTTGCTAAGGCTGGATTCAAACCAGAAGAATACAACGAAGTTCGCAAACTCATCGCTGACCATGACACAGAATCTGAAGAAGCCAAGAAGCTCCTTAACGATCCAAAGAAGAAGAAATTGGCCGAAGACAAGATCAAGGAACTCGAGAACCTCGAACAGAAGGTTGTTATGGCTTTGACACCAATCAACAAGGCTATCATTAAGAACAAAGCTCACAACGCTCTCAACGAAGATGTTCCACAAGACAAGGAAGGCGAAGTTGATGCCATCATTGAAGACCTTGCCAAGGAAGTCAGCCAAGAACAAGTTCGCATTGCTACTAAGGCTGATGTTGAATTCCATGGCGAACAGATTCCAACTGATGCTCGTCTTGAAGTTGCCGAAGCCAACAAGGATGCTGACAAAGAGCAACAGAAGCGCCATAGAGTTCGCAAACATAAGCATCATCATGGCCATCACCGCAAACATCCATCCTCTTCTTCTTCATCCTCATCATCTGATGAAGAAAACGCTCATGTTGCAGCTGAAATCCCAGATTCTGCACTTTCAGTTGCAGAGAAGAAGAAGGTCAAGGAGGCTCTCGATGCCGCAGCCAATGGCAAGCAATTCTATGATGAACTCGCTAAGAATGGTGTTGAACCAACAGAAATCCCAGCATCAATGGGTGGTCAGAACATCGCCGAAGCTCACAAGGCCGCAAAGACAACAGAACCAGTTGTCCAAGAGGAATACCATCCATCCAAGAAGCTCACACAGGCTCAGAACGATTTCGTTGAAGAGCGTGTTAAGAAGGCCAACTCTCCAGAATTTGCTAATGAAGTTGCCGGATCTACACTTGATGTTCTTGACAACTCCAAGGTCAGAGAAACAGCCAACGAGAACTTCGAGAAGGATGAAGCAGATGTTCTTATTCACGCCGTTGCCGCAGCTGCAGGTGATGTCCTTGCTGAACAACACTCTGCTGCTGTCACAGGAGTTTCACCAGTTGAGAATTCTCACGAAATCACATCCGCTCTTGGATTCGATGATGAACAACACGATGATGTTATCGATATCCTCAAGAACCACAAGACAAACAAGGACAAGTCCAAGCGCGAGAAGGAGATCGACGCAGAAGTCGAGAAGGCAGTCAAGGATGGAAAGATCACAAAGAAGCAAGCCGAGATTGTCAAGGACCTCCTCAAGGCAGCAGATGCTCAACAAGACTGCAACGATTTCGCTACAGAAGGAGTTACAGATGCTGAGCTCAAGGCTGCTGGATTCAAGCCAGAGGAATACAACGCTGCTCGCAAGTTGATTGTCGATCACGACACAGAATCAGAAGATGCCAGGAAGCTTCTCAACGATCCAAAGAAGAAGAAACTCGTCGAAGACAAGTCCAAGGAACTCGAGAAACTTGAGGAAGAAGCTGTCAACGCTCACATCCCAATCAACAAGTCAATCATCGAGAACAAGACAGACAACGCCATCGAACAATCAATCCCAGCTGACAAGCATGGCCAGGTCGAAGACATCATCGAAGATGTTGCTAAGGAACTCGCCAAGGAACAAGTCAAGATTGCTGCCAAGGCAGAAATCGACTTCAAGGAGAACGGCATCAAACCAGAAGACAGAGAAGAAGTTTTCGATGAGAACAAGGATAAGAAGAAACACAGAAAGCACCACAAGAAGGTCGATGTTAACCCTGTTAAGACTAAACAAGTCCCAGACAATGCCATGTCCACAGCCGACAAGATGAAGGTCAAGAAGGCTAAGAACATGGGCGGAAAGGATGCTATCGCTGAACTCCGCAAGGACAACATCGATACAAAGCAGATTCCAGATTCTCTTGGTGGCCAAGAAATCGCAATCGCTGCACAAGTTGGTGAACAAGCTGCTCCAGCTGTTGCCATGACATACACACCACACGAAGAGCTCAATGACAAGCAGAACGACTTCATCGCTGATCGCGTCAAATACGCCAACTCTCCAGAATTCAAGGATGATGTTGCTGGTTCAACACTCGATGTCCTTGATGATTCCAAGATCCGTGAGAAAGCCGATAAAGTTCTTCCTAAGGAACAAGCCGATTCTCTTGTTCTTGCTGCTGGTGAAGCTGCCGGTGAAATCCTTGCTGAACAGCATTCTGCAGCAGTTACAGGCACAACACCAATCGAGAATGGCCGCGAGATCACATCTGCACTCGGATTCGATGAGGATCAACATGAAGTTGTCATGGAGATCCTTCAGAACCATGTTTCAAATCCAGATCAATCCAAGCGCGATGCCGAAAACCAGAAGGTTGTCGATCAAGCCGTCAAGGATGGAAAGATAACAAAGAAGCAAGGCAAACATCTCAAGGCTCTTCTTGATGCTGCTGATGCTCAACAAGATGCTGATGAATTCCTTGAAAATGGAACAACAGATCAGGAACTTGCCGAAGCTGGATTTGCTCCAAGCGAATTCAACGAAGTCAGAAGACTCATCGCTGAGGAAGATGTCGATTCTCCAGAAGCCAAGAAGCACATCAAGAACGACAAGCAGAAGAAGCTTGTTCAGGACAAGATCAAGAAGCTCAACGATCTCGAAGAGAAGATTGCAGAAGCTCTTGCTCCTGTCAACAAGGCAATCATCATGAACAAGACACACAACGCTCGCAACGAAGAACCAGCAGCAGAAAAGATCGATGAAGTTGAGAAGATTATCGACGATCTCGCTCATGAAGTTGCTAAGGAACAGGCCAAGATCCAGACAAAGGCTAATGCCGAATTCGGAGCACAAGGAATCGAGAAAGAAAAGCGTGCCGAAGTTGCCAAGGATAACGCTGAAGATGACAAGTCCAAGAAGCACCGCAAGCACCATGACAAGAAGAAGAAACACGGAAAGAAGTCTTCTTCATCTTCATCATCATCCAGCTCTGATGAAGAACACGCTCCAATCTTCACACGCGAAATCCCAGACACAGCCATCTCTACAAAGGACAAGGAGAAGGTCAAGGACATCAAGGACAAGAAGCATGGAAAGAAGGCAATCGAAGAGATCAAGAACGAAAAGATCGATCCACACAGAATCCCAGCTTCTCTTGGTGGCCAGAACATCTCAGAAGCTACGGCTGTTGCTGAGAAGAAGGCTCCAGCTGTTTCCAAGACATACACACCAGCTCCAGAGCTCGACCAGAAGCAGAACGCCTTCATTGAGGAACGTATCAAAGAGGCCAACTCTCCAGAGTTCCAGAATGAAGTCGCTGGTTCTACACTTGATGTCTTAGATAACTCCAAGATCCGTGAAAAGACAAACGGCAAGTTTGAACCACAAGAAGCCGACACAATCAACCACGCAATTGCCGATGCTGTTGCTGATATCATGGCAGAGCAACATTCTGCAGCCGTCACAGGTGTTTCTCCAGTTGAAAACAGTGAATTCATCCCATCCGCTCTCGGATTCGATGAAGACCAGTACAACGATGTTGTTGAAATTCTTGCCAACCACAAGACAGACAAGGATACAAAGAACCGCAAGAAGAAGAACGACAAGGAAGTCGAGAAAGCCATCAAGGAAGGAAAGATTTCCAAGGAACAAGGAAAGGTTCTCAAGGATCTTCTCAACGCTGCAGATGCCCAGAACGATGTTGACGAATTCCTCAACAACGAAGTTACAGATGCTGAACTTAAGGCTGCAGGATTCGCTCCAGAAGAATACGCTGAAGTTCGCAAACTCATCGCTGAGCACGATACTGATTCCGAGGAAGCCAAGAAGCACATCAAGAACGACAAGCAGAAGAAGTTCGTCGAAGACAAATCTAAGGAACTCGAGAAGCTCGAAGAAAATGTAGTTGAAGCTCTTGTTCCAATCAACAAGCAGATCATTGCTAACAACGCACAACAGGCAATCGACCGCAATGTTTCTCCAGACAAGCATGGCCAAGTTGAAGACATCATTGAGGATGTTGCTAAAGAACTTGCTAAGGAACAGTGCAGAGTTGCTGCAGAAGCAGCAATTGACTTCAATGACAAGAAGGTTCCAAAGGACAAGGCAAGAAAGGCTCACGACAAGAACAAGGACAAGAAGAAGCACTCCAAGAAGGCCAAGAACGCTGGCGCAGACAAGCCATTACAGCAGTCTACAGCTCCAGTTATCACACGTGAAATCCCAGATCACGCCGCAACAGATGCTGAAAAGGAGAAGATCAAGGAAGCCGAGAAACAGAAGAAAGGAAAGGATGTCCTTAAGAAACTCAAGAAGTCAAGAATCGATCCACAGAACGTCCCATCAACACTCGGAGGTGAAGAAATCTCCGCAGCTGCACAAGTTGGTGAACGTTCTGCTCCTGCTGTTTCTAAGACATACGCTTCTAACGGTGAACTCACACCAGAACAGAACGAATTCGTTGCCGATCGCATCAAGATGGCCAACACAGAAGAGTTCCAGAACGATGTTGCTGGTTCAACACTCGATGCCTTACAGAACTCCGATGTCCATGGCAAGCTTGGAAAGACACTCGAACCAGAAGATGCCAACGAAATCTTCCAGATCGCAGCTCAAGCTGCAGGTGACATCCTTGCAGAAGAACATTCTGCAGCTGTCACAGCTATCACACCATACGAGAACAGCGAGAAGCTTCCAAAAGACTTAGGATTCGCTCCAGACCAGCATCAATACCTCATTGAAATCATCGAGGAGCACCAGTTGAAGAGAGATCCAAAGGCTCGCGAAGCACAGATCGAGAAGGAAGTCGAAAGAGCACTTAACGAAGGCAAGATTGACAAGGAACAAGCAGATCTCGTCAAGGCAATTTTTGCTTCTCAAGATGCTCAAAACGATGTCAATAACTTCGTCAACAATGAAGTTACAAATGAAGAATTGGCTAAACAAGGATTCAAGCCAGAAGAATTCGATGAGGTCCGCAAACTCATCGCTACTCATGATACAGAATCTGATGAAGCCAAGCAAGTCCTTAACGATCCAAAGAAGAAGAAATTCGCTGAAGACAAGGTTAAGGAACTCGAGAAACTTGAGAAGAAGGCTGTCGATGCTCTTAAGGAAGTCAACAAGGAAATCATCAAGAACAAGACAGCAGAGAAAGTCCGCGAAATTCCAGTCGACAAGCAAGGAGAAGTTGAGAAGATCCTCGAAGACCTTGCTGAAGAAGTTGCTAAGGAACAAGTCAAGGTTGCTGCAGCTGCAGATGTCGACTACGAATCCCAGGATATTCCTAAGGACATCCGCCATGAATTACACAACGACAACAAGGCCGAATCAATTGTTGTTTCTCGCGATCTCCCAATGGAAGAAGAGCCAAAGATGCTTCTTTGGGAAGTTCCAGACGAGGCAATGGATGGAAACACAAAGAAGAAGGTCAGAAAGGCAAAGAACAAAGGTGGAAAGAAGGCAATGGAAGAACTCCGCAAGAACGAGATCGATCCACACACAATTCCAACATCTCTCGGCGGAGAAGTCCTTGCTATTGCTTACGATGCAGGAGCTCATGCTTCTCCATCTGTCACAGAAGATTACGTTCCAGTCGAAGAACTCGGCAAGGATCAGAACGAATACGTCCAGGAGCGCGTCGAAGAGGCATTCACACCAGAATTCAACGATTCTGTTTCCGGTTCAACACTCAATGTTGTTGAGAACTCCAAGGTCCACGATGATCTCAACGAAGTTCTTGACAAGGAAGCTGCTCATAACATCTTTGTCCTTGCTGCTGAAGCTGCTGGCGACATCATGAACGAACAACACTCTGCTGCTGTCACTGGTGTTACACCATACGAGAACTCCAGAGAAATCACAGCAGCTCTTGGATTCGATGAAGAACAACATCAATACATCAGTGAAGCCATCGCTGATCACGAGACAAATCCAGATCAGTCCAAGAGAGAAAAGGAGATCGACGATGTCGTCAAGACAGCTCTCAACGAAGGAAAGATTGCTAAGGAACAAACACCAGCTCTCAAGGAAATCCTCGAAGCCATCGATGCTCAGAACGATGTTTCTGACTTCGTTACAAAGAATGTTTCCGATGCAGAACTTGCCCAACAAGGCTTCAAGCCAGATGAATACAATGAAGTTCGCAAACTCATTGCTGACCACGACACAGAATCTGATGAAGCTAAGGAACTCCTTAAGGATCCAAAGAAGAAGAAATTCGTCGAAGACAAGATCAAGGAACTCGCAAAGGCCGAAGAAAAGGCTGTCAAGACAAAGAAGCCAATCGCAAAGAAGGTCATCAAGAAACGTGCTCAACCAGCAATCAAGAACGAGGTTCCAGCAGACAAGAAGGACAAGGTCGAAGAAATCCTCGACAATCTCGCAGAAGAGATCGCCAAGGAACAGACACGTGTCGAAGCCAACGCTGAAATCGACATCGCTGCCAAGGGCATCACTAAGGATGACAGAACAAAGATCTTCGATGAGAACCAGGATATGGACAAGGCCTCCGAACAGCCTAAGTACGCCGATGTCGCTTACACCAGCCCACAGATGAACATCTTCGGACAACCAAAGGTCAGAGAAATCCCAGACGACTACATGTCATCTGTCGACAAGGAGAAGGTCAGAAAGGCCAAGAACAGAGGAGGAAAGCAGACATTCGAAGACCTCAAGAATGCAAACATCGAACCAGACACAATCCCAGCATCTCTTGGTGGCCAAGAACTCCTCATTGCTGCAGATGCCGGTGAACGTGCAACACCAACTGTTGCCGACTTCTTCACAGCCAACGAAGGACTCGATGAGAAGCAAAACAACTTTGTCGCCGACAGAGTTAACAATGCTTACTCCGAAACATTCGCTGATGAAGTTGCCGGATCTACACTCACAGCTATCGAGAAGGCCGATGTCCGCGCAAATGCCAACGAGAAGTTCGATAAGGAACCAGCAATCACAGTTCTCCGCGCTACAGGAGAAGCTGCCGGTGACTTACTCGGTGAGCAACACTCCGCAAACATCACTGGTATCTCACCAGCTGAGAACTCCACAGCTCTCACATCTGCTCTTGGATTCGATGATGACCAACACGATTTCGTCGTCGAAACACTTCGCAACCACCAGACAAAGGCAGAACCAAAGACACGCGAAGCAGAGATCAACGCCAAGGCCAAGCAAGCTCTCGAACAAGGCTATGTTTCTCCAGAACAAGCCAAGCATCTTAAGAACATGCTCAAGGCCGCCGATGCACAGAGAGACATCTCAGACTTCTTACATCACAACGTTTCCGATGCTGAACTTGCCAAGCAAGGATTCAAGCCAGAGGAGAACAAGGAAGTCCGCAAACTCATCGCCGACCACAACACAGAAAGCGAGAAGGCCAAGACAATCCTCAACGATCCAAAGAAGAAGAAATTCGTCGAAGACAAGTCCAAGCAGCTCGAACCAATCGAAGAGAAGGCCGCAGAAGCACTTGCTCCACTCAACAGCGAAGCCATCAAGACAATTTCTTCCGACTCTGTCAAGAGAAGTGTTCCAGCAAACAAGATTCCAGAAGTCGATGAAATCATCGATGACTTAGCCAAGGAAGTTGCCAAGGAACAAATCAGACTCGCTGCCAACGCTGATATCGACTTCAACGACCAGAAGATTGACAACAAGAAGCGTCGTGAAGTCTTCGATGACAATGTTGACAGACGCAAGTACAAGCGCAACGTCAAGGACAAATCCGGACCAGCCAGCAACCATCCAGGCTACAAGCCAGTCTTCGTCGTTGTCGCAGATGATGCACTCACACAAGAAGACAAGGCCAAGGTCAGAAAGGCAAAGAGCAAGCGCGGAAAGCACACACTCGAAGACCTCTGCAAGGAAGGAATTTCTCCATCATCCATCCCAGCTTCTCTTGGTGGTCTCGAAATGGCCAGTGCTCAACAAGTCGGTGAACGCGCAGTTCCATCTGTTGCTGAAGTCTACACACCACACGAAGATCTCACAAAGGAGCAGAACGAATTCATCGCAGACAGATTCAAGCAGGCTAACAACCAGGAATACAAGAAGGATGTTGCCGGAAAGACTCTCGATGCCTTGACAGATGCAAAGACACGCGAAAAGGCAGACAGAGAATTCGAGAAGTATCAGGCAGACACAATCTGCAACGCTGCAGCAATGACAGCAGGTAACCTCCTCAACGAACAGAAGTCCGCTGCAATCACTGGCATTTCACCATTCGAGAACAGCCGCAGAATGAACAAGGGACTTGGCTACGATCAGGATCAGCACGAATACATCGTTGCTGCTCTTCGCGACCACGATACAGTCGAAAATCCAAAGGAGAGAGAAGAAGAGAACACAAAGACAGCGAAGAAGGCTGCTGCAGACAAGAACTTCTCACCAGAGGAAGTCAAGACATTCAAGCAGATCCTCGATGCTGTCGATGCAATGAACGATTGCTCCAACTTCGTCTCTTCAATTCCAGATGAAGACATCGTTAAACAAGGATTCAAGCCAGACGAATGCGATGCAGTTAGACAACTCATTGCTGATCATGACACAGAGTCCGAAGAGGCCAAGAAACACATCAAGAACGACAAGCAGAAGGAGTACATCCAAAAGAAGATCGACGATCTCAAGAAGCTCGAAGAGAAGGCTGCCGAAAAGATGGTTCCACTCGACACAAAGATCATGAAGAAGGAATCCGGAAAGATTGTCGAGCGCAGTGTTCCATCAGAGAAGTTAGACGATGTCGAGAAGATCCTGGAAGATGTCGCTAAGGAAATTGCCAAGGAACAAGTCAAGCTCAACACATCCGCAAATGTTGCTTACGACAACAAGGAAATCGAGAAGTCCAAACGCGACGAAGTTTACGACAAGAACAAGGATCTTTCCAGAAAGAATAAGCAGCCAGTTGCCATCCCATCACACATCCAACTCCCAACACTTCGTGCAGATGTTGCTGAAGATGCAATCACACAAGAGGAGAAGGAGAAGGTCAAGAAGGCCAAGGCAAGAGGTGGCAGAAACACAATCGAAGAGCTCAAGAGAGAGAACATCAATCCACACAACATCCCAGCATCAGTTGGTGGCCAGAACATCTCTGCAGCCGTCGATGTTGCTGAGAACGCCCAGGTCATCGTAACAGAACCATACATCCCACAAGAAGACCTTACAGAGACACAGAACGACTTCGTCGAGAAGAGAATTGCCTACGCTTCAACACCAGAACTCAAGGATGACATTGCTGGTTCAACCCTCAATGTCCTCGAAGACTCTTCTCTCAGACACCACGCTTACGGACATCTTGACAAGGTTGTTGCCGATTACCTCTGCAAGGCATCATCAGAAGCTGCCGGTGAAATCATCGAAGCACAGCGCAATGCAGCTATCACTGGTGTTTCTGTCTTCGAATACTCTCCAAAGCTTATGGGAATCCTCGGCTTCAACGAGCAACAGCACGCTTATGTTGTTGATCTTCTCCAGACTCATCCAGTACATTCCAACTCTCAAGACAGAGAGACAGAGATCAACACTGTCATCAACAAGGCCAACTGCGAGAGAATTCTTGCAGAAGAGCAAGTTGACATGCTCAAGTTCATCTTGAGAACAGTTGACTCTCAGCACGATGTCTCCGAATACATCACAAATCTCAAGGAAGATGACATGACAAAGGCTGGCTGGGTCAAGGAAGAACAGTGGAAGGTCAGAAGAATCATTGCAAACAAGGACATCACATCAGATCTCGCTAAGGAAGTCCTTAAGACATCCGAACAGAAGAGATTCTTCAAGAACGCCTTCTTACAGCTCAAGGAACTTGAAGCTGATGGTGTTGAATCACTCACAGCTCTCGACGAAGAAATCATCTCACAACAGACTGCAAACGTCTACGATTACCTCATCCCAGAAGAGAAGATTGACTTAGTAGACAACATCATCGAGTTAGTCGCTGAAGAAACAGCCAAGGAACAGATGGCAATTGCTACATGCGCTGATATTGACTTCGCTGAATTCAGAATCAAGAAGGACAAGCGCAGACAGATCACAGAAGATGTCACAGACACAGGATTACCACAACTCCTCAGCCACGTTTCTGGCGGCCGCCGCTCATCTGGCTCCACATCTGGAAGCGAAATGTTCTACCCAGTTGCATCTCGCGAAGTCCCAGAGACAGCTCTTACACCAGAAGAAAGAGAGAAGGTCAAGAAAGCCAAGTCGAAGAAGGGACGCCACACATTCGAGGCTCTCCGCGAAGACAAGATCGATCCAGAGAACATCCCAGCATCTCTCAGTGGACAGAACATCGCTCTTGCTCTCGAAGCAGGAAAGAAGGCTTGCCCACGTGTCAAGGAAGAGTACACACCAGTTTCAGGACTTTCCGAGCCACAGAACAAGTTCGCTGAAGGAAACGTTGTTGACTCCCACAAACAAGAATACAAGGACAAGGTTTCCGGATCAACTCTCGATGCTCTTGAGAATTCCAAGGTCAGAGAGAACTCCAACCGCAAGTTCGGACCAGAAGCTGCTACACCACTCTGCCAGTCCATCGCAGCCATCATCGGTGACCTCATGAACGAACAACATTCTGCCGCTGTCACAGGTATCACACCATTCGAGAACTCTCACCACATCACAAAGGCAATCGGCCTCAAGTCAGAGCAACATGACTTCGTCATCGCCACAGTCAAGGCTCATGAAACTAAGGCTGACAAGCCATCTCGCCAGGCTGATATCGACAGAATTGCTGACCAGGCAATCAAGGATCACAAGATTACTCCAGAACAAGGCAAGTTCATCAAGTCAATCTTAGAATTCCTCAATGGATTACGTGATGCATCTGCTCACGCTAAGGCTATTAAGGATGACGAACTTGCTAAGCAAGGATTCCAGCCAGCAGAGTTCAAGGTTGTCCGCAAGGTCATTGTTTCCGGTGAATTCGATACACCAGAAGCCAAGGCTGTTGTAAAGACACACCAGCAGAAGCTCTTCGTCAAAGGAAAGATGGATGAACAAGCCAAACTCCAGGACGAAATGGTCAAGGCCATTGTTCCAATCGACCAGAAGGCAATTTCTCGCAATGCTCAACCAGTTGTTGAAAGATGCTTGACACCAGATTGGGCAGAAGAATTCGAACCAATCGTTGAAGAAGTTGCGAAGGAAGTCGCTAAGGAACAAGCTAAGATCGCCGTCGCTGCCGAATTCGAATACGATACAGTCGAAATTCCAGATCCAAAGCGTCGCGAAATCTTCGACAAGAACAAGACAGACGAACAGATGAAGGACACAATGACATCCGAAGAGAAGGAGAAGGTCAAGAAGGCAAAGGCCAAGGGAGGAAAGAGCGCTCTCAACCAGCTCCGCAAGGACAGAATCGATGCTCACAACATCCCATCAGAACTCGGTGGACAAGACATTTCTATTGCCATCGAAGTTGGCACTCGTGCTCTTCCAACAGTTGCCCAGAGCTTCTCACCATCAGACGAACTCACACCAGAACAGAACACCTTCGTCGAAGAACGCGTCAAGAAGGCTAACTCTCCAGACTTCGGTGATGAAGTTGCTGGCTCAATCTACACAGTACTCGGCAAGTCACAAGTTCGTCCAAAGGCTGCAGACAAGTTCGAACCAGATAAAGTCAACGAACTTCTCCGCGCTATTGCTGATGGACTCGCAGATATCTTCGCTGAAGTCCACTCCGCAGCTCCAACAGGAACCAACCCAATCGAGAACTCCCGCAAGCTCACATACAACCTTGGATTCAACGATGAGCAGCACAACCATGTTGTTGACATCCTCGCCAAGCACCAGACCAATCCAGAGAAGACTCCACGTGCTGACAACATCGAAACAGAAGTTAAGGAAGCTGTCGATGCACACAAGATCGAACCAGAACAAGCCAAGATCCTCAAGAACTTGTTAGAAGCTATCGATGCACAAGCTGACGTTGTCAAGTTCGTCGAGAGCATCCCAGCAGCTGAGTTCGAAGCTGTCGGATTCAAGCCAGAAGAGATCAAGGACATCAGAAAGTTAATTGCCGAACACGACACAGAATCAGACAAGGCCAAGGTCCTTCTCAAGAAGAAGGAGCAACAAGAATTCGTCCAGGCCAAGTCCGAAGAAGCCAAGAAGCAAGAAGAACCAGCTGTCAAGGCACTCATCCCAATCGTCGAGAGAATCCTCAAGAACGATACAGCAGGAGTTGTCGAAAGATCAATTCCAAAGGAGGCTCTTCCAGACTACTACGAATTACTTGTTCCAGTTGCCGAAGAAGCAGCCAAGGAACAAATCAGAGTTGCAGCTGGTGCAGATGTCGAAATGGACGACAAGCAGATTCCAAAGGACAAGCGTCGCAAACTCCACAAGACGAACTCCCACAGAAGACCATCATCTCAACGCCCATCTCGTCGTGGATCATTCGTTTCACCTGCTGGACCAGAAAGCGAAACAGGCACACAGCTTTTCATCCCACCGAACTCCAGAAAGACACGTTCTCGCAAGTTCAGAGAATTACCAAAGGCACCACGTGCAGGCGGACGTGCTGGATTCCAGCCACTTCAGCCTGGCCAGTTTGCTTCCATCCCAAGACCAGTTTCTGCTGTTCCAGCTCATCCTAAGTACGGACTCAACGCTCCAGCACCAATCGGCTCAATGCCAACTCCAATTGGAGCTCCAGCACAGCAGCCATTGTTCGCAAATCTCCAGCCAATTGGCGGACCACAGCCAAGACCATTCGAAACATCCACATATGGATTACCAGGAATGCCACATGAAGTTGGAGATGAAGCACTTTCTGTTACAGAAAAGGACAAGATTGTCTTAGCAATGAGACAGCCAAACGGAAAGGCTCAGATCAGAGCAACCAGAGAAACAGAGATCAATCCAAAGACAATCCCAGCATCACTCGATGGACAACTCATCGCTGTCGCATGCGAAATCGGCGAAAGATCTCTTCCAACAATGGTTATCCCATACATGGCATGCGAAGGACTCACACCAGAGCAGAACAAGTTCGTCGAAGCTCGTGTCATCGAAGCACATACACCAGAATTCAAGCACGCTGTTTCTGGCGCTGCCTTGGATATCCTTCAGGATACAAACGTCTACGGAAAGGCCAAGGACAAACTCGAGAAGGGCCAGGCAGATGCATTCACACGTGCTCTCATCGACACAGCTGGCGATCTTATCGCTGACCAGTACTCTGCTGCCATCGTCGCTATCACTCCAATCGAAGTCAGCCACGTAACAACATTCGGACTTGGATTGAACGACGACCAGCATGACTTCCTTGTTGAGGCAATCGCTACACACCGTACCAAGCCAGACCTCAAGGAGAGAGACATCGAGAACCAGAAGGTTATCGATGAAGCTCTCAAGGAAGGCATCTTCAACAGAGAGCAGGCTAAGCTCATCTTACCAGTTCTCCAGTTGTTGGATGCTCAGAACGATATCAACGCTTACCTCGTTGGCATCAAGAACGAAGAACTCGCCAAGCAAGGATTCCAGCCACTCGACTTCAACGCTGTCAGAAAGCTCATCGCCAGACACGATGCTCATTCTGACGACGCCAAGAAGATCATCAAGACCAAACCACAAGAAGAGTTCGTTCTCAGCAAGATCAAGGGACTCGAACCAATCGAGTTCAAGGCCAGACAAGTTGCCACAGTTGTTGCTGCAAGAGCTCTCAAGAGTGGAACAAACGATGTCTTGGAATTCCTCATCCCACCAGAGAAGTACGGCAGCTTAGAAGACTTGATCAACGAATTAGCTGATGAAGTCGCTAAGTTACAAGTTGAAAACGCCGCTCTCGCTGACTTGGACCTCGATGATGCCAAGATTGCTTACGAGAAACGCCGCGAGATCTACGGCATGAACACGTCTAAGGAATTACCAAAGACATCACAGCTCAAGCAGCGCAAGCCAATGAACTACCGCAGCGGATTCGAACAAGGCTACCAGTCAGCAATGGCAGCTCTTGCCGCGGGCGCATTCCAGCCAGGACAGTTCAATCCATACGGCATGCCATACGGATTCGCTCCAGGCCAGATCAGTGCTCAGGCACAGCTTGCTCAACAGCAGAAGCCAGAGAAGAAGAAGGGCGGCAAGAAGAAGAAGATAAAGAGAGTCAAGAAGGTCAAGGTAAAGGCAAGGAACATCACTTCAGAGTCAGAGAAGGAAGCTGCTCCAGGCAAGGAATCAGCTTCATCCGATGACGATGAAATCTTTGTTGCAGCAAGAATCCCAGCAGAAAACATCATCGACGAGTTCAAGAATGTCATCAATTCCGATACAGTTCCAGCTGGATTTGTCGAGCAACTCATCTCAGAAGTCCAGGAGAAGGCAGCCGCACTCAAGCCTCTCCTCGCAAAGGGCAAGGCTGAACTCACAAAAGATGAGCTCAAGCAGAAGGAGTTACTCACACAGGAAGTCAACAGCCTCATGAACGCACTCGACAATGTTAAGATCGCTGTTGCTCATCCAGAAACAGCTGAAGCTGCCAAGGTTGACATCAACAAGAACATGCTTTCTGCTTCCAAGGAAGAAGTCAAGGCTGCTCTTCCAGTTCTCACTGTCAAGGCTTCCAAGAACATGCTGGCCTTCAACTTACCAGAAGAGAGACTCGAGAAGATCAATGTTGTTCTCGCCAAGGCTGTTGCAAGAGCAGGAACAGATAAGGATTCACTTATCTTGCTCCAGGCTGCAGCCAATCTTGATCAAATCGATCCATCCCTCGCAACACTCAACCAAGTTGATGAAGTTCGTGCTTCAATCGAAGAGAAGAACATCGAGAAGCTTTCAGAGCATGCACCATTACTTGCTGCCAATACACAACTTGCCGAGATCATGAAGGAGTTACCAGCCACACAGCCATTCACTGTCAAGTTGGTTTCTCTTGCTGAGAAGGTCAAGGCCCGCTCAATGCTCACACAAGATGATGGCGACGATTTGTCACAGTTGATCACAGGAATCGAAGACATCATCCACTCCGAGATTTGCGGCCCATTGACATTCGATACAGGAGACTTCAACGCCATCGCAGACAACATCATGAACTTGTCCAACTCTGTCCAAGCCAACACAACAGAACTTGTTGCATCAACAAGAGCCAAGAAGAAGGACGAGAGCAAGTTCGTAATCAACAGAATGAAGACAAACGCTCTCGATGTTGCCATCAACACAATCATGGCTTCTACAAAGGCATCAGACAAATTCACAGTCGACGACGAACTCAACAACTTGTTCTCTTGCTTCAAGGAGCTCGACGAACAAGCCGAGAAACTCGATCAGAAAGGCGTACAGAAGGCAAACAGAGAGTTCACACTCGTTGTCAACAAGATTGCCAACAAGTACGATGAAATCAATGAATTCATGGAAGAAGAAGAGAAGGAATCAGGACAACCAGACCAGTTCTCACAAGCAGCTATTTCCATCATGGGAGATATCGCAAGACTTGTTAGAATCAATGCAGCATTACCACCAAGCTCTTACACAGCAGCTTCTGCCAATGAAGATGCAATTTCCAAGTCGAGAAAGCCACTCGCAACGAGAACATTCACAAGAATCAAAAACAGCATCTTCACAAACGTCAGAGGCCTCAAGTCATGCGTTGCATCCATCAACAAGGATGAACAGAGCGATCTTGGCAAGATGATCAACGAATTGGAGCAGGCATTCCACGATGTCGAATCTCCAGAACAGTTCACAGAACTGAAGGCACAAGAAACAATGACAAACATCATCAAGATCCGTGCCATCTATGTCAAGGTCAGATCAGTCACTGTCAGTGGAATTCCACCAGAGATCGAAGCCAAGATTCCAATCAGATTCACACCAAAGATCTCAGAATTCCCACGAGGAACACAAGAACAGTGTAGCGACGTTATCCACGAGTCACTCAACGACTTAGTTGTTTCAATCGAGAAAGGAAATCCAGAAGAAGTTGTTGCCAACCTCAACAACTTCCACCACTCACTTGATTACATCACAACACGTACAAATCTCTCTGCATCAATCCAGGCAGGTGATATTGCCATCATTGCTGCTCGTTCCAAGCTCAACAGCTCATCATCCGCACAGGATGACCTCGAGAAGCTCAAGCAGGCAACAGAGGAAGCACTCAACTCTTTGTCATTCAAGGCAATGTCCGAAGGAGAACTCGCAGAAATGGCATCAATCACACTCAATGATGCCACTAACTCCCTTGATTCTCTTTCACAACAGGCAGAGAAGAGATCAGAAGAAGCCAAGCAGCTCGTTCTTTCATTCATGCCAATCGCTACAACATCCAAGACAATCGTTGAATTCGCTCGTTCTCAAGTTTCTTACATCAAGAGCGATGTTTTGGATGACTTGTGCAAGCCAATTCCAGCATTATCACAGTCACTCATCAAGTCAACACGCACTATGGCTTCGATCGATGACATTGATGCTGTTAAGAACGCTACAAACGTCTCCGTCAAACTCGCAGAGCTCATGACAAACCTCGCAAACGCTGTCCGCAATTCTGGTGGCACCCCAGAAATTGCACAGGCCATGGAGAACCTTTCAAGAGGTATGTCTGCAACTGCTAAGAAGCTCAAGGAGAAGATCGATGTCCAGGAACCACCTAAACAAGCTGCTCCTCAGATTTCATTTGTTGCACCAGAACCAAGAAGAAACAACTTACTCGACAGACTCAATGCAGAAGCAAGAGTCGTTGAGGCAAGAAGAAAGCTTGAGGCTGCTAAGAGCGCACTCAACTCTTTCAAGACTTAAGAATTTTTTCCATGTACTAGTTTTATCAAAATTCTAAACATTAATTTATTTTTATATTTTATTTAAATTTTTTTCTAACAAAAATTTCAATGTGACATTGAATTTTTTTCAATATTTTTTTCGGATCGAAAAAAAATGGGGCAAGAAGAATCTTTGCCGCCATATCCAACGGAAGAATCAGTGATAATTATCAATGATGAGTCCGTGACTTCAATGCCATATAACATTCCCGATCCAACAAAAGTTAGATGCATTGTTATTCAAAAAGCTCACCTGAAAAAGATGATTGAACTACCGTCACTAACATCACTATGTTATAATTCAGCAAATTTAACAGATGTTCCTTCATGTATTTTAAAATTAATAGAAAATTGTTCGGAATTAGAAACATTAGACTTAGGCTTTAACAAGTTAAAGAATGTAGACAAGGTAATACTAGGAAATAAATCAATTAAACAACTATCTCTTTATCATAATAACTATACTGAAATAGATTTATCTAAATCACATTTACTAGTAGCCGATTTAGGGTGCAATATGCTCACACATTTTCCAAAACTACCTCACTCCTTGAAATCTCTTTCTTTAGATTTTAATAATATCTCAACTTTCAACGAAACAAACGACAACATGCATAGACTATCATTAAAGAACAATCATATTTCATTACTTGATCCAAATGTACTTTTCGGAACTTTAAAAGCATTAGATATTTCATATAACCAAATTACAGAGCTTCCTAATCTGATTTCACAGTTTCCATTTCTTAGAACTATTGAAGCATCTCATAATAAGATTACAAAAGTCGGATCAATGCCTCCTCTCATAGAATCAATTGATTTAAGTTTTAATTTTCTCACAGACTTTCCAGTTAACTTTAATTCTTTACCAAAACTCAAAACAGCTAATTTTGCATACAATCAAATAGAAATTATACCAAAATTACCTCAAAATCTCCAATCTTTGATCATAAATGATAATAATGTCTCTCATTTTAAGAAAGCGCATACTTCTAAGCTTTCTTATCTTCTAATTAGAGGAAACAAACTCAAAAAACTTCCGAAATTTAAAGAAAATAGATTATTTGAATTAAATTTCTCTTCAAATCTTCTTACTTCACTTGTTAACCTCGACCATCTTGATTTTGTTAGGTCAATTGACTTATCCGACAACAGATTGTCGACTCTTCCTGAAGATTTGTTCAAATTACCATGTTTGATTTATTTTTCAGCATCAAGGAATTTATTGAAGACTCTTCCAGACTCAGTAACTGATTCCAAACTTGTTTCTCTGAATTTGAGTCAAAATAATATTGAAATTTTGCCAAAGTTGCCAACAACACTTGAAAGACTAATATTAGCACACTGCAACCTCAAAACCATCGATAACTTCTATGATGAAAGCAATGAAGAGCTAATTGAAGTTTATGCACCAGGAAATTGTTTAGAAACGATCAAATTCTTACCATGGTTTGAAAAAGTAATTCTTTCACGTAATTTATTTAAATTCATTCCAGAATTTAATGAAAAACTGAAGTATTTAGATTTATCACATAATATTCTTCAAAATTTACAAAGAATTCATTCAAAACACCTTGAATTCTTAGATTTATCATACAATTATATCACAAATTTAGATATTTTAACAGAAAAATTAGAATTTTTAGATTTATCTTATAATGAATCATTAAATACAACAATTGATGAGTCCAAGACACCATTACTAAAAAGTATTGACATTGTATATACGAAAATCAATCTATTACCTCTTCCACATTGTTTTCATGTTTCAAGTGAAATTTCGAATGAAAAATTTTTGAGAAGTAATCCAACAAAAGATTTCGGATCCATTTCATTGATAAAAGGAGATCAATACGTATCACAAGACTACGCTTCTATTGTACACGACCTTAAACCAGGCTTTACACTGCTTACAATTGTTTCTGGACTTTATTCAGGAAGAGGAGCATCAATTGCCGCGAGAACAGCAATAAAAACATTTGAAGATGTTTCACAAATATCAGACAAAAGTCATTTAACTGCTATATCCAATAAAATTGCTAAAGCATTGGATGACATCAGGTTTTATGAAATAAGAAGTATTGGATTTGCTTTTCTCATGAAAAAAATTTTGTTTGTCGATCTTTTTGGAGAAATTTGTAGTTTTGTTGTCAACAAAGATGGAAAGATTAGAATAATAATGAAAGGACCAGATAGTGCCCAGTTTGGTCCAAAATCTATCCCTGTTGAAATCTCTAATAAATTTTTATTTGGAAACAAAAACAAAGTCACTCATTTGGAAACAAATATTGAAGAAAATGATAAATGGATCATTTTCTGTTCAATGTCAATTATCAAATACATTCCAATGGAAGTTATTGAATTAATTGCTTCAAATGCTCAAAATCCATCTGATCTTTCATTCGATCTTAGAAATATTGCTTATTCTTACTCTCAATCAGAGAACTTAACTGTTTGTTCTATCAAAGTTTAGAGTAAATTGTTTGTCTATTTTTTTTATATTTACCATGGATGCGCTTATAAGTCAAAGCATTACATGACCTGTTTTGTTAAATTTGAATTTCTGGCATGAAACAACATTGAAATTTAATCTTTGTATATATCTTGCTAACATTTTATCAGAACTTCATTGATGAATAGTGAACGGAAGATTTTCCATCTATATTTTCGCATCGACAACTATTGTATATATATACAACGAAATTTCAAAATGAATTTATTGTTATTTTGAAAAATTTCAAAGAAACAATAGAGTATTCAATTTTTTTGAATTGAAAATGATCGATAGATTTTATAGTTTTAAGTTGTATATTTGAGTCTTCGGACTCATTATTACAATGTAAATCATATAGCTGCACAACAGGCTTTCATAGGGATGAATCGCCTTCACGTATATGGTCCAAGTATTATGGAGATATTCTTCCACCTCCTGCACTTAGCGGAAAAAATGTTGATGTAACCATTAATAACAAAAGATGCTTTACATATATATGTTCATTCATTGAAATTCAAGAAAAAGCAATTAAATTCGAAGGCATTACAGATTATTATTTTTTACTTTGCGAAAACGTTTTCAACAAAGGTCCTGGAACAATTTATATTAATGGTGATGATAAAAATGATATTATTATTGATCAATTTTGTTCGTTTGAAAATAGTTATCCATCCGAAGGTCAATTTTCCTATTTAAACGGCAATATCAATAGTACAATACTCCAAGGATCAATTTCAAATGGAGGAAATAGCTCTGCATTTAAAGGAATGATTTACCAATATCAAGGCTATACATCTCTTTCAAAAACAAACATTACTAATTGCGTTTCGGATTTCGAGACAGCTTTTTATTATAATTATGTTGGGTCCACAACCAATGCTTTATTTTGCAATTTTGAAAAATTGGAAGCGAGTTCAAATGGGATTACTAATTTTGATACATGTGATGGTAAAGTTGAAAGATGTAATTATATTAACAATCTTCAAAGAACAGATAGTTATGGTATAGTTATTGATTGGTCAAATAAAGTCCAAATATTAGATTCGGTTTTTCAAGGAAATAACCATAATAATAAAGGAAAATTATTTTCCACTGTTTCTGGACAGATTTATATAATTAAATGTAATAATGATAGATATACAACCAATTCTGTCGGTGGGATAATTGATAATTCCAATATGAAAACACAATCATTTGCTAATAACCTAAAATTCATTCGATTAAGTCCATGCGAGGGAGAAATAATTTTAGTGCATGAAAAGGGAAGCAAATTATTTAACAAATATAGATATTTTCTTTTTGGTTAATGCTTTGTTTCTTTTTTGGAAATAAGTAATCAATAAAACATCTAAATTTACACTCTTCTTTTTTTATTTTCTTGGACAATACATCATGAGATATAACTTCAAATGTTATAAAATACTCATTTCTCAATTATAACTATGAAAATCCTTAGCCATTGGCACAATGAAACTTCTTTGATATAAGATTCAGTATTTAAGATATAGATTTCATTCATTAATTTTTCAAGTACTTTTTATGTTAAGTTCTACGTCGAAATTCAAGATTTTCTACGTTCGAACTGTGTCGAATATTGGTTAAGATTTGGATAAATAATAAATTTAACAAATCTTTTCAGGATGATTGATCTTGAATTGGTATTTATATTTTCGTGGATAAATATAAACGTTTATTTATATTTAACTCATCATAGCGGAAAGTTATCCTTATTTGAGTCTATATGAAAAAATATTAATCTTATCATATTTTAAATTATAAAAAATAACAGTATATAAGATCTATTGTAAAAGCATGGAAGATGTTTTTGGTAATAATAGAACTTTCTTTAGTTTTTTTGTCTTGATGAGATAATAATCAAGAGAAAATTATAAATGTATGATTGTTTCAGAGTAAATTGTAAGCATTCACTTTACAGTGATCTTTGGAGACCTCTTGAGTGTATTGGCAACCATACAAACTTCATCGGATGCTTGCTTAAGAGCAGCATCAGCCATTTCTTGCGTAAGTCCATCTGCTTCGATTATACAATTTGAACGGAACTCTTTGATTCTTCTGTGAGGAACAAGCTCCCATTCAGCTTCCATTTCAACTGTAAGATCCTTAACTTTGATACCATTATCTTCGAGAATATGCTTGACAGATCCACCAAAGCATGATCCGTAAGCTAACATGATATGATCTGGGGGTGTTGGACCTGCACTGCCATGTCCCGAACCTGTTGTTAAAACAAGGCCTCTTCCAGCAGCATTTTGGCCAAACCAGTTATTATCCTTTATTAATTTAACGTTTACCTTGGCAATTTCTCTGCCTGTTGGAATCTTAGCGAAACTTCGAAGCATTCTGAAATTTGCTTACCCGAAAAGGGTGACAAAATTTTATGGAGAAGTTGATGATCGCTTTTTTCATTCAATATTTGATTTCAATTCTTAAATAAAGAATATTTAGAAAAGGTATATGAATATGCATCTAAAAATAAGTTCAAAGATGTTTGAAAAATTGAATGCTATCGAAAAGTGCCAAAATCTGTTAAATTTTTATATGAGTTCAGATGATGATAAATCAGTTCATTTAAGTGGAGATTCTGATAATGATGATAAAGTACTAGAACCCACAATGCAACGCCGCGAGACAGAAGATGATTCACTTAGTGATGAACTAAATGATAGGAAAAAACCAAAGAATGATGGAACTTCAGATGGTCCTAAACCAAAATCTCCGAAAAATAGAAAATACTCCGACACAATTGATATTAATTCGACACCAAGAAGTAATAAAGGAGATAAAAATTCCACAACAATGATCGTAAATGGGTCAAGACCCGATGATAGCGATTCAGATTCGATAGATTCTAGTAGATATCAAGATACAGAAGCTGAACCACCTTTAACGCATCCACAACAGAATTCAAAACCACCACCAGCTCCAAAAACAACGCAGCAAAATACTAATACTACTCAACCTGTTGTTGGACAACCTCCAGCACAGCAACCTCCAAAATCTAAGGGTTGCATATTATTATAACTTTGTTTTGTTTATTTTTCTTGTATTTTATAAATTATTGAACTAGTTGTTATTATTTGCTAGCTAATCACATTCAAATCTCTGATGTTTTTAATATTAATCAGAATTAAAAGTATTTTCTTCATATTAATTTTGTTTTCTACCAAATGTAAAACTAGTTATAGAAGTATTTTGAAGTTCTTAAGAATCAAGTTTGTAGTAGTCACTTTTTATTCCAAATGTTTGCTATCAATGGGAATTATAACTCAGGCCAGCACCTGAGTTAAGATAGGAAAAGTTGTTAAAATCCTATTTTGTGCCGATAAACTTTTCTATGATGACCAAGAACATATACCAAAAACTTAATCAAAATTCATATTCTTTCAAATATCTATATTAACTCTTTTTTGTTATTAACACATTAATGACGTACGGATTTTAAAATAAAGACTGATCAAAATGATAAAATGAGAACAAAATTTTTAACTGAATCTTTAATTTTTTCAAATGAATCTTATGATTTTCTTGTATTAGCAACAACTTTCTCAAATATCAATTCAAATAATGATTCTAACCAAATATATTTTAATAATGAAAATTTGATTCAAATCAAAATTAGTACATTTGTTTATTGCATTAACCAAAAAAGCGGATTGATTTTATTTCAAAACGGTATTATTCAAGGTTGTTCTTTTGCATCTAATAAATTATATCGACAATCAATTTTTCAGTCAAAAAAGAATGCAAATATCGAATATTGCTGCGCTTGCAATACATCTCAATATTCAGAATTTATTTACCCTAATTCAAATGAATGCAAATCTTTGATGTCAAATTTTTCAGAAACAAAAAGCCGATTTCAAAGTTGTACAGGAACTATTGGTTGTCAAACATTCATTCAAAAGTATATTAATTACTACAAATGTGGAAATGATTCAGCAGGAGCATCTATTGAGCTTTACAAAGGAAAAATTGAAATAAGTTATTCAAATTATATTGATATTGAATCAACGAGTTATTCTAATTTTATAATTATTGGAACCGGTGTAAATGCAACAATGCGAAAATGCTTTTTTAGAATTAATTAAAGGATATCAGAATTTAGTTGGGCTATTTTTATCGAAGATAGTACAATTATTACTCAAAATATTAACTATACCATGGCAAATTTAACAACAAATAATGTTATTATCAAATCCGATGAATTCGACTACACATTTGTTAATATTCCTCTGATTCAAACAAATTTAAACTATTTTTATGAAACTGCCATGAATGGATGTTATCTTTTCAAATTCACTTCCTTTACTGTATATATACTGTTTATTACCAGCAAATAATTAGTAAATTAATATATAAACTCAATGAAAATTGATTTATATTCAAATTTGTTGTATCAGATAAAAATTATTATTTTATGTCAAATGTCACTTTTTATTTGCTTTCATATGTCAAAGTTATTATTGACTCAGGTAAGATCCTGAGTGAGAATTGTTTACAGTGTGAACAATAAGTTTTAGTATTATAGTTCTTTAAATAATAATAACGTGTATTTTGAATTTAATTAAATTTAATTTAAGAAACTCAATTTAAGTTAAATTAGAATAATAATCTCAAAAGTTATTTATATGCTAATATAATTCCATTGATTTAAAGTCCAATATTAATTAATATTATAAAATGAAAACAAGATTTCTAATCGAACCTTTAGTTTTTGAAAATAAATCAACTTCTTCTCGAGTGATCGGATCTGTTTTTTCTAATATTCATTCCAATCAAAACTTAACACCAATATATCATGATATCGAAAGTCAAATCCAAATTCAAGTTAGTTCATTTGCATTTTGTATCAATCAAAAAGACGGTCTCATGCTATTCCAAAACGGCATTATCCAAGGCTGTACTTTTATTTCTAACAATATGAATAGAGATTCGATATTCTATTCCAAAGAAAAAACTATTTTTGAGTATTGTTGTGCAAGCAATACATCTCAAGTTAAAGAGTTCTTTTTACAATTAAAAAATGAAAGCAAGTTATTGATGTCAAATTTTTCTGAAACAAAAAGTGAACATCAAAGTTGCACAGGAACTATTGGAAGTCAGTCATTTATTCAAAGATATATTAATTATTACAAATGTGGAAAAGATTGGGGAGGAGCATCAATTGAATATTATATTGGGATAATGGACATTAGTTATTCAAATTATATTGATGTTGAATCAACAGGTGAAAGTTTTATAATTTTAGGATCTAGTGTAAAAGCTAAAATGAGTAAATGCTTTTTCAGAATTAAGGGATATAGATATTTGATTGGATTATTTAAAGAAACGAATAGTGAAACAATTACTATAGAAGATTGCATATTTATTACGGAAAATATCAATCATGATATGAGATATTTAACCACAAAGAATGTTATTATCGACTCAACTAAGTTAGACTATTCTTTTGTAAATATTCCATATCTAAAAACAGATTTCATCAAATTTGATGAAACAGATATTTTCTATTGTATCTTTTCCCAATATTCATCATATTATATTTTTTATCTAGTCAATTTAAAATGAATTTTTCCATTTTAGTGAAGCATTATGGCAACACTAACATGACAAAAATTAAAGTCCTTTGAGATATATATTCTATGATGTAGGTCAATGCTATATTTACATTATTTTTAATTTTTATTGACCCACATAAAAAATGCCTTTCACTAACATGATTTATAACGTGCTTTCTCCGAAAATGATAGACTGGTATTATATGTATTGTGGAGCATATTTTTCATTTTTTTTGAATAATTTTTATCATGTTAGTGAAGCCTTAAGGGACCACTGCACGGCCAAACAAGACCTATCGTCTTTTAAAAATCTTCAACGAAAATTAAGTTACGGTCATTTGAATCCCTACAAGATGCTTGTCAAATTCCCTTATTATCAGCATTCAAATTCTCTTTTCATATTAAATATTAAAATTATTAACGATAAAATTGGAAATTTATCATTCATAATAGCTGTTAACTGCCTATATTCATCATATACGACCATTTGATTCACAAAGAACTTCAAAATTTCTGTTATTCATTTATTTTGTAGGAGATTTTTGTTATGATTGTAGAACATATAGGAGTAAAAACGAACTGTAGCATGAATTAACAAAGTTTGAATATTGATACACGTAAAAATGATAAGTATTCAAAGGGATTATTTTGATAAATTCTATTTGGAATCATATTCTATGAATAATGATTTACATCGATATAATTTGAACAGATATCTATTCATATTCAATCAGACCTAATATTTAAAAATAAAAAATATTTGAAATTAAATTCAACTAAAAACTTAATGATTTGCATATGGAATTGACATAGTTATCATGTAATACTTCTAACAAGACTTTTCTGAAAAAAATTGTATATAATAATGACTTTTCTCTCAATTTAATTTGCAATAAAATTCGCAGATATTAGATTTTAATTAATATAAAAATATTGGCCAATAAAAATTTTTGATCGATCCACTTTTAAAATCAGAAAATCGTGAATTTTTAAAACACGCTTCGAAAATAGAAAAAAAATCGAAAAATGCAAATCATCTCAAAACTCGCCCATTTCAAGATTTTCCTTTAATTCGAAATGACATGATGCTAAAGTATCATACCAAAAGGTGTGTATATTGATGAGAATTCAAAAATATCAATCTGATGAGTAGCAAAATAAGTATTTATAATTGAGGCGAAAACGATAAATCTCATTTCGCCTCTCAATTTTTCTGAGTCTCTCAATTTTTGAAGTGGTTCCTTAATTTTGCCATCTTTTTTTTATTATATAATTATTATGCGACTAAGTATTAAACGTTAAAAGGTCAAATTTTTGTAAAAGTTCCCACTCATAAATTGAATATTGAGAAAAAAAATTAAATAAAAAAATTGCACTTCAGTTCATTTTTCATAATAGAAAATGGGCATTGTACAAACAATTACAGATGTTGTTACAGATAATAAAAGATATTATAGATGCCCAAAATGTGGTAGAGAAGTTTGGGCTTATGGTGTCTATCAAGGAAATATTTGCGAGAACTGTAGTGGAACCTTTGCCCATGGTTTATTAAAAACTTTAGATAATATAAGTCCAGGTATTACCACACGTCTTGATATTATGTGTGACCTTAGATCAAAGTATCGTTGCCCAAATTGTGGAAAATGGTGTTATGGAACTGGGAATTTAGTTGGATCTCCTTGTTGTTTCAGAAAATGGTTTAACATGAATGTAGCTTCGGATTATGCTTGCTCATTGGAACAATTCTTAGCCAATTATGATTCTGATGGCAGTATTACACTTGATGGACACAGATTTGAAAATATCATCCCACAAAATTGCTTAAGAAGAGCAAAAGATTATATGATTGTTCATACAAAATGGGGTTGTGGCAATAATGCAATTAACATTTGTTTAAAAATACATGGATACTCAAAACAATTATATTCATCAGATTATGAACATAATCCAATAGGCTGTGGATGGAGTTGGGAAAATTTTTATGAATTAAATATTAAGCCTAACTTCGAATACTGTGGTTGGAGGGGACATGAAACAGTAGCTGAGCAGGTTGAATATAATTGGGATTACATTGATGGCACTAATTATAAAAACTACTCATTAATTATTATGGGAGGACAAGATATCTGTGCCCACTACACAATTGTTTTGGGTGTAAGCACAGATAAAAAATATTATATTGTCACAGATCAAAAATTGCAAATTTGGCTTGTTGATTTATCATTGTTCAAAATGATAAGCGTTTACAAGGCAACAAGACATATCAACTTGTATCAACAGCACTCATTATATAGAGTTGGTTAACATATAGTAAACGCTCTTCTATAAATATCTCTTATCATTTTTCTTTGATTTAATAGACCAGGAAAATCATTTTCGGTTGGATTTTTTAAAATTAAAATATTGATTATGATTATAAAACAAGATTTTGAATAGTTCAGATCTCAAAACAAACTTCCTCAATTCTACTGCATAATAAAGCTCCAAAGTTTTAAACATCTTAACTTTTTTATTTATGTGTCACTTTTTATTTTTCTTTAATATGTCAAAGTTATTATTGACTCAGGTAAGATCCTGAGTGAGAATTGTTTACAGTGTGAACAATAAGTTTTAGTATTATAGTTCTTTAAATAATAATAACGTGTATTTTGAATTTAATTAAATTTAATTTAAGAAACTCAATTTAAGTTAAATTAGAATAATAATCTCAAAAGTTATTTATATGCTAATATAATTCCATTGATTTAAAGTCCAATATTAATTAATATTATAAAATGAAAACAAGATTTCTAATCGAACCTTTAGTTTTTGAAAATAAATCAACTTCTTCTCGAGTGATCGGATCTGTTTTTTCTAATATTCATTCCAATCAAAACTTAACACCAATATATCATGATATCGAAAGTCAAATCCAAATTCAAGTTAGTTCATTTGCATTTTGTATCAATCAAAAAGACGGTCTCATGCTATTCCAAAACGGCATTATCCAAGGCTGTACTTTTATTTCTAACAATTTGTATCTAAATTCAATTTTTCGTTCAAAAAAGAAAACAATTATTGAATATTGTTGTGCTTCAAATACCACTCAGTATACAGAATTCTTTATGCAATCTTCTGGTGAATGCAAATCACTGATGTCAAATTATTCTAATACAAAGAGTATTCATCAAAGCTGCACTGGAACCTTTTTCGGCCAAATGTATGTTCAAAAGTATATCAATTACTATAATTGCATGAATGATTCAGGAGGTGCATCAATCGAATTTTATGCAAATAACAGTGACGCAAGCTATTCAAATTATATAGATATTGAATCAACAGGAGATTGCTTTATTGTTATAGGATTTGGGATAACAGCTAAAATGAGTAAATGCTTTTTCAGAATTAAGGGATATAGATATTTGGTTGGATTATTTAGAAAAACGAATAGTGAAACAATTACTATAGAAGATTGCATATTTATTACGGAAAATATCAATCATGATATGAGATATTTAACCACAAAGAATGTTATTATCGACTCAACTAAGTTAGACTATACTTTTGTAAATATTCCATATCTAAAAACAGACTTCATCAATTCTGATCAAACATTTACATGTCGTTGCATCTATTTCCATTTTGCATATTTTTTATTTTGTCTTGTTAATATAGAATGAAATGCAATATCTTGTTCTTATGTATGTTTATAAATATAAGTCAGAAAACACAAAATTCAATCTTAACAGAAGATCTTCTCAGAAAATTAGAATTAAGGATGTATGGATTTCCCCAATCCACTAGGGCTGCTTGCTGTTTGGGATTCGCACTGTCCCAAATTGAAATTTTTCAATGAGTTTCAAGAAAAAAATAAAAAAAATGGGTGAAGGCAAAAAGAATTTAAAAAGGGTTATCTATAAAAGTATAATATTATGTGCAAATAAAGTAATTTTAGATAAAATATCGCTTATATTAAAAATATATGAATTTGAATAAATTAGAAATTTGAAATTTTGCCTAAAAAAGTTAAATTCTATACTTGCAGTATGAATGTGTTGTAATGGTAGTAAGAATGGGCTAGCTCAAAGCAACTGCTCAAAACTTTCCCGCCAAAGACGCAAAAGTGTCATTTCTGCATGGAAGACCATAGCTGGAGTCACGCTCAACCATCCCCTTGCTGGTATGATGTGCAGCCTTTGTTCTGACCAATCATAGTGCTGCTTTATCCATACCAGCAAGTGGTTTCAGCATCAGACCTCCGCTTGGTCTTCCATAAGAGCCCTGCAAATCAGAAGCACAGTAATTATGCAGCCTAGTTGCTAGGGTATAGTAGCTAGGCCGCATAATTATTGTGCTTCTAGCGATATTAGTTATACGTTATTGCACGCATTCACTTATACTACCACTCTCTCGCTCCTAAAAAGTCAGATACTTCGTAATTACTAGAATAGGACCAAGTTCTTCCGAGGCCTCTCATTGCATGAGAGACTTCGGAAGAGCTTGGCCCTAAAGCATCTCACTACGGCTCCCTGGTCTACAAAAGGCTAAAGAAACTACAATTTTGAGTAGAGTCCTTCCGAAGTCTCCCATTCAATGAGAGGCCTCGGAGGAATTCTACTCCAAGGTAATGCGCTTGTAGTTTCTGACTCTCTATTGAACGAAAAATGTAAATTTACTCGAAAAGAGCAAAAGTTCTTCCGAGGCCTCTCATTGAATGAGAGACTTCGGAAGAGCTTGGCCCTAAAGCATCTCACTACGGCTCCCTGGTCTACAAAAGGCTAAAGAAACTACAATTTTGAGTAGAGTCCTTCCGAAGTCTCCCATTCAATGAGAGGCCTCGGAGGAATTCTACTCCAAGGTAATGCGCTTGTAGTTTCTGACTCTCTATTGAACGAAAAATGTAAATTTACTCGAAAAGAGCAAAAGTTCTTCCGAGGCCTCTCATTGAATGAGAGACTTCGGAAGAACTTTGTTCTAGTGTAATGCGTGTATATTCTTGGGTCCAGGGAGAGCGAGAGAACTGGTTTGTAATTCGTTTTTGCTGAAGTTCTCCGGATTTCTCTCAATTGAGGAAGGAAATCCGGAAAACTTCAGCATGAGTTAATTGTGATGTAACTCTCTGGGTATTTACCGGCCAGAGAGCGAGTAAAATATTAGAGAGCGCATAGTCTCAGCATAGGTATGCGCACTATAAATATACGTTATTTTTTACTTTCGTATGAAGAAATAGCTTCTCATTTTTATGCTTCTATATACTTTGTTACTAAGTAAATCGCCTATTTTCTTATTAAAGCCTAATTTTTCCACGTGATTAAGAATCTCTGCATCCAAAAAATTCGTTTTCTGCTTTCAGAACGCGAAAACATGCAGTATATCTCAAGATAATGGGAAATCTTTCTCTTATATTTTCCAAAAAAAATTGAGTTTTTCGAATTTTTGTCATCAAATTTGGTGTTTTTCTTATCAAATTTGCAAAATCAAGATTTTTTTGGAGATTTTCAGCAAAACAAAACACGGTAGATAGATGTTATTTTATGATGTCTATCTGATGATGATCTCTTTTTTGATTTTTAGTAGAAATTCAAAAATTGTTTAACAAAATAATGATGATATCCTCTTTATCTTGAGATATACTGCATGTTTTCGCGTTCTGAAAGCAGAAAACGAATTTTTTGGATGCAGAGATTCTTAATCACGTGGAAAAATTAGGCTTTAATAAGAAAATAGGCGATTTACTTAGTAACAAAGTATATAGAAGCATAAAAATGAGAAGCTATTTCTTCATACGAAAGTAAAAAATAACGTATATTTATAGTGCGCATACCTATGCTGAGACTATGCGCTCTCTAATATTTTACTCGCTCTCTGGCCGGTAAATACCCAGAGAGTTACATCACAATTAACTCATGCTGAAGTTTTCCGGATTTCCTTCCTCAATTGAGAGAAATCCGGAGAACTTCAGCAAAAACGAATTACAAACCAGTTCTCTCGCTCTCCCTGGACCCAAGAATATACACGCATTACACTAGAACAAAGTTCTTCCGAAGTCTCTCATTCAATGAGAGGCCTCGGAAGAACTTTTGCTCTTTTCGAGTAAATTTACATTTTTCGTTCAATAGAGAGTCAGAAACTACAAGCGCATTACCTTGGAGTAGAATTCCTCCGAGGCCTCTCATTGAATGGGAGACTTCGGAAGGACTCTACTCAAAATTGTAGTTTCTTTAGCCTTTTGTAGACCAGGGAGCCGTAGTGAGATGCTTTAGGGCCAAGCTCTTCCGAAGTCTCTCATGCAATGAGAGGCCTCGGAAGAACTTGGTCCTATTCTAGTAATTACGAAGTATCTGACTTTTTAGGAGCGAGAGAGTGGTAGTATAAGTGAATGCGTGCAATAACGTATAACTAATATCGCTAGAAGCACAATAATTATGCGGCCTAGCTACTATACCCTAGCAACTAGGCTGCATAATTACTGTGCTTCTGATTTGCAGGGCTCTTATGGAAGACCAAGCGGAGGTCTGATGCTGAAACCACTTGCTGGTATGGATAAAGCAGCACTATGATTGGTCAGAACAAAGGCTGCACATCATACCAGCAAGGGGATGGTTGAGCGTGACTCCAGCTATGGTCTTCCATGCAGAAATGACACTTTTGCGTCTTTGGCGGGAAAGTTTTGAGCAGTTGCTTTGAGCTAGCCCATTCTTACTACCATTACAACACATTCATACTGCAAGTATAGAATTTAACTTTTTTAGGCAAAATTTCAAATTTCTAATTTATTCAAATTCATATATTATAATAACAAGACTTTTTTTCTTCATCATTCATGTATAATATATATGACACTATTAGATATATATTTAGAATAGTATTATTATAAAATTTTTAAAATTTGTTTGAAATGAGCATAAACCATGAAACAAATCATATGTTATCTATTGATCTTAATCAGAGCAAATCAACTTCTATCTTAAAATCTGCAATTTCTTGCTACTTTTTTTTTCATTTCTTTTATTTTGTTTCCAAATAGCCTCTCAATTGGATTAAAATAAGGAAGTCAATTTGGAAAATTGTTTTCACTTTAGGAGAATATAATTTTCCATTTGGAAAATTTAAAAAGTGAGACGCGCAGGATTCGAACTTTTTTAAAAGTTGATTTAAATGAATTTTAGTGTGGAATATAAGGATAATATCATATTTAAAATAAGAATATACTAGTTTAGGTGGTATTAATTTTTTCGATAAATTTGAGAGTATGTACGTTTAGGGCATGAAAAGTGTCAATTCGCTCAGCGAAAGCTGAGCTAGCTTCGTTCTCGAAAGAATAGGGAAGGAGTGAAAGAGAGTGATACAGATGTTGACACATTCATATCATTTCAACAAATTTTGATCAAATTGAAATTCAATGAAATTCAATTCACTTCATATCCTTCAGTCAGTACATTGACATCCTTCTACATCACAATGATAACTCGTACATCAATAGTTCTACAACTAACTCAGAAAAAACAAGATTTTTACTTCCAGCTTACAGCTTTTAAAAAGTTTCGATGATAAAAATCACTCTACTCTTGTTTATCGATATGTTGTGATAGTAGGTAAACGTATTCTTATCGATATTAATAAGAATATTTTTACGAAAATCTGAACCAATTACAGAGTTATTCATAAAGTTTATGATAACTGTAATTACTTCATCTTTGTTTTATATTTGAATAAACAATTTAATTTAATTTGCATAATATTTTTTGGTTGAAAGACAGGAAACTTAGTTGAGTTTGTATTATTTTTATCGTTTAATTCATCGTATCAGTGAGTGATCCAGATATTTAAGATATTTAGAAAAAATTTATTAATTTGATTAACAAATTTTAATCAAAATAGCAAAAATCTATTTGATAGCTGTAAACAAACAATAATTTTTATTTCAAGCAAAATCACTTATTTTCATCTAAACGTATAAAATTGTCAATTTTATGAAAATAAATTGAAAATCTCATGAAATGTAAAGGAGAGTAATATTTTTCAATTTTCTTTTTTTTCTTTCTCTCAAATATTTTCTGTTGGGAATTTTCTTGTTATCAAAAAATAATTTTAATATTTGTTTATTTCATTACATACAATAAAATTTTAAAAACTCTATTTCTTCTCAAGAAAATTTTTTTCCTTCATATGAAGAAACATTTTGTTCTCCATTTGATACTGAGTCTAAATCTCGATTTTTGAATTTTCTTCTTTCCAAATTTCTTTTTTCCAAATTAGAAGTTTAATTCAAATTTTCAATAGTTTATATATTTTCTCAAACCGTCTTAGATTTTCTCACTTTTTAGGGATTTTCTCTCAAAATATACAAAAATAGTAATATCAATACATGTGTCTAATATACTTTAAAACCATCGTGACAAAATTCAAAAACGAAGAGTTCTTCTCTCCAAATTTTTTTCAAAATCAAAAAAATGAGATAAAAAAGTCCGTTTGGAAAATTCATTTTTAGCATTTTAGGAATTTTCTCACTTTTCTTCCAAATTGACATCCTTAATTAAAATATACTACTATTGAAATATATTTATAATATTCATCAATATTTCATTCGACGATTATTGGGGATTGGGATTGATCCCAGCCCACCTCTCAATTCCTTTCAAAATTTGAATATGGGCTGGGATTATCCCTAATAATCGTTATCGTTTATCTTCAAATGGCAATAATAGCTAAAAGATATAAATAGATATACTATGTGTTAAAATTAATATACCTCTCCCAAGCAATGAAAAAAAAACTTGGGCTAAAAATGTCACTTTTGGGCCGCCCAGGGCTTAAATTTTTTTTCGTTTTACATCCTTATTAGAATCAAAGAATCTTCGAGTTTCTATATTAAAAACGAATTTAGAATATTACTGATTGAGTTTCTATTAAATATAAATGTAGCATTGACTAAGTTTTTGCATATATTGTAGAATGTTGTATTCAGATTTTGTATTTTTATGATAATTATATTGAGATAGTGAGTGAAATATATTCTTTATAGCTGATGTTTTATTGAATTAAAATAGAATAATAAAATATGAAATCATTTTTTATTTGATTTAAAAGTCCAAAAATCAGTAAAAATAGTTGCTCATATATTGTAAATTGATTCTAAGAACAGAATGTCTTTGATTCATTTTGATAAAATTTTCTAATATATTTATTATAATCTATCAAAGATAGTATCAGTACCAACAACTGCTCGATTGTGAATTAATCTTTAGCCGTTATTAAACTGTTTTCTTTTAGTTTGATATAATATCTCATTTTATTTTTTAAATTGATCTACGAAATATGGCAGACGATTGGAAATTCAGATGATCTCAGAGAATGTTCTTTCTAATACTGCAATTTATAATAAAAATTCTGATTTCCTTGTTTTCACGCTGTCTATTTCCTTTTAGAGCTCTTTGAGTTTTTCACAGATGCATTTTTATGATCAAGCTATACGTGGTAAAAGAGAACATAACTTTTTTATAATGAATAAGTTAATTATTACAATGAAACCTCTGTTCTAATGTTTTGATCCACTATTGCATGGACTTTATCGTTTTATTGACCCGATTTACAATGTATCATTAATGGCCATAATTAGAAAATAAATTTTTTTAGCAACAAATGTTTCGGGCAATCAGGCACAATTCAAGAATTCCAGAGAGATCTCGAAATATGCTGGGTATTAATGTTCCACAACCTGTAAATAATGATGATCTAGCATTATCACGTCAAGCTGAAGATCAAATTACTAATTTACAAGTTAGGTGTTCAATTTCAACTCTACTAGAAACTTATAAGATTATTGAAACAGTTAATGAATTTTCACCTCCAACACCATACTTTTGTTTATTACTTTTACCTCCGATTGACTTATGCAATATTGAATTGCCAGAACCCTTATCAAAACTTCACAGAGTACAGAAACTGTTTAGGGATTATGATTCAGAGGACGAGAAGCAGACAGAAGAATTAATAAACTGGATTTTAGCAAATCCTTCCATGGGATTGCGAGAACTTGAAATCAATTTATATATCAATCCAAGAAAAGTTCGCCATTATAAAAATCTCTATGCAAAATTACCTCTACATTATCGTTTATTGATCAATTCGAAAATTTCATTTACACCAGAATTTTCTCAATATCTGTATACATCAAAATTACTTTCCAATTACGATAGCAAGCAAATCAAACAAGATTCGTCTACAACTGCTTCAGATATTTCGGATTTAATTTTTCCCAGCCAAAATGCGAATTCAACTGAACTACAATTCAAATACATTGAGATTGCAATTGATGACAACCTCGCCGAACTCATTAAAATCATCAGTGCCATACAAAATTTCAATTTTGATTTAGTATACGCTTACAGATCCCATTACATCACTCTTTTAGATCTCTTTGCATTATTTGGATCTGTTGAATGCTTCAAATACATGTTACTCAATAGATCATCCATTAATAATACAGAAAGATTTGCAATTGCCGGCGGGAACCTTCAAATTTTCAGGTTAATTACACAAAGGAAGCAAATTGACCCTGAAAACTTCTACATCTCTCTTTATTACAGAAGAAATGATCTCTATGATTGGTTCCATTCGAATTTTGTTTCTGATAAAAGTGAAAACATATCAATTGTGTTTTCTTTGACACAGTTAATGGACATTCAAGCGATCTATGCAATTTCGCAAAGAAATGATTGTTTCCCATTAAATGATCTGATCAATTCTCTTTATGAAGACGGAAATTACGAGATTTTGCGTCATATTACGAAATTTGGCATCACTTCACTTAATAATGTCATATCTTTTAGTGACAAAGAAATTGTATTTAATTTCATGAATCATATGAATCAAGATAACTTCCAAAAATTGTTTATGTTTAGTGTCACGAAAGGATATAAAGAATTTGCAGAAATAATGATTCATCATGAAAAATTTGACACAATTAAAATTTCTGACATCAAAGAACAACTCAAAACATATGCACCAGAAATATTAGATATGATCACAGACAAACTTAATAAGATCACAGATATCAAAGTGATTTATCAGAAGTATTTGAATGGATATGATATTCCAACAAATTTCATTTACGAATTATTGGATTATACAATTGATGTCCATGATTTTGTCAGTTTTAATAGAATTGCTCAGGTTTTCGCAATTGCTTTGACAATGGAACAACTCAAGAAGTTGTTTGATAAGTCTTGTTGTGTATTTCCTTATTTGTACAGACAGTTTATAAGGCTCGACAAAAATGGAGATGAAAAATTATTTTTGTTGAGACATTTTTACAATCATATGGATACTCATTCATGCACTGAATTCTATGATTATTTCATGAAAGGAAATATTCCTGATTTGGATGTGATTGACTGTATTTCTCTTTGTCAGAGCAAAAATCTTAAAATTGAAAATGGATTTACTCGATATTTAGAAGAAAGAAATTTGATTCCGTCAAAAGAAAGAGAATTGACAATTGCAGAAATAATGCATCAAAAGAACAAACAAAATACAAATGATAACAGCGAAGCAGCGAAAGATATTAATGAAACAGAATCAAAATTGTATGGATATTGGAGAGATTCTCCAGATAATACTAGCAGATGGAGAATCAGTTCTGCTGTCCGTCCTCTACCAACTAATCCATTTTACACTCAAAATCATGCATTATTTAACTACAAATATGGTTTCCCAACAATCCCCACTAAATCCCCAAATTCATCAAACAAACCTGTTCAAAATCAAACTTCTCAAAATAATCCAAACAAACCTGTTCAAAATGAGAATTCTCAGAATTTTCCAAACAAACCTGTTCAAAATGAGAATTCTCAGAATTTTCCAACCAAACCTGTTCAAAATGAGAATTCTCAGAATTTTCCAAACAAACCCGTTCAAAATCAAGGTTTTCAAAATAATAGTTTTAAGCCATTTGCTCGTACTAGTTTTCCAAGTTCATTTAGTGAAGTACAGTATAATTTTTCACAATGGCAGAACAGATCGAAATCACCGATTGAAATTGAGTTAGATCGAATCCAAGCCAATAAGAAAAAAGAGAAAATAATGAACAGTTCTGCTGTTCCTTGGGGATATTCCGATGAATCAAAATCTATGTTACAAAAACCGAATTTGAATCCAAATCAAGTGAAACCACCTCCACCTACAAATACAAATATAAATCAAGCCATTGGAAATTACAAATACAAAGATGGAACACCATTTGAAGTCAAATGCCCAGACAGACCAGGATGGTTAAGAACATTGAACAGAATCGAATCAAAAGAATTGTTTTTCATCTTAAATTCTCCTCAATTTCATGAGTTCGTTTCTAAACCAGAAAACAAAGAAAGACTTCTTCAAATCATCCCTTCATCTCCAGTTTTACTTACATTTTGTATGGATTGCAAATTACCTAAATCATTCTTTGACCAAATTTGTGATTTATGCATTGATTACAGCACAAATACTCATACTGGTTCCAAATTCATAACTGATTTCATCTTCAATGATTACAACAAAGATTACATCAATTTAGATCATATGATACAATTTCCAAGTTTCAGAGATATTGTCAAACGCATGGATTTCACGAAAGAACAGTTTGATATGATAAGAAACATTAATTACTTAGACAAACGCCTCATTTTTAATCCAAGAAATGCAGTTTATTTACCAATTGATGAGCTTTTCTGTTTCGATCGTGATCAAATCGGAAAAGCTCTGAATTACATCGAAATTAATGATGAAATTGCAGTCAAAATTTATCGTAGGAATTTGAAATTGAGTGCAAATTTGTTGAGAAAAGATCCTATTTTGAAACTAATGAAACTAGAAGAATTAGTATTTAATTTCACAAAATTCTGGCCGCATACAATTATACTTGAATTATTGGATGAAATTTTGTCACGTGATTTGACAAATAAACAAAAGTTCAAAATTGCAACACATATGAACTTTACTGACATGCAAGTCAATGATTTTATTATTGCAAACAAAGAGAAATTCAATAAAGATATCCTTGCTTTTTATTCTGCAAGAACAGGACAATTTATTGTAGACAAAAATACATATGTTTCTGATTATTTCTTGACAAGTTGTATCAGAGATAATCAATACAAAGAAGACTTTTTGTTAGTTTTCATGGAATTTAATTGCCATAAGAGTGGTCTCACGAAAGCTCTCCATACTGCAATTCATTGTAAAGAAATATCTATTGTTAAAAAACTTATTGAAAAAGGTGCAATTTGTGAAGCAATTGTTGAAGGTTATACTGCACTTCAAAAGGCAGCATTAATGCGTGGAAAACAAGGAAAGCAGATTTTCGAGTACATGATGACATTGAACTTAGACAAAACATATAGAATGAATACTCTTTCATTTTGTGCAAAACATTTGTATGATGATAACTCAAACAAAATTTATCCTTCTATGAAAATAGGAAATTGGAAAAATAACGGAAAATGTGACATTTTGACAAAAGTTGCTCTTTTGGAAAGTAGAAATACTTTGTCAGACCAACAAGTATCTGATATTTCTGTATTGGATATTAATGAAAAGACCGAAAATGCTCTTTTGTTTTTCATCAATTTCACTAATTGTTTACATATTAATGGTTTTAATAAACCTGCAAATAAAGTGAACGATCAAAAAACAATGCAAGAATTAATTGAGAAATTCTTGCCAAAGGCTTCTGTTAAATTCAGAAATGTCTACGCTATATTGCATGATAAACCAGAAATGATTGAAGCAGATGAAGATTTGACTGATTTGTTGTTTATCGCAGTTAAAAAATCTGGTTTCGAAACTGTTAAAAAGATGATCGAAAAAGGTGCAAAAATCAATGAAGTTGAAGGATATGTGAATCTTTTTAGTCCTAGTTTGGAAGCAATCAGACAATACAAGAGTGATATCTTGAAACTTTTCATTGATAATGGATTAAATACAAATGAAGTTTATGCTTCTGATGATTTCACACTTATCAACGCTGCAATTCAATTTCGTTCATATGAATGTTTTGATTTGCTTCTTCCTGTTTGTGATTTGGTCCACAGAGTTACTAAGAGTCCAATGGAATGCGCAATTCGAGAGTACCTTAATGGATACAAATACTTCGCATTGACTCTTTTGGATAAAATTGATCCTGAAATCGAATTAATCGAAAACAACCATTTCGCTCAATTTCTTCAACATTTGGATGATGGAAAATTATTTGGAATTCCTCATCAACTCAATGAACCGGAAAAATTCTCCGGTACCAAAGTTACAAGAGAATGTGCTCAAACGTATTTAGTGAATTTGATTCGTGACGCAGTATCAAACAAACATCTTTTGGATTTGAGAAAAACTCCTCAACTAAATCGTTTAGATTTATCATTGAAATCATTTTGGGGACCAAAATAATATTATTATTTATCTTATATTAAAATTTATTAATGAATTGTAATCTTTTTTTAGGATGCATCTACAACTTTCAAATTTCTTCTAGCAATATATTTAAGGAGGGAAAATATAGCAACTATGATATGCAAAAAATATAAATGAAAAAAATATATTCACCTTTTGACTACTTTTCATGGATAAATTTTTAAACGCACAAATAATGCGCAGTTTGAATGTAAAATAGTCGTTTTTGTGCGTTTTTTGCATTTCTAGGAAAACCTATATATTTCATATGTCAATAGAATCAAAATTTATTGGTTTTGAAAGTTTTTAAGGGTGCACTTACCACTTTGTGACATGCTCTTACAAATTCAATATATATTTCTTAGAATAGCAAAAAAAGTATAACAATCATATTATTCATTATATATAGATTTATGATTCCTTAGAAAATTGGATGTCAAAAAATTTATATCAGTAAGTGGTAAGTTCACCCTTAATTTAATCGATCTTTAACGGTTAATTCACAATGTAAGTTATTATTTATTTTGATCGTAAGAATAGAAGAGTTCTTATTAGTTTGAAAGCAATATTACGACGTTGTTTTGGATTTGGTTTTGAGATGTATTTGCTAAGGTCAATATAATAATCATAAAAATATCCTCTTTTCAATTCTGGTATTACATCATGAAAAGATATATTAAAGTTTTTGTTTTCGGCATTAATTAATAATGATGAATTATTTTCTATTTTAAATGGAGCCAAATAAACTGTAAAATTTCGGTTTTCGTTTTTCATTGTAATATTGCCTTTATCCGTTTTTGTTAAAGCGTTTTCGTCATCTACACTTAAACTAGGATTAAAATAAACTGATGGCTGATTTGTAATAATAGCACTATGAACAACCGATGAAAAGCTTAACCTCAGTTTCGATAGAATGTGTTCGAAAGTAAATACTACATTAGGCGCAGCTTTACTTCCAGTTTGAATACTTCTTAAAACATCAGTACAATTGGACTGATTTGACAAATTAACTTTGATACCAGAAAGCATCATACCACCTAAATCTTCCCATGGATAATACAAATAAAATGTAACGGTTTCATCATCTTGATAGTATATTCTATCAGAATCCGAAATTGGACTAAAATTTCCATCTCCGCTAGGGCATGTATATTTTTTGTTATTATAATCCACAGCTCCTGAAGTAACAGAAATTGATATATTAAAATTTGTGGAGAAAAAAACAGGAATTGACTGTGAATCATTCCGGTAATTACTATCAATTTTCCAATCTTGTATTATTCCCGTTATATGCGCATCTTGGGGAGTTCCAATATTTTGATTCATTCAAAATTATAAATTCCCAATTTATAAAGCAAAACATTTAAAGAAGAAAATACATTTATCATTCTAATGATATAGAAGTGTCACTATATATTTGTAGAATATATATATTAGACTATATTTTATAAATTATTAACAACTGATCAAATTCGTTAATTGCAATGATATCAAAAACGAATGAATTCATTTTTAAGTAATATTAAAATACCCATCAATTCGAATTTTTTTGTCCTTTTTTTAATGAATTTGTAAAGCCAGAAACAAGTTGAAGTGATTATTATTTCAATATGCTTCAAGCATTATACTGAGCAAAGCTCAGAAAAAGCTTGTATTATATTTTGAAGTAATAACTGTCAAACAACAATTAAAACGTGACATTTTTTTGTTCCGAAATAATAAACTTCAGAATTATTTGAAACCTTTTCAACTCTTATTAAAATTAGTCGATAAAAAATTGAATTTGGTAAAACAAATATAATGTGTTCATCCGAATTGCCAAGTCTGCATCCTTAAATCAATATAGTTGGTTTTCCATATGTTGGCAAATAATTGTTTTATATGTCAGTGCTGCCGCTATATCAGGAGGTGTGTTTAGCTTACCTATGTAAAATTTTTGTTTATACTTTTGTTATATTTTCTAAATATCTGCATGAATACACGAAATTGTATGAGATGAGATAAAAAAAAGGATACAGCAATGCTTTCATTCAATGAAAATATATTTTTCATGCACACAAATCAATGTGGGAGCATATTGCTATTGATAGTTTCCTTGTAAGCTCTTAGAATAGAAAGCATGAGAAAATAAAATTTTCATAATTATTGAATGCTCTCTCAAAATTGTAGAGCATGTGGAATCTTAATAATGTTTTAGTTCCGATGGCATGTTCATCAATGACTATTTACTACAGTATTTAAATAATATGGTTGTAAATGTTCAAAATTCATTTCATTAAAGAGAATGATTTATTTTGATTTTAAAAGTAATAACATGACTCTTAATAGTTTTAAGGCAATATTATGAAGTTGTTTAGGATTCGGATTTGAGATATATTTTTGAAGATCAATGTAATAATCATAAAAACATCCTCTTTTTAATTCCGGAATTATATCTTGAAAAGCAATACTAAATTTTTTTTTCGCTGAATTAATTAATAACAAAGAATTTTTTTCATTTTTAAATGGAGCCAAATAAGCTGTAAAATTTCCATTTTCGTTTTTCATTGTAATATTGCCTTCATTGGCTTTTACTATAGCGTTTTCATCATCGATAGTTATGTTCGGATTAAAATAAACTGATGGCTGATTTGTAATAATAACACAATGAACAACCGATGAAAAACTTAACCTCAGTTTTGATAGAATGTGTTCGAAAGTAAAATATACACTTCCTGTTGAATCACTTTTTAAAACATCTGTGAAATTGGATTGATTTGATAAATTAACCATTATTCGAGAATCAATCATATCATTTAAATCTTCCCATGGATAATATGAATGAAAGGTTACAATTTTTTCATCCCGATATGGTATTACTCTAGCTCCTGTAGATGGACGAAACCATTCGTCCTCAGTACATATATATTTCAAGTTAGTGTAAGTATTATTATTTGAATCGGATACATTAGCTGAAATTGAAATAGTATCATTTATTGAAAATGAAAGAGGAATTGATTGTAAGTCTCTTGGGTAATTACTATAAATTTTCCAATTTTGTATAATTCCTGATATTGAAGCCTAAACCCCTACAGTAAACTTGCCATCAGTATTAGTGACAGGTGAAAAATAATATAGAAATGTTATCATTCACTTATATTTGATTGAAATGCTTTGAATTTTCAAATTGAGCTTCAATATTTTAAATTTAATATATTAGTTGTAAGGTATATAATTTAGCTTCGGATATTTATTGCCTTTTCGACCATATAAGATTGCAAAAAATAATAAAAAAACCTTGATCTGCTTTACATGAAACAATAGAATGAAAAAGTGACAAATAATAATAAAAAAAACTTGATCTGCATACTTTTCAAAAATGTGCGTTATTTACTCCTTAAGCCTTCCCGATATCTTTTAAAGATTTTGAAATTGCGAAAAAGATAGAGTATGCTCAATGCACGCTTTATATTTTTATTCATAAAAATATCAATTCTATCATGGAAAAAAAAGTATTTTCAAGTTTTAAAAATTGGATAGTTATAAACTAAACCAATGAAATCTTAAAAACCATTCTGAAATAATACGTGTAATACAAATATCGGATCATTCTAGAGAGGAAAAAAAGTAAAAAAGATGTTCAAAATTCTCTCAATTTTCTTTATAACAATTAAAAATAATAACTAATTCTGTAGTATATGATAAACATTTTGTTGGGGTGGAAATTGAGGAGGAATGTATTGACCGTTTGGTTGAGAATAGTGTCCAAGTTGAGTAGGAGCATAAGGTTGTTGTGACATTTGTTTGGGATATCCTGAATAATAAGTATACAAGGCATTAGTTTCAACACATTTAAAAGCTGATATATAAAATTCAAAATAGAAAATTAACTGATTTAAAAAAAATGTTTTGGCATATATAGAATGTTGTATATTCATGCTGACATTCTCAGAATTAAAATCGCAATGGAATGATATTTGAAATATTTGATTAGTATTAAAATCGCAACTATCAATTGATATTTTACTTAATTTTTATTAATGAGAGTTCTCATTCGTGTTGCTCATGCTGATAAAATACATGTTGCTACTGCTTATAGAATAGCAAATGTTTTGAATATCGAATCAGCTATTTAAGTGAAGAGGTATTTGACAAAGCATTAAATGATTATCATATCAAAGTCAACTACCATGTTGATCATGTTCAAGGTAAAGTGATTAATCCAATCATAAGACAACAAGAATTAGGCCAGTTGGCAACAAACATCCTTGTTATAGGTTTAATGTGGTTCTACACATTCCAGTTTGCCTCAATACTTAGAACGCGTATTGTTTGATATCAACGGAGGGAAAGAAAGTATCATTCGTCATCACAAATGAAGACTATGATCAATATGATTCTTAAAGATCAGAAATCGGATCTCTGGAACAACAAATCCTTTCGTAATGCAATTCTTTCCATTACAGCAAATTTACAGTAAACATACAACTAGGTTGTTATCATGCTGGCATGGGAAAAATTCCAGATCCAGTCCATGAGAAAAAATGGCTTGAATCATTTGAGAAAAGTGTTGTTCACTTTGATGAATGGCAACTTTCTCCGGAAACTATCATAATGCACTAAAAACTAAAATCCTCTTCAAATAAAAAATAATTTATGAAATAAAAAAAATTAAGTGAATACGTATATTTAAATATTAATTAGGAGTTTGATAATATGGATTTTGTGGAGGATATTGTCCATTTGGAGGTGGTGGATATTGTCCATTTGGAGGTGGAGGATACTGCCCATTTTGTGGTGGAGCGTATTGTGGAGGATATTGGTTATATTGTTGATTTTGTGGTGGGTATTGATTGTATTGTTGACCTAATTGTTCTTCACTAATATGATTTCTCTTCTTCTTCTTTGATGATGAAGATGACGAAGAAGAATTCTTCTTATACTTATTATAACACCAACAATGAAGAACTTTAGAAACAATGGTTAATATTAAAACTAAACCTACTGCACAACCAAGAACAATTGCAATAATTATACTTGGAGAATATTTATCACCATATGTATAAACATATTGTGGATTCTCTGGTTTGTAATTAGATTTAGACAAATTAGTATAAGAAAGAGCACCAATAAACAAACCACTTATTTCTTCTGTTGCCGGAGCATAACTATATGTTTTGTATTTCCACATTGCGTCATCATCAGAAAATGTTACTTTATATTGTTGTGCTGCCATTGTTTTGTTTGGATATGGCAACATTGAGTATCCATCGTATAATGTTACACCTGTTGAAGGTTCGCCAAATACTTCATATTCTAATGGACCTGATGCGAAAATATAGAAATTACTTTTTTGATGTTTATTTGTTGATAAATTGACTGCAACACCTTGATATGTCTTCTTATTATAGATAGAGAAATATTGTGGTTTGTTAGGAGAAACAACAATAACATCTAATGTTGTTGAATCAAAAGAACGATAATAATAATTAAGAACTGATATATTTGCAATTAATGGCTTGTTATCAAGTGGTTTGATTTCCATTGTATCACATTTTGTAGTGAAATTAATGACATAATTTCCTGTTGATTCTAAAATTCTATCTGAAGAGATTGTTCCTGAAAATGATTTTCCATTATGAAAAACAACTAATGTTTTAACTTGGAAATCAAGAGTTCTGCCTTCAGCAGGTATATATATTTGATAAAATCCATTTGCAAAGTTTATATTAGCAGTAGTGGATTTAATATCATAATGATCATTCGCAGGATTTTCATTCTTTAGATTGTCTCCAATTATATGAAAACTTTCATTTCTAAAAGTGAGTTTTGGATTTGTTTCAACTAAAAGATCAGATGTTTGGAGACCAAATACATCTCCTGATATAGCAGCAGCACTGGCATATAAAACAACTGTTTGGCCAATATAAGGAAATCCATAATAACACTCCAAATTTGAATAAAATACGTTATTTGGATAATGAATGACAAAATTTTCGGCATAGGCTGAAGAATGACAGAATTTGTATCTGATTATGTTTGGTGATGTTAATATATGACAATAAACTGTTGGTCGACGAACATCGAAGTCATAATCTGAAGTTGAGAAAAGAACATGAGTAGATTTACCAAAAATTTCAACATTAAGGTCTGTATAGTTCATATATGGGTTGACAAAGACTATGGAGTAATAAAGATCGGCTGGTCCTGGGCCGGTAACTTTGACATTAAAATTAGTTAAATTATTGAAGAAAATTCCTTCACCAATTTGTGCAATATCTGATTCAAATGTAAATCCTTCGGTATTCTTGGCAATAAAGACTGAACTGGGTGGTACTGGAATATATGCCAAATCTCTTATCGTTTTTCTGTTATCTCCGAAATCGTACATGTTCTGATCCAATATCATTAAACGAACAACTTCATTTGTTCTGTCTGATTCAATAATTACCAGAGCAGTCGGAGATTCTGGTATTTGAGTAGATTGATAAAGGGTTGATGAAGTGACACTCCGGTAATAATAATATCTGACAGTATTAGAACCAACAGATGAAACATTCATGTTCAACTTAAGAAGAGAATCTTCACGTGGGAAAAATAAGTAGCAAATTCGATCAGAATAATATCCGGCTGTTTCATTTGTCATTAAAAAACCATTTAGAACATATTCTACTGTTGGACAGTCTTCGAATAGATAGTTAGCTGTAATTGTCAAATTTGTGCCTGCTTTTTCTGGCGTTGGGGTAACAATAAACGTACTACCTTGATAGAATATATGCGGAAAATCTGTTATTTCTTGATTATTCGAATCTTGAAATGTAAATCCTTCAGTTTGATAGGGTAAAACTGCTACATTTGAAGTCACATTAAACGTTGTTGCTTCGTCAATGGTATAGGAGAACTTGTCAAGTCGTAAATATATAAATGGAAGGAAGTGAAGAAGCATTAATGAAATTTTTCCCAACGGCGAATTTTTTTTTCTTAATTTTTAAAATTTGTTTACAATAAGTTGTTTTGCAATTTGAAATAAAATATCAATTGTTATTTTGAATTTGAAATGATCGGATGCTTGAAAAAGTGGATCAAAAATTCTCGTAAAGTTATCGAATATGTTCAAGAGATAAATTTTCTGGTAAGTTTTATTATATAAATTTGATAAATCTACCCATAATTTTTTTGAAAAGTTTACACTAAGGTTTGCGAACCTTCTTTAGAAGCTCTTTATTCTTTACCATCTTCAGAACTCATGTCTGTTATAGCAAAAGCTTACTAATCAAGAAGAAATTATTTATTGAAGTTGTAAAATTGTTGAAATAATTCATTTTGTTGAGAGTATTTTTGCACATAATACTTCCACATAAATCACTGTGGCAAATATGTTCCATAATAGACTAATAATGCTCTAATTGCGACAGATTTTTTCGTATTGATGGTGATATTAGCAAATTTGAATAAATATTTGCTTGTGATAAAAGTCAGACCTCGTGAGTCGGTTTTCCTTTTTAAAATTTTGTCCGATTTGTTGACAATCCAAAAGAATTATTCTTATGTTTGTGATAAGATCTTCTTATTCGTAGAGCACATTATTTTAGACCAATGCTTATTACAATGCACCAGAAATGAGTTCGTTTCCGATCGTTTGATTGTCCAACGGTCTTTTTTCATTCAAAATTAAATCATGAAATGTTATTAAATTTGATATCTAATATAATATTAGAAACAAATTTTCTAAAAATAAAAGATTAATTTTAAAAATTAGAAATTCGATCACTCTATTTTTGAATTAATCAGCATCTTTATCATGTTTTTCTTATCAAATTACTTAATTAATATTAAAAATTGTATTAAAAATTATGTTTATTGAAATTATTTTAAAAATTAATTAATTATACTTTCTTTTCTGAAGATGAAGATGAAGATGATTTCTCTGATTTCTTGCCTTTGAAAAATAGGAAGAATACAATTACTGCAACAACTACTGCAATAACAACAATTACTGCAATAACAATGCCAGCAATTGCTCCTCCGCCAAGTCCTGCTTTACAATAATAACTATTATCTGGTGGGATGTATTTTGTTCCGTATTGGTAAACTTGATGAATATCTTTTTCATCAAAAACTGCTTCTGAATAATTAACATATGAAAGAGCTCCGGCAAAAAGACCATAAATTTCTTCAGTTTCAGGTTCTGAGGAATTTATTGTTGAAAAATCATATCTAGTTGAGACCGTAAGATATGCTGCGAACATTGTATTATATTGTTTATAATATGGATAAGTTTCCTTTGTTATTACTTCCATACCAATTTTTGATATTCCACCAAGCTTTACTGTTTGTGGTGATGATGTAAATGATACAAATGTGGAATCAAAATATCCTTTATCAGGCATTGTTAGATTTCTTTTGTCATAATCATCATCAAAATCATGAGAAGCTTGAATATAAACTGGATGATTTGGAGCGACAACTATAATATCTTTAGTTTGACAGCGCTTTAGATTAAACAGATCATTATTATCTACTAAGTATAGGATGGAAATTATTTTATATGCAAATTTAGAACTGCGATAATATGACCCATCATATGAATATTTGATAGGAGTGTTATTTCGAACAACTTCAACAAAATAATTATCTACTAGTTTAAATGGATCGATAAAGCTGATACTATATAATAATGTCCTTGTACCAGTTGTGTTTACAGTTAGTGCGCTGAATCCACCATCATTGTAAAAAATTTCATTAGGGCAGAATCAAAATTAAAACCATCAATATTCTTTGCAACAAAAATGGAACTTCCTGGTATGTTAATCTTAATTTCATTAGTAAAAGTTGTTTCAAAATCACCATAGAAATTCCTATTTACATCAATCATATAAAATCGAGGTACATTTTCATTTCCTTTTCTTTTAATTGAAATTGTAATTGTTTGACAAGATGTTAAACCATAGCCATATAAAGGGCCTTCTGTGAGACGAGAATCAGACATGTAGTTGTATTCAAATGAATTAGATTGATAATCATCATCGAATTTGAAAAGTGAGAGTTGATTTGGAGAGAAAAATACAATGCAGCGTTTTTCATTTAATGCAAATGAATCGAAAGGTGATAAGATATATCCTTCAGTAATATATATTGTTTCACTACAATCGGTAAATGCAGGTGCTACAGAAATTACAAGTTTAGTCTCTTTAGAGGGATCAACTGGAGTAATAACTAGGTTATCTGATGCTGAAATATTTTGCGGAAATTGATTTAAGAGTCTATCTTTGGATGTTTTGAAAACAAAGTCTTGTTTATTACTTGGGAGTATTGTTATTGACATATTAAATGTGAATGTTGTAGTTTCGGTAATAGTATATTCATTATTACCAAATTTAAGAGCTTCAAAGAGCAAGAAGTTTAAAAGCATCTTTAAAAAAAATGGTCAAAAATTCAAATTTGAATTGGAACTAACCGAAAGTTTTATCTTAGAAAAATCAAATAAGCCTATTGCCTTCTTAAACAACTTTAAGTTAAAAGTAAATTCAAAATTGAAAAGAGCCGTTGGTAAAGGAAAAGGGTACAAAATTTTGTTATAATCAAGACCATTGTCGGAAATCAATAATACAAGTATGGGAACATAATTGTCGATAGTAAAGAATAGAAGTCTTTGAAAAAGTGATATTTTGAATGAAAAACCGTCAAACAATCCTATCTTTACTCATGAATGTGTATGTTTATATTATTTGAAAAATTAATCCAATCAAATGTCATTTATATATGTCACTTTTTCTAACGGTCTTTTATGAGTTTATTTTCGAAATTACCTTGATTTTATATAATGATAGCTTCCGAACTACTCAAATAATTAAATTTGATTATATTTTGTTGAGTTCATGTTTCATTGTTTTTCTAGAATATTCATAAAAACTGTGTAATTAGTATCGCCTAGTATATTCATTAATAAATTTTGATTGTATTGTGGTTGATCTTGCAAAATAAAATGTAAATAAAGTGAAAAATCAGTATTCTTCGATTCGAAATATTTAATATGAAACAACTGCTAATTTCAATGCTATTGTTAAAGCTGAATTAACGATTGATTAACATTATTCCAATTTTTTTTTAATTATTTTTCCAATCACAATGGCCTTTATGAATGTATAGTACACTCGTTAATTAAAATCACTTTATCAAATAATATGCAAATATATTGTTATTATTATTATAAATAACATTTTATAAAAGAAAATATAACAAAGAATTTAAAATAATTGAAAATCATCCACGAGGAACTAAATCAAATGATCCGGGTATATGATTTGCGCCGACCGATTCTAAAGTAGGTAAAGAATGAGGGATGTTTGAAGTAAATGTCTGTTGTGGGTAATGAATTGAAGGTTGTGGTGCTATTGGTAATTGAATTTGTTGCTGCTGCTGATATTGCATTAATCTTTGTTGATTAGCCATAATTTGTTGATCGTAGATAAGTTGCTCTACAAGGAATTTGGCTTTTCTTCCTTTCTTTCTAATGCGTTTTTTCTTTATTCTTATTTCGTCTGGATCGGATGAGTAATCTTTAACGAAGTCATCTTTCCCATCTGCGTCAGTATCTGGTGTCCACTGATCATTTCCATTATCATCGCTGGAATCATCATCTATATCATTATTTCTTGATTTAAAATTACCGTAGTTATTAGCATGGCTATGCATGCTTTAGGTTTTTTTCTTTTTAGTTCAACATTTTGAATTTATATTGAGTTTACAAGAATTCATTAAGAAATAGCCGACGAAATAAATGTCATTATGGATTATCTTTATTTAAAAAATCTGCCCAGGAGGATTAAAATAATTGTAATCTTCTGAATTTAATTCACGGGTTAGGAGGTAATGTTGGTTGGTAATGATGAAACAGATAAAAAGAATTGATAAAAATAACATAACCGAATTGAATACATATTAAATTTTCAGCGGGTATGTTGAATTTTTTGGTTTCGTATATCGATCAAGGGTTCGAATTTTGGAAAAAGAAAAACTGCATAAAAACTTATGGAAAGCCAAGACAGCAAGAGCAACTGAAAATATCCGAACAATCGATCAAGAAAATTATACCCAGATTTTCCTTACTTTTACCACCTCTCTAAAGCTGGGGACACCGCCTATCGTTGGGAGTAGCTATTAAATAGAACCACCAAGGGTATTTTTCGAACTGCCGGTGTAGTGGAAACATCCGACATAATGATTCATTATGCCGAGGTTTGATTCCCATTTAGCCAATTTTTTTCTTTTTTGGATCATGAATTTTTTTTGGGTCACTATAAGATTTGTTTCATGTTCTAAATCTGCTGCATATGTAATCTATTTTTATTTACCTATTTTTTAAAAATCTATTGGATTGCCAAATTTGAATATATTTAAAATCATAAAAATCCAAAAAAACTATAATTATATGTTTTATGCATAGTGCCGATACTCAAATATCAGATTACTTAGATCCATGAATAATATCCGAATTTTTTTTCTTAAAATTAAACTTCAAAACTTCTTGCAATCTTATTCTTAATCAATTGTAAATTTTTAAAACCATTTTTTAAAATAATTTTGCGTAAATTTTATTCTCATGTTGTTTTAATCGAAAATTGATACATTTTCAAAAAAATAATATTGACTTATGAAATTCATTTTTAAGGTGAAATAGTATTGTTTTTATTAAAGTATATGAATAATATATAAAAAATTAATGAATAATATAAGCAGATTTTTAGTTTACAAAACAAATATGAGCAATGCAATTTCAAACTTTTGCTGGCAATTTCGATATTGCTCAAGTTTGTAGTATTTGTGATACCTATAACATCGGCTTAATCAAAATTCGATTTTTCTTATGAGTTATTGAGAAAATTTGATTGCAATGAGAAGGATTTCGACGTTTTTGATAAACTAAGAGCTGAGCTTTAGGGGTTCAGTTCATTTATGGCTGTAGTTTGATGCGTAGATCTCTTTTTTATTGTAAATTCTTTCAGCATGGAGATCGAGAATGAATCTTTTGAGAACTTTATGAGTTTTTACACCCGTAAAGAGGTCCTTCGAGGAAAGATAGTCCAGACTACATGAAGATGTGGGTTAACCAAAAAAATCCGATGGTTTCCCCATATTCATGTAGATCTTCGAAAAAATGAGCACCAAAAAAGCCAAAAAATAGGCTTTTTATTGGATTTGTACACTAGATCAATAATCTATTTAGGATCTGACACTCTTTTTAGCCAGAGATATGAGGTCCTTTCTAGGAAAACGATCTATTCATCCATAAAAAAAATGAATTATCGTTTTCCCCAGAAATTACATGGGGAGTGGTAAAAGTAAGGAAAATCTGGGTATTTTACATTCTGGAAAATGAAAAGGTGAAAAAAAGTAATGCGTAATTCTTTATCACTATTATATTTTATCATATCAAATAATAATTTGAAAATAAAAATAAGCTACATAAACATTGAAGGATATTTTGAATATATATCGGAAAACTGCGAAATCGGACAGAAATAATCCGTCGTTTCACTTTGTTTTTTGATTGTATTCCTTAATTTCATTTGAGTCTGCATTTCATTCTTTGATTTCTTCATCATTGATAAAGAAACGCCAATAACTGCGCCAACATCCTGATGGTAGAATATCTGGTCCATAACAGAAACCAATTTCCCGCTTGAGCAGTTAGGAATCTTTGCAAAACTCTGATAAGATAAAATAATTAACGAAGCAGAGAAATATCTAAGGAACAACCATGGAGCTTCCACACTAACTAACGCTTCCCATATCCTTGCAACTGATGATGGTTCAAAAGATCGACCGTAAGCAAGAATAAAAGAAGCAATTAAGAAAGAAAGGTCTCCAAGGCCTTTTGCGTTAAGCCACTCCGCGCAAGCAGGATGGAATTGCATAATAATCGACATAATCTCCTTGAGTTCGATGCTTTGGTTGTCAAGCATATTTTCTGCAATTAATCCACTGGAAATGAACTCAACAAATGCGGAGAAACACCAGAAAATTAATGCTTCGCATTCATCCGCTGTATATTCTGTTCCAGAATAAGGAAGAAAAACAGATAAAAATGTCAAAGCCAAATCATTAAGTCCCTGAGTATATCTGACATCTAAATTCCAAATAGAAAATGTTTTGAGGATGGAAGAAAGTATTGAATCCCAATCTTTGAGATTAGAAATTTCATCCATCGGATGAGTTCTTTTTACATCAACTTTAATGGTATTAAAAGCATCTTTAATGAGACTGCAGTATTTGAAATGCCATCTTGGCATGTTCTGCCATTGATTTCGTATTAAAATGTATTCATCTGTTCTGGCTTTCAGAACTGTTTTGAAACCTTCTGGATCGCTTGGTAATATTCCAAAGAGTACTGGCCAAACAAGATGTCTATCGTCTATTCCGATACCGCGTTGGCAAATTGATTCTTTAAATTGGGAACGAGAGAAGGATTGTAACTCTTTGAATAATACGGGGTTATCTGTGTAATCATTTGATTTGATGTTGAATTGCGAAATAATGAGAATATCTGGTTTAACGTTTGGAATCAAAATTTCTTCGAATCCAGGGATAAAGAAATCAGGTGTAATGACAATGTTTGGAATCTCAACTTCAAATACGTATAGACCGTACTTCTTATCGTTTTCGACATAAGAATCAATCGAATATGAAAGTAAATCTTCGATTGGTGCTTGCTTTTGCGATCTAGAATGCTGATGAAGCGTAAGTATTTGCATAAATTGAATAAATTGTGATGACAATTCGAAAGTTAATTGGTGCATTATTGAAGATTTTGATGTAATTAATAAATATTTATCGTGTTCTTGATAATTTACCATAAAGCTGATAATTGATGATAACGGGAGATTTAATTCCTTTTGGCTTTCTGTTTCTTTATCAGATTTATGATATGGCTTCCAAATAAAAGTCAATTCGCCGTTTTTAATGCAGATTATAAAGGCTCCTGATGTCTGCATATTCACTTTTACCTGGTGAAATATTGATATAATATGATCTTGTGACATTTTATACGAAATGAAAAAAAAATTAAATGGCAATTTGACATGTAAATTCATTTCTCTTTCAATTATCTAACCACAGTTAATGTTTGAGATATCTCTTTACTCTGGGACAAACAAGTCAAAACATTCAAAATACATGAGCCATTAAAAATCTGAAGACTGTTTTTGATGAATTTTTCGGACCAACCATAAGTTCAAGCTAATACTAAGTTGAAAACAAATATTTACTAGAAGAGCCCGGCTTTACTGTGTATGTTGTTCTTTTAGCATTTCAATATCGCGATCAAAGTAATTTCGGTTTGTATCCGCGAAATATGATATAGAGTATATAATGTGGTGAATCAACATAATGCATTTGTGATACCGCTCGGCCTGATGAGATCAAATTTTACTAAAAGTATCTGATATTTCAGATTTAGTATGAAAATTAAGCATTTTCAGTTTCATAAATATTTAATATACTTGTTTTTCTCATGATTGCAACTATTGTTTACCCTAAATTCAAGAGTCAGAAATAGAATAAAAATTAATAAAGGCTTTCATTCAAAATTTACCGAAAAGAATGATTTGTTAATCATAGTCAAATATAAATTTGTTGTTTATTTTGATGATATGGATAACCATTCAGAAAAAATAAAACTGTTGACATAAACTATTGAATAAAACCATTAATTTGACATCTGTCAAAAGTTTCGTTTGAATAAAGTTTATGAATGAACTTCAAGAGACATTTGAGGGATACTTCTCAAATGATCTTGAAACCCAGCAAAATTGCGTCTCAGTAATCGAAAACCTTCCTAAAACAAATGAAAATATTCAAGCATTACTAGATTTATTTTTGAACACGAAAAATGATTCGGTAAGGGGCCTTTCCCTTAACATCCTTTCTAAATGCATTAATTCATCAAATGAAATAAATCCTGAACTCCTCTATAATCTCGGAAATACAGGACTAAAATTTTATTTGACTAATAAGACTCCTTCATTTCAATACTCTGCGCAAAAACTGATCAATTTAGTTTTACATAAATTAGAAAATCCATGGTTGGAGTTAGAAAATGCAATTATGAATGAATCAATCCCATTTAAAACCAGAATATACCTTTTTGACTGTGTTTCCATCTATTCCAATCCAAACTACGCAAAAGATTTATACAATATATTTAATTTCATTCAATTTATCGAAATTGGACTTTCATCAACGATTCCAGACATTATTCTTAGAACAATATGTGCAATGATAAATCTTACATGCATGGTGTTTCAAGATCCTAACTATTTTACAAGTTATCACGATATAATTTTAGAAAAGCTTCTTCAGATTGCAGGTTCAATATCTGATCCTCAATTTCTTGATATACTCAGTTTACCGAACTTCGTTTCATGGATTCCAAGTCTTCAAGAACTAAATGAAAATAATTTCATAAATTTACTGCCAACGACACAATTGAAGTCCAAGTTTATATCAGAGATGCTTGCGATCATCCCTGTTTCTTATTGGCTCGAAGAATCAACAATAATTGAATTTTTATTTTTCGGAGTGAATTTGATGAATGAAGATAGCGGGGCGATCGAATATTTCGATAAGAATGAGTTTTCAAAGGTTTTGATGCTCATTAGTTTAGAAAACAAAATGAATTTTGTTCAGGAAATTTTGACAACGAATAACATAGAATTAATCATATTTATATTAGAAGCCATTGCTGAAACACTGCAAAACATGGATGATTATTACGAAATCATCAACGAAATTTCAAAATTAGATTTATCATCTCCAGAAGGAATTTACAGGATAGAAGCACTGAATATATTACTAACAAAGAAATTTATGGTGTATTCAAGTCCAGATAATTACTCTAAACTTGTTTCTGACGCAATTTCCACAATTGGAGAAATTCTTGAGAATTATGAGCCATCGGAAGCACTAGACAACAGACTATCTATACTTATCAAGAATATTAAACCAGATGGTCCAAATTCCCCGATAAAATTACAAAATTTTGAAAGTTTTCTAACTTTATACGATGCTTTCGCCAAATTGGATTTTATGGCTTCTTTGGATGCTGTATCCACACTTATTACAAATATTTGTCTTGGTTTTTCACCAGAAATATTTTCTCAATATTCTGAAGTAATTACTTCAATTATCTTGCAATGGTTTGATGGAGATAATATATCTCTTAAGAAAAATGCTTATTCCTTCTTTTCTCGTTGTTTTGACGCAAATCAACAAATTTTCTTTGAATATTTTGACAAAATTATACAACAGATGAAGATTGACATAGATGAGCCAGAACTTAAGGTCAATATCATTGTTGCTCTATATAATATGCAAATAACCTTGTCAAATATTGAAAATCAAAAAGAAGTAGAGAATTTCCTACAAATTATCCAAGAAACTGCCCAATCAATAGGTCCTAAGTTCCAAATTGAAGGATCGGTAACAGAAAGTCAGTCAGAATCAGAAATAATAATTGCAAAATGTTTAATTAACTTTGATATCCAGACAGCATTCAATAATTTCTTAATTTTATGTTCTTGTGAATGCGTTAATCCTCCTAGTTCTATTCTAGACCTTTTCCATCAGTTTTTTAGCAGATTTGCTGATTTTCAATCACATTTTCCGTATATTTTCAAGTTAATTATGGATACTTTTTCAAAGGTTTGTCCGATAAGTTATTCTTTGTTCCTTATTTTGGGAGAAATCCTGCAAAACCGAGAAATTGCCGGAATTACCGATGAAGATGCAGAAAAAGCACTTCAAATGGCAATGATTGCGTTTGATACATTACTTAGAGAAAAGCATCTTGATGATTTTAATATTTTCCAAATTATTCAGAATTTTTTCATTAAATGGTTTGAAACAGAACAGAATTCCGAGATCATCAACCAAGCAATTGAGTACTGGGCATCATTATTATCCTATAAAGTCATCGCTGTTGGAGATATGGCTTTGTTTTTATTAAGTTTTCTTTCTTTTTATGTCCAGTTGCCACAAGAAGTCATAAATCAAGCGTTCCAGACAATATATGAGCTATTGAATCAACCAAATGCTCCATTTAGAGGAGCTGGAATTTTTATTTCAGCTTGCATCAAGAAAGGCGAAAACATTCCGGAAAATATAATGGAAATTATCAATATTGGTATAGAAAAGTCAAAAGCAAAGGATAATTACCTTAATTTGACTAATTTCTTATCATCATTTGCCCAACTTGTTCTAAATGGCAATGTTAATGATGATTTGACCGTTTTGAAGTTAGTGTTAGAGTATCAGTTCATATATTCTTGTGAAGATATTGATTCTATCATAAATTACTTATTAAATTGCACAAATAACGAAGAAGGCAAAGAAATTGCAATTAAAGAGATATGTAAGGCAACACTTGTTACACAACTATCAAATGTTTCTCCTGAAACAAGAGATCAAACGTTCAATTACTTGAATGAACTTATTAAATGCAATCCTTCTGGTAGCTTTGCTGATTTTCAAGATCCAAAGCAATTAGATATGCTTAAATCGATTGTTGAGAATTATTTGAAGCAGAAGGAGAATCTTGAAGAAGAAGAATAACTTTATTATATTTTATAAAATGTTTATTAATAAAACTATTGTTATAAATGATATAAAGCTGAAATTTCATTGTTTTCCTGAACAAGAAATTTAATATATCTTTTCAAGTTCATCTAAGCGCAAAATTCGAGCTTAAACTTCAGTTAATTTTAGGTTGGCTCATTAATGGTCATATACTTAATGCTAATAAGCGTTGATATACAAAATTGAAAGCTAAATAAGCTTCATTTGTAAAAGAAATGAAATTCATTGTTTTCTAAAGCAGTTTGAATGAATTGCATTCAATCTAATATTGAAAATTGTCGTGAAAATTCAAAAATATTTTGTAATTAGAATAAAATTTGGAAAGTAATGAGAATGTGATTGTATATTGTTGTATTAGTGAAATTAATAACATATATTTACCGTGAAAAAAATTAAATAAATAAAATATAAAAATTAAGTTAAAAGTGGAGAAATTGGTGGTTGATGTGTATCATTCATACTTGCAAGATCTCCAGCGAATGAGAAACCGTAGAATTGATTGCTCTTGATTGAGTTTGGTGGAGTTGCAAGAGAATCGCAAGGAGTTTCAATTGTAAACTGTGTATCAAAGTTGTCTGGAATTCTCTTATCATCAACAATTGGAACAAACTCTGGTTTGATCTGTTTGTTGAGTAAAGCGTTGAAATCTAAGTGATTCCAGAATCTGTGGTCCTTTATCTGATCGAAAGTCTTTCTTTCGGCTGGATCTTTGATCAAGAACTGTGAAACAAAGTCAATAATGACTGGATCAGCGTTCGGAGGGAAATATGGACTTTCAACTTCGATTCTTGTAAAGATACGGCTCTTGTTGTTATCATAGAATGGTGTTTGGCCGAAGCACATTTCGTAAACAAGACAACCGTAAGACCACCAGTCGATTGCGAAGGAATAATCTTCCTTACGGATGATTTCTGGGGCAAGGTATTCGGCTGTTCCACAAAATGTGTTTGTAGTCGAATCATTGACCGTGTCTTTTGCAAGACCAAAATCTGTTAATTTTATGTGACCTTCCTCATCAAGTAGGACGTTTTCGGGTTTCAAATCGCGATATATAACTCCTTGGGAATGCAAATGTGATAATGCAAGTCCGATCTCGCCTGCGTAAAATCTTGCTTCCTTAATTGTGAGAGGACCGCGCTTTTGGAGATATCTGAATAACTCACCACCTGGTACATATTCCAATCCGAGATAGAACTTTGTTAACGACTGAAACGCAAAAGATAATGAAACAATGAATGGGTGTTTGATCTTAAGTAAAACGTTCCTCTCTCTGAAAGCCGTATGTACTTTATGGGCCTTAACAAGTCTAGCCTTATGGATCGACTTAATTGCGTATAGTTCTTTGCCTCCCTTCTTTTGGCAAAGCATAACCTTACCATAGAAGCCTCTTCCTAATACGGAATAGATTATGAAGTCATCCATGGTGGTTGTGTGATCCTTGATTGACTGAGATTTGATTGCAAGAATCCATTCCATAACATTGTCCTCTGATTCTGCTTGCAAAAGCAATGCTTGCTCATCAGGCGATTCTATTTTGAACTTTTTAGGATGATTTTGGATCGGAACGGCCACAGTTTGAGAACAAATTTCGATCTTGCGTTCTATGATTGGATTTTCCTTGCTTTTGTAGATTATAAACTCGCTGTCCTTAACCTCACAAAAGCATGCTGTCCACATTCCGAAAAAGGCTCCTTTTCTCTTTAATATGCCCGAGAATTGTCCAATCATGATTCGAAAATTTATAGTTTACAAATCAACGAAATTTTAAAAATAATAAATTCAGTGAGATGCTTACATTTGATTTTGCGTTATATAAATGTGTTCTCCAGAGATTTATTAATTCAATGTTCGATCGGTCATGGTTTCAATACAAAATAATTTTTAACGATATGAGAAAAAAATTATCAAAAGTTGTTTCCTAATGCAATATGGAAAAAAAATCATATTCTGAATATATTCAAAATAATGAATGAGAGTTCTCAATTGAAAATGCAATCATATATTCTTATCAAAAAAATACTATAATCAATTTTGAATAGCAAAACAAAATATATCGAGACATCTAGATCATTGTCTATCATTATTGTAATATTTCACATCAAAACAGCATTTTATAAGTGGTCACTAATATATATTGACTAACAAGTGAATAAATAGATTCGGTTTAAGCTTAATGATGTTATCAATAAGGACCGAATATCTCTGAAAAGCGAATGGCAATTTGAAATCCGAAAAGCCATCTGAAAGCTCTACAATGAAATATTATGACATTCACTAGTACAATGATGGTATGCATTGCTTTTAGCCCGTGCTAACTCAAAAAAAAAAATTACACTTTATCTTGCAAAGCATGAATGGGTATATAATAAATAGGTATAAATATCGTATAAACTAACAAAAAAGAAATGAGAATACATTGAAAATCAAACACTAAATAAAAAAAATATTGAATTGCAAAACTAACATAATTTATAAAACTGAGGCACACAAATTGAACCTCCATAAAAATAAACAAAACAAAATAAAGATAATAGAAAAAGAAAATCTAAATAAGATTTGAAAAGAATGAAATGAAAGAAATAGAAGATTTTTCTTCTTCAAAGTCAGCTGGTAACTTGAGATCAACAAATAGTGATAAGCACCATAGCGCAGTATTAATTGCGGTTGAATCAAGAACTGATGAACATGGAGCATATGATTTCTGTAGTGTAGCCTTATGGTTATTGAATATTTCTGAGAACCATTGAATTAATGTGTCTTCTTTGTATAATTTCAGCAAGAAAAGATACCATGAAAGGCTCCATTCCTGATTTTTCTTGAGAGCGGACCATAGATAGCTTTGGTTGCTTTCTGATGCAAGTTGGCGTAAGAATTGTTCGACAGTTCCAGAGATAAGGTAGTGAGAAAAGAATTTCGAGAGACAACGGCATAATTGGAATATGAATTTACGGGTATCTGGATTCTTCATACGTGTCTCATATAAAATATTAAATATCCAATGCCTTATTCCTTCAACTGGTCGATGTTCAAATGAAAAAGGCAGAGAATCTGGGAAATTGGCAGGCCTTTCAAGTGGTTTATGAAGTTCCCTTAGATATTTAATTAAATCGAAGTCTCTTGTTAGAGCTGCTGGGGAATAATACGAATGTAAATTATTTAATTCATCAAGAATGAAATCAAATAAATCTTTGATGTGGGCATCAACAATAGAAGCAAGTTCGGCTATAGGTCCTTCGCTTGCATCGCTTGTACAGTTGTAAATTGGAGATAATGCGCTTGTTGTTGCTCCATTTTTAACAAGAGCCATTAAAAGGATATAAGAATCGGATGGAGTTGCTGATATGAAGGAAGCAACAAATGATTCCGGTGCAAAAGGATCGTAATCAAATTTTACAGAAAGAGGAGAATAATTACATGAAGAACCGAAGTATCTACTGATATTAACTGACGGAGATGATATCAATCTCGATATTTCTTGCCTGATTTGCTGTTCATTATTTACTTGTTTTTGATTTTCAGCTAAAAATGAATTGCTATCGATTTTGTCTTTAACAGATTGGCTAGGATAATCAATTGTTGGAGCTGTAATCTCGTTAACATACTTTTTTGGCGTGTATCTTGAAATTTTTAATTTTAATTTTTCTGTAATTTTGTCTGATTCATCCATTAACTCGTTGATTCGTTGTTTTCTACGCTGTGAAGCTATATTTAAAGAGCTAACTACTGGATCTTGTGTTGGTGCGTCAATACTCATTCTTTTATGTTTCTTCTTATTACTATTAGTAACAGTTCTTGTTTCTAGACCTTCTTGAGGTGGAGTACTTGGAGTTGTAGTTTGATCTTCAGAAATTTTTGTTGGTTGATCTTTTTCGGATTTAATAGGCGTAACTACTATTTTCTCTACAGACATATTGCGTAGAAGGCTCTCTTTTTGGAATGATAGTCCTTCTTGGATCGAAGAAACGATTAAAAACCATTCTTCGACTTTTTCGTAAGTAGGAACTATGAACCATAACAGGTCATCTGGTTTGTTTGTAAGTCCGAACATAGGTTGAGTTTTGAAAGGAGGAAATAAAAAATTTGTTCGTTGTGTTATTAAATATTCACATTTAACGTCATTACCTTCGTATACTATCGCTTTCAGATCTTTAAGATGAAGTTGAATTGGTCGTGGAAAGGGGGAATCTGGAAATTGGCAAATCATGTGCTCTTTTACGTCAAATTTAACGGTACGTGTAAGTTTTAGGAATTCCTTATATGAAATTTGTGCCATTGAAGCTAGGTGTGAGATGATTTCTATATTTTGTTTATTTGATGAATAAATTTTAAATGAAGGATTGGAAGAATTATTTGAATTGAAGTAAATTGAGTGATCTGAATCTATTCCGATATTAACTGCAGCTGCATAGTCATATAAAAATGCAACTCCTTTTTGAATTACAGATCCAAATTCTAGAAAAACAAACCGTGATATTATTTCCATCTCTACTGGCTCATGCTCGCCAAATGATATCAAAAATTTGCCAGATGGTGTGCTTGTTTTTAGAATTTGCTGAATTTTATCCATTTATAAAAAAAATTTTTTTTATTTATTGATCCGATTATTCTAAACCATCCAAAACTTAGGAATTCTTGTTTGATATATCAGCGACGAAAGGGCTTATAAAAGATGGTTTTATTTGATATTCCGATCAAATTCAATATTGAAATTTCAATAAATTTCGGATCTGAAATGTAAATATGCTAAGCAATCAAAATTAGAACTGAACCATCATTTAAAAATCATTAAAAACTTTTTCAATAATTGAAAATCAAGATAATATTATTAAAAAGTTAATTTTTTTTGTACCTCTTAGTGTATTTTATATTGACATTGTTCAAAGACGAACATTATAATTGGATGGATAACAATTGAATGAAACAAATTTTTAGCTATTTCTTGAAAATTCAGAATGATATAAAAATTTAATCTTGCAAATTAACTTCTATAAGCTATTCATATAAGGGAATATCACAATATGCCCAAATAACACTGACTAAGCAACATGATCTAACAAACAATGATTTGAAATGTTGGATTCCAAAAAAAATATCTACCTCTCATTTTTAATATTAAATCAAGACTACGAACAAATATAATTTTGAATACGGTCATTATTCAACCTATAAAATTCATTTATCCAAATTGAATGTGTGATGAGCCAGCCCTTCCACAGTTTGCGCAAAACCTCAAAGCATCGATCGACTTATTAGTTAACATAAATCAAGATAGTTATCATGATACAGTGATAAAGGTATTAGATTCAATTTCATCAAAAATTTATTCAGTAAAAATGGTTTTTGAATTGTTAGGTAGAATGACAATATATAAAACTAAAGATTTTAAAATAATATGCGACTTTCTTCTAGAAATTGCCGAAAAATTAAAAATTCACAAGATGAAAGCTTTTATTTTCACAAAAACACTTGAGAATTTCCTAATTGAGAAGGAAATAATAGAAGGTCTACATTCAAATATACCAGAATACGAACAAAATTCTCTTCAAACAATCCTTGCAACAGACAACGTCCAAGAGCTGATCAAAATATCGTCCATGGATGATAATTTCAACTACAATGATCAAATATATGCAATTTACAATTATTTTCATTATGAAAAAATGACTTTGATAGATACAGCCGCTTTCTTCGGTTCAGAAGAATGCTTTAAATACCTATTTGCCAATAATGCTAAAACATCTATTCATACTCTAAAAGCAGCAATAATTGGTGGAAATTTCTTTATAATCAACACAGTTGAACAAAACATTACAGGAATTACAAACGAATGTCTTGAGCTTGCTATACTAACACATTCTGATGATGTTGCAGACTATTTTATCGATAAATACCAGTTAGATTATTCTTATCGTTCCAGTTTATCAACAGGAAACATTTATTTCTTTTTCAAGAAGTATTTTAACATGGGATCAAATCCAAATACACTGGATTCAACAAAACTAAACGCTCTTCAAGCAGCAACATTTTTTGATTTTTCTAGCATTGTTGAGTACTTGATTGATAATGGTGGTGACATTAATCTTGAAGATAATATGGGAAATACTCCTTTGACTATTTCTGTGTTTAATAATTGCGAATTATGCGCTGATTTATTAATTAAACGTGGAGCACAAGTAGATGCAAAGGATATGTTCGGGAGAACACCTTTATTAATCGCTTGCATATCAGAACGAGGAAATATTGTTAAAATACTTATAGAAAATAAGGCAGATGTAAATTACATGTCAGAAGATCATTCAACGCCAATTTGCATTGCTACAGAACGCGAAAATAGTAAGATTATTAAACTTCTATTAGATAATGGCGCAAATATTGAGTTAACAGATCAATTCCAAAATACTCCTTTAATAATCAGTGTTAAGAACAAACATCTTGAAGCTGCAAGAACTTTGCTTGAATATAATGCAAATGTTAACGCTAAAAACAAGAATGGAATGACTTCCTTGCATTTTGTTGAAAAATTTGGAGAAGATTGCAATGAAATCTTTGATTTACTTATTAAATATAATGCAAATCCGAATATAAAGAATAACGGAGGTGATATTCCTCTAAAATATGCTAAACAGGTAGAAAATTCTCATACTATTTCTATATTAGAATCAATGGCTTAGTTGTTGTAAAAATATATTATAAATTTTCATGCTATTTTGATTACTACATCATTTTTCACCCTATTTTGAGAAGATTTTTTCATTGTAATAATTGCAACCTATAGTATTAGTTTAAAAGAGTCAGAACAATTATATTGTGTCAAATTTTTCATACTCTATTGTTCGTGATGAAGCATTAATGGAATCTCGAATTTCAATTCTATCAAATTTGATTCAACGTAATGCATTCTATAAAATGGTACAGTTATTTGCATGTTTGGGATAAAAGGTTGGTGTGTGGATTCATTTATTCAACATACAGCAAAATAATTATCAATTTTAAATGATTAAAGGAGATTAATGTATGTGAACCAAATTAAATAAATTTATTCGAAAAATTATCAAAAGCAGGCATTAATAAAAAATATAAAAAATTATTCAATAAGATTTTTTTTACATAATGGATAAGACTATGCCATTCTTTCTATTAAGTCTCTATATGCCTTCATGTGGTCAAATGGCTATTCCACAAAACAGTAGTAAAATGTCTTATGAGATTTATTCAATATTTGAAATACTATTCAATTTTTATGACAAATTTGACTTTAATTCAAATTAGTGTCTTATTATTGAAATGAATACATTTATCTCGAAGTGGAATTTTTTACAATAAAATGACAGATATTCAATCAAAGGTTATTTCAAATTTTGTTTGATGGAAAAGTATCAAAGACAAACGTTTTTTAGTAGGTTGAGACCTACAGAAAATTCTATCTCTGTATTTCAATGCGTTTTCGTTTCAATTACTTCATATTCAGGCGGTGGTGCCATTTCAATTTCTTCAAAAGAACAAGAATTTCTCAATATATCAGAATCAATCTTCGATTCATGCATTATAAAAAGTGAATAATACAAGGGAAATAATTACGGTGGGGCAATTTTTGCATTTTTGAGAAAAAATTTTAAAGTTGACAGGTCTTGCTTTTGCAATTGTCATGCTCCACTTGCAAATGTTATTTACTTTTGGACAGAAACTCATAATTTTACGAACTTATGCTTTGAACTTGGCAAAAATGAAAATAATTTTATTAATGGATATTCCAATGTATTATTAACTTACTCCAATATATCACATTCTCGTATACTTTCATCTCTATCTGGTGTTCATTTTAATTTCAATTATTTTGCCAATTCAATTTTAGACTATAAAGATGGATATAATAGTAACAATGTTAATATATCTAATACATACTTTATGAATTGTAATATTGAGAAGATGTATGCATTTCATTTAATAAATTGTTATTTTAAAAATACTACAATAAATGATATTCAAATAGCATTCAATGAAAATAACATTGAAGATACAAATAATTCATTTACTAATTTTTCATATACTGCATTTATTCCATATCCTCAAATAGACCCTATAATGTGTCCAGAAATTGATACAGGCACAAATTACTCAAATCATGTTCAAATTTCTTCAATTCGTTATACTCTCATCAAGGAAAAAATGGAGATAACAAACTGTAAATTGATAAATGTTAGTATGATGGGGGATGAAGGTTCTGCCATTTCTATCCAACAACCATCATATATAAACGATTTTTCCAGTCCATTTATAAAAATTGAAAATATTTTATTCTACCGTTGTCAATCAGAGGTGAAAACAGGTCGCATTGATATAAATTACAAGAATGCCCGCATAGAAATTAATCATGTTTGCGGTATCAAAAACTCTGGATATTATAATTATTTATCTTTTAACTCTAGTACAATATGGTCAGAACTCAAAAATGCCAATGGAATGTCGCTTGCTGTTTATAGTATTAATTCACCAATGGATGATGATTTTGTAAGAGTTGCAGCGCAATCATATGTGACTGGTATAAATACAACAAAAATATTTTCGATGTATTGTGTATATATGGCCAAAAATACATCAATCAGATATTGCCAGGAAGAAAGTGTTTTAACAGGATTCTTTATATCATTGTACAAATCTTCCATCGAATATTGCAATTATATCAATACAATAAGTTATGATAATACCGACTTTTTAAAACAGCAGGATGTTGAAGATTATGATTTAAATGTAATAATAATGAATTGCATATTTATTAATTCCACCCTTTTAGATTGGTTCAAAGATTTCTATGAACTACTAAATATTACAGTTATTAATTGTTCTGGTACTGAATTAATAAATGTGAAATCTTATGTTTTACCAGAATGCAAAATTCCAGATGATGACAGTCATCATAAAGATCGGAAGCTACTGATATATTATTCTGTTTCGGTTGTATTATTTGTTTTAATTGTTGCCATAGTTGGATTTGCCATTTACTATTACAGAAAGAAACAAAGTGTTATTGAAAAAAGATTTGATTTAGAACGAAGTCTTCAACATGATTATGGATAAACATATTAATTTTAACTGACATGATTAATTTTCGAAGTTCTCAATTTGGATGTAAAGAACTGTTAATACCTTAAGGTATTAAAAAATTTAATAAAATTTGTTATTATTTTTTAATTCCTTGGTAGATAAATGGCATTGAATACCGACAGAAACCAAGTTTCATTTGAGCTGGATGAAAAGCTGAAGTACGAACAATTGGATGCGAAGAACTGTTAATTATTATTTCTATTTTCTTGAAAGGACTAGTTTCTTCTGTGAAGGCATTCAATACAAGATTCATAGTTTTACAGAAAATCTTGGGATCTGGGCAGGAAACAGTTGTATCTATAGGACCAGATTGGTATGCAAAATTTTGGCCAGCATTTTCGCATATGAATTCTGTATATGCTTTGGCACCTGTTGGCATAAATGTAATCGAATTATTTTCATTGCAAGTGAAGTTAAAAGGTTTTGAATCAATAAAGCCATTATTTATGGTAATAAAGGCCTGATTATCTAAAAGTGGTATACTTTCTTGATAATATCTTGGTTGGTAAATATAGGGTGTCCAAAGGTGCGTTTAGCACAGCGCTCTATATGAGACTATTAAAGGAGATATATGCTGATTATAAATATATAATAAAAAATATGAATATATGTATATGATGAGTATGTTGTATTTTGGCGCCATGCCGGGATATAAAATGAATTTTGAGACAAGAGGCGGTTTCGCGGGAAATTTTGGCGGGATTTTTTTCATTTTTTTAATGAATCATAAAGAAAACATCCTCGCTCTTGCAAAAAAATGCAAAGACTGTAAAAAAATCTACGAGACATTGGTAAAATGCTTCGGTATGGATGCTCCTAGCTATTCCACTGTAACGTATCATGTTAGGATGTATCACTTCATGAACAAAAAGGCGCCCATCATAAAAATTGACAAAAAATCGCCGGATCAAAGAAAAATCAAAGCAATTCTTCAAGCGCTAGATGAAGACCCAAGAGCATCACTCAGAAGGATAGAGGAGATGACAAAGATACCACGTACAACAGTCAGTTATTATCTGCACAATTATTTGAACTACAAACTAGCGTATACACGTTGGGTTCCGCACAACCTTAATTCAGTTCAAAAAAAATCTAGAGTCCAATCTTCGAAAGAGCTCCTCTCTATATTGGGTGCGTATCAATCCAAGAAGTTTCGCTTTTTAGTAACAGGGGACGAGTCTTGGTTTCAATATGCAACAGAAGCCAAAATCATGTGGATCCCGAAGGATGAAAATCCGCAAACATTCCCGAAGAAAAAAATTGACACACCAATGATGATGTTGTCGGTTTTTTGGGGCGTGAATGGCATCATCGCAATTGATATTCTTCAAAAACCTAATACGATGAATGCTCAGTATCTAATTGACAATGTTCTTACTCAAATTATCAATTCTGATGAGTTTGAGAAATCCAAACAACAAAAACAAAAGTTTGCAATTCATTTTGATAATTCAAGAGTTCACAAAAGTCATAAGGTAATGAATTACTTGGTGGAAAACAATGTCAAAGTTGTTCCAAACCCAATTTATTCACCTGATATTGCACCCTCTGACTTTTATTTATTCGGCACGCTAAAAAAGAGAGCTGAAGGACGCGAATTCGCGAGTCCAGATGATCTTGAAAATTTTGTAAGAGAGCAATTTGAGCAATTTTCTCATGATGATTTAAAGCGTGTCTTTCAAGCCTGGATCGATCGCTGCGAACGCGTGATTGAATCCAATGGTGATTATATTTAAATAAACTTTATATATATGTAACTTGTTTATTTCTATTCGCAGTATTCAGGTTTGTGCTAAACACACCTTTGGACACCCTATATAATCGAAAGCCAAATTATATAAATCAATGTTCATCCCATCTTTCAATGGTCCTTGATACCATTGCTGTGCATAGCAGAAGGAAGTTGACTCGTTGCGAGGACATGTTGGGATTGATGAAGGGAGATTTATACTTAATAGTCTCATCTTAAAATCAAAACTTGGCACTAAAGGTGATTGCGAATTGCTAGTGATGTAGTATAAATCAGGAGGCCAGCTTCTCGGCGACCCTGTCGAGAAATCATCGAATGCAACTCCTGTTTCAGGGTTTCCCCAAATAAGTGGATATGCTTTTGAGATGTTAATTTTATAGAAACCAGAATCTCTAAGCATTGCAGTGGTAACATCTGTAATACGCTTATTTAAACTCGCTCTAATTCTATCAGATGCTATTATGTAGAAGTTTGCATATGCATTGATATCTGAATAGTAGACTCTTGAAGCAGGCGAAGAAAAGCTTTGAGTTGCATCGAGAAAATCATCACGTTCTGAAAAGTCATCTAATTCTATACCATAACAGTCGCTATGATCATGGTTTGCTCGTTCACTCCGGTAGTGGTTTGCGAAGAAAATCTGAGAAAATGGCGTTTTAAGGTATTTAAATGTTTTATTGTATTGGTTCGTAACTGTACACGTATTTCCATTTGAATCGTATGGTTCATTGGAATTATAAGGATGATATTGATCAAATACAGTATTATCTATCCCCATAATACGGAATGTAAGAGCTAAAAATTTTTGATAATAATAATTATTAAATGTGGGTGTGGAAAATCCATTCTGGAAATCATCAAAATATTCTTGATCAAGGACAAGAATGCCTGTTAATGGGCGATGTGTTACCTGGTCTTGAGATGTGATTTTACTAAACATCCTATTAACATTGTTTTCATTACGAATCCTAAAAGGTCGAATAATAACAGTAATAATTAAATGAGCTCCAGACGTAATTGTCTTTTGGATATTTGGAGCAATACTTGGCACATTAGGAATATCAATTGAATCAGGAGCCTTGGGCGCCTAAATGAAAGTTTTCATGAATTTAGAAATTTCACCCAATGTTATCTTAAGATTTCTTCCTTTGTTTTCTGTGTAAGTATATGTGCCTGGGCATGTATAATCAGTGCCATTCCAATTTTTAGTTTCAAATGGAGACTGGCAAGTATAACCTGAGTTATCAAATTCCAATTGTGAATAATCAAATTCAAGTTTAAATTCTTCCCAATCAATATTATCATCAGGAAGGTCAGATCTTAAGAGAAATTCAGATAATATTGACACAAAAATTTAAGATATCAAGAACATTGTTTTATAAAATGTCACTTTTTTCATTTTATGTGAAAGTAAAGAATGCAATTTTACTGCTTTTTTATGGTATTATAAAGCCAACAATCAATGTATTAGCAAATTTAATACCAGAAATTCAGATTACTTCCCCACTTTTGGATTGCCGACCTTAAATTTGAAATTACATTTAAAATTTTAAAAGCCATTTAAATTTTACTTTTCTTACATACTACAAACCAAAATGTAATAGCACAATCCACATTTCAATTTTCCTAAAATCTCGAAATACTGAATAATTTCTAATTTTATATTCTTAGCTTAAATCTCCATAACAAACACATTCTAAAATGTTGATAGAGAATCTCAATAGAAATCATTTTGAAAACAAAATTGCAAAAATATATTTCCCTTTTAGAAGAGTCATTTTTCACATAACAAAATTAGTGTAAAGTTCGCAATGAATTCATTAATTTTAATAGATGGTCATTAGTATAATTAGGAGAATTATAATATGAATTCTTTATTTAATTGATCGTAATATCTGCAGTGTTAACCGCAATAAAAATATTTTCATCCCCTTGAATCCTGATCCTTCCTGTTGATGTTCTTGTTGATTTGTATAAGTCCAAGTGTGAGGTGCTCCAAGCTGATGGGAAATTTCATGACAAAAAATGTGCTCAAAGTAACCAAAAATCATAAAATCGTCAGTTGTAATTCCAGTGTATTTATCTCGATGAAATGGTTTTAACATCTTCAAATTTGTTGATCCTTCATTAACTCCTGAATGAACTAGATGAGCAATATCAATATCTTTATCATCAATATATTGATTGACAAATGAGGCATCCTTGGAAAATTGTCCAATTTTGTTCGGATTGTAAGCGTATTTTTTGATGTTTTCGATAGTATTCTCTAGCAATACAATGTTCAAATCGAATACCATTTCAAAACGAATAGAAACTTCTGGAAGAAAGATTAGGTTGATATAATGGACAGATGCAGCCATTTCAACAAATATGATCTTCTTCTTTTCTTCGTCGCTAAATCCACCTGTTGGAACAGCTCTTCCTACAAGCATCTTTTGTATAGTAGTGCATGTTGGAAAAGGTAGGAATCGGATAATTTTGACACTAGACATATATTCCGCAATATGTGATATCTTTGGATTATTAATTGGAGTAAAGATATCTTTTGGAATTGACTCTGCATTTATAATTGAATCGATATGCAAGTCTTCTATAATGTCTGATTGCTTTTCTTCTTTAAGTCTTCTCGTTATTACATATTTTTCTTTATAAAAGATAAAGTATTCACCGAAACGAGTAACAGGTTCAAGAGTTTGATAATGATCTATGAAATATACTTTTAGAATATTGAAGCACCAAATAATACCAATTCTGTCATCTGAATTACTTAAGGATACACCTTTGAATGAATATAACTCGTTTTTATATTTTTTCAATGTTTTCATTGAAAATAAAGGTGTCTGTTCGATTTCATATTCGGTTATTATATTAGCATGATTGGGAAGTGCAATCCTTGCTTTTGTTCCTTCATTTGCTATTGCAAAAAGTGCTCTATGAAAATCATCAATGTTCATTACATATGAAGGAACCATTTTCGTCCCACATTTCACTCCACTCCCTTCTCTCCAATATGATGGCAAACTAGATTGTAAAGTGTGTTCAAATAAGCTAAAGAACATCAAAATAAATAGATGAAATTGAATATTTCTTAATTTTTTACATATTAAAAATATCAAAAGGCAATCATGTGAATAATGCCTAGAACTTCAATGTAAAAATTTGAAAATAATGAACAAAAAACACAAACGAATACATTTTTTAGAGTTCAATTTTTTTGAACACAAATTTGAATTAAAAAAGGACGATAAACTCAAATTCAATGTGCATTCAAAAATTAAAAAGGATTAATATCAATAAGAACTAATCACTAAGATAAACAATATTTGCACAAATTTATCAAAAATAACGCAAAGTCGAACCGTCAATACTTAATTTTATATAGGGTATCTACATTACATTTCAACTATAGTTACTAAATTATTTTTAATCAAATAAATTGAATTTAAATTTTCAGTTTGCCAATTTTGTAAAAGATTTTATTTTTGATAATGATACGACACCATATCTTCTTTTCCATCCTCAATAAGCATATTTCCATGAATCAATGCGAGCAGATATTCGAAGGTACTGTTTTAGTTGGAGCAAATCAGTGCTCATCTCTAGTTATCAGATCTGATTGCACAGAAATCGGACCTGAAGCCTTTGCTGATTCAGACATAACTTCAATCGACTTCGCAAACGCAGTTCAATTAAAGAAAATCGGATTTAGATCATTTCATAATTGCAAAAATATAAAAGAATTAATTTTACCTCAAAGTCTTCAACAACTTGGAAGTAATTCATTTTCAAGATGTTCTTCATTAGAATCAATCGTTTTCCCACAGAATCTTCAATTTATTGGAATTGGCGCTTTTGCATTTTGCGAATCGATAAAATCAATTAACTTACCAACCAATCTAAGGGAAATCTCTGCACATTTATTCCTTGGATGCACAAATATTACAAAAGTGACAATCCCAGACAATTATCATTCATTATTATCTAGTTGCTTCGAAAATTGCAGTTATCTTCAGAGAATAGAGTTCCCTTCTAACCTCTATATGATTGGAGATAGAGCATTATATGGAACATGCATATGAATTTTGAAAATTCCAGAAACCGTTGAATTTATCGGTCAATTTGCATTTGCTGAAAATGTTGCATTGACATACTTGAAGCTTCCAAACAGAGTGACTGACATTAGTTATTATATTGCTTATAACTGTCCACAACTAACTACTGTTATTCTTCCAGAAAAAATCAAATCAATTGGAAGAAATTCATTTGAAAATTGTGATATAAGATCGATTTCTATTCCAAATTCTGTTGCTGAGATAGACAATTATGCATTTTCTAACAACATAAATCTAAAGAGACTAAAGTTACCAAAGACAGTTCCATTTTTCGGACAAGGAGCTTTTTATTTAAACAAAGTTTGTAATTTTGATACTACAGGTTATACAGAACAAGATAAAAATAAAATTAGAAGCCAATCAATCACACATTTTGATTCTGAAAAATGCACAAACAAATACGCTAAATTACCAAGGCCTATTCCTGAGGATTATCCAGTTTATTCTCCTTCAGAATTACCAGATAGATCAAAATTACCTTCATCATCATCTTTGCCAGACGACGACACTGAAGAAGAAGAAGAAGAGGAAAAAGAAATTGTTGATGATTCTACAAAAACAGATGATCAAACACAAATATCGCCAAATGAAAAATCAAATGAAACAAACACAACACCACCGGATGATGATTTGAATGAAAAAGGTGCTGGAAAAGCAATTGGAATCGCTTTTGGTTCAATTTTTGCAGTCGCTGCTGTTATTGCAGCAATTGTTGTCGTCGTCATTATATTTAGAAGACGTAAGAAGTTGGTCATTCAAGTTAGTGATGAAATAGATATTTCAGACGATGATCCATAAAATAATTTATAAAGTTAAGTTTTTTTCTATTCTAAAATGATTAAATTCTGTTTCATAATAAGTTTTATATTAAGGATAATGAAATTGTTAATCGGTTAAGCTGATAAAATGTGTTATCAATTTGATATAAAAAATGTTGGATTAATTAATAAGTTTTATGAATCAAAATGAAATTATCATATGTGAATTTTTTAAATTTCCCAATATAAAACTTTTTTGAATGAAAAAATAAATTATGAAGAATAATTTTTTGCATACTTGAGCATGTTACTATATTTACAAGCGACTTTTCTCTCTATTAAAACACATAATCCTTCTTATTTTAGAATATTTTGCAATTTTTTAAAATTTCGTTGAGCAATCTAAATTTATTCGTACCAGAATCTCAGTTTCTTCATGTAAACAATAAATATATGAGTAGATCTTAATCTTTTTTGAAAAATATGGAAATTATTTTTTTGAAATTTTGTATATCAATCTAAATTTATTCATACAAACAAAAAAATAATATGTGTTTCTAATAAAAATATGTTATGCAATAAGAGGTTCAACATCACTTGAATAACTTGATTTCTTCTTATTTTGTTTTGGTGTTTCTTTGTCACAGAAACAAATATAAATAGTAGAAACAAAAATAACAATAAACAATATAATTACTAACCCAAAAATAATTCCAAAAATAAGATAAATTTCGTCAGTCATGCTAGGTTCGAATTTAGATAGTGATTCATCATTGAGTTCTCCTTTATATCGATACCATGATCTTCCAACGAGAATTGCAAACGCAGGGAGATCATTTTGATTAACTCCTAAATTCTTGATGATGTTTTGGTTATTGTTGTACAAAATGTATGATAATTGCCATCTCTCAATAATATCATCTGCAATATTCTTGTATTTTTCAAATTCTGTTTCATTATTCAAAATAACTAAAACTAATTTACGATTTAGGTTGACATTCATCATTACTAGTTCGTTGCTTAAATATGGAAACACTGGATAAGAGAGTCTTGTAATGAAATTATCAAATTTAATTTGATTACATGAAATATTCATGCTATGTGTTTTAAAACCATGTCTGTAAGCTGACAATTCTGTTTTGTCATCTTTCATAAGATAAAACTTTGAATCTGTATAAACTTGTTTGATTATTGATTTCGAATAAAGTTTTGTATAATTACAAGCTTTAGAATCTGATGCTCTGAGAATAAAACTTGTTGTTTCATTTGATGTATTAGAAAATTTGTGTGTAAATTGATTGAAATCGTTTAATTTCTTGAAATGTGCGTTAATTTTAATTGATATTATTTTCTGTAAGGCTTCAGCCGACTGAGGTGTATTCAATATTTGTTGAACATCGTTACCCATATCATAGTATAAAAAGAATGGATAATATTGAACGCGATATTTTTGGCAAATTGAACTAAAAGATTGGCAGTTCACTTCTGCAGCAAGTATTTCTTCACTTTCATTAACTAAATTTGTGAATTCATTCCATTTTGGTTTGGCTCGTTGACAATGAATACAATTTGGGTGGAAAAAAAGGAAAATTACTCGCTTACTTGGATTATTATCTAATATTTGTGTTATATTTTCTGTTCCCAAATTAGCGAACTTAGATAAAGAAAGCGAAAAGAATCCGAAAAATATCAATTTCAAAAAGTTTGATTTTTAACTTGATTTTCATTCAAGATACAAGCATCTAAACTATCTCAAAATTTGAGAAATATCGCCAAATGTTTGAAAGCAAACAAATCTAATGTTTCCAATTTGGGAGAGTTCGAATTACATGTTATAGTAGTCTATGAGGTAAAAATTATCATTAGAAGCCGAGATTCTGACTTATGAGTTTATCAACTTGAAAAACAAACATATAGAATAAGTATTTATTTTAATTTAGTTTTCTCTTGAAATTTTTCAAAAATTGAAAATAACAGAATATATATTATACTTCAAATAGTTGTTCTGCAAGGTCCTCATATAATTCAATTATATTGCTTAATTTTCAATTATGCTTCACTCATGTTGCAAAAAATTGAATTAAAATTATATTGTCATCAGAGCAACATTAATTGATTTTCAAATTATCTACGTCGATTGAAGATATTCATTGGGCGAAATGGAATTGAATGAAGTTCTTTATCATGAACAATTGATAATTTTCCTTCACATGAACTTAATCTAATGAAATTTAAGTCATTAGAAAATGGATCTGTTATCATTTCTGATGCATAAACAGAATAAGAATTAGCTGAATATTTATCAACATTACATCGATATATATAAATCTGTCCTGAATATGAATAAAATAATTTTCCTTTATAATCCTTTAGATTGTTTTGGAAAAATGAATCTAAAATATCAAGTCTTTTTATATAAACATAAACTAATCCAAAACTTGAACTTGTTTGGGAGTTGTTCATATAATTACATCTTTCAATTCTTCCATCACTTCTCTCAAACTGAGTGATTATATATTGACTTGCTTCTAAGTTCTCAAAATTACAAAATGAAACATTTGTTGTTGATTCAACATACCAATAATCAAAAGATGTTGCTGTTTTTGAAATGCAGTTAGAAATGTTTGTTTTCGAAAGTGATGAAAAACCTTGGTATTGGTAAATCATTCCTCTATCTACAGAGCTATTTCCTCCATTAGAAATTGATCCTTGAAGGATTGTACTGTTGATTTTGCCATAGAAATAAGTAAATTGACCACTTGTTGATTTACTTTCAAATGAACAAAATTTATCAATAATAATGTTACTTTTACTAGAACTTAGTATATATACTGTACCTGGACCTTTGTTGAAAACGTTTTCGCAAAGTAAAAATGAAAAATCTGAAATAGATTCAAATTTGATGGCTCTTTCTTGTAAGTTTGTAAATGTGCATATGTATGTGAAGCATTTCTTATCAGTTGCTGTGATTTGCTGGCATTCACCTGTAAAAACTTGAGAAGGAGGATAAATTCCTTCATAATAATTATTCCAAATACTATTAGGATCTTCTCCATGATGAAAACATCTTCTACATGTAGAATATTTTAGTGTTAATTGAGGTATTAAATTAAATTCAAGTGATATCGTTCTAATATTGATTCTAAATATCTGTTGTATCCTATGTTTTCAGAAAAAATTTATTAGACGCAATTATTAATCATTTTAGGTCTCTTTATTTCTAAGATTATGGAATGTGAAATTTTTGAAATGTCAAAAAATGCCAAATTTTACAAAATTTTAGGAATTTTGAGAAACAATTTCTATATTCATATCAAAAGAAATCACGTATTAATGGATTGCGTGGTAGTTTAATTGAATGTGTGTTTCATTGTTATAGATAAAAACTTTGAACAATGCTAATTATTTCGTTTTTTTTTTTAAATAATATAATTTTTCAAATTTTCCCCATCTTTGCGAACTTATCCTTCTCAGGCTACCTCAAACTACCTCATACTCTGCATAATACCTCAGATCTACATTATTTTATCTATCTCAGATAACTTATGATTAAATTTTTTCTTAAATTACAGATAACACGGGATTGTTGCTCATAATGCAGCTTTCAGAAGATTCATTTTTGATTTTCTTAAAGTTGCATCAAAGACAGTCATTTACATAGTATGACTATCTTATTTTGCAATAATCACGTGTGTGTACAACAGTAACACGTGATTGTTGTTGATAATGCAACTTTGAGAAGAATCATTTGTGAAAATTTTGAATTATAGCATGGATATTCATTTTTGTAGAAAATTTGAGTAGAACATAAAACCACATGTTATGTACATAAAAGAATGACAAAATATTATTTAATAATACAAAACAAAATTTTAGTAAAAAGGAAAGAAAAGTAAGTTCATAGAACTAGTAAGAGTAATAATTCCCATGAGGTTGTTGTCGTATTTCATAGATGTAACACATGAGCCTGATGATGCTGTAAGTAATACTTTATCTGGATAGAATGCTTCAAAAATAGTAAGTGAACCAGATGAATCTGATGTGCAGACACAGTCAACAAATGAAATTGGTGAAATCCATGAACAAATCATACTGATATCACGTAAAATACGAATAGATTTATCAACTGTGCCGTTGACTGTGATGATGTAAAAATGTGTTGATGTAGCACACAAAATAAATCCAAATTCACTTGTAATATCAATACACTTAACAAAACCTTCGACATGGATTGTGTTGATGATGTTGCCGTCGAAAATAGAATAAATAGACAAAAAACTATCAGCGGTAGCTGTAACAACAATACCAAATTTGTCTGATGTCTTGATGAAAACAATTTCGTCGCAGAAAACATTAAATCGACGAATGAGTTTGTCTGATTTGTATACTTTGACAATGCCGTTAAGTGTGGCTGTTGTGATAGTCTTGTAATCGTGATCAATAAATTTGATGTCTTCTGTTTCTTTGATTTCGATGTTTTGATGTTTGTAATGAAAATGCAATGTGTGTGAATTGTCTAAGTAAACAAAACTAAAATATGATGATGTTAAAAATTTTGCTGATTCAACATCAAAAGTCTTGTCAATTGAAATGTGTTTGTTGACAAGATCTGATGTTAAAATACAAAGTTTGTTGTCTGTTGTCAAAACAACAATCTTCTGAATGTTGTTTTCAAAGAAAATCTCTGATGTAACAAAATTACAATTATTACTACTATTAGTATTGTTAATATTGTTATTATTACTATTATTATGAGAGAAAAATTGTGAAAATGATAATGATCGAAAGATTTCTAAATCTGAAAATGGTGTTGAAAATTGATCAATATTGATCTTTTCGGTAAATATCTGTGGAGGAACAATTCCTAATGTAGACATAAGTTCTTTTGCCATGTTAGTCTCGTTATCGCTGATTTTAGACCATGCATCTTCATACAAAAATGGTAAGAAAACATTGTAGCGTTCAATTGCGGATTTACCTCGTTGTGCAAAGCCAAAATTAGAATCAACCCAGTTGCAGATTTCGAGCTTCATGCCACTGGAATTCAAGACTTTTCGATTGTTGTAGACCCATTCGATATAATCATTAAATTTGTTTTCAAAGCCTTTGAATGCTTCTGGAAGTGTGAAAAACTCGGGTGTTGCTTCTCGGTCTTCGTTCGTTGTCTTGATAAGATTACAATAATTGGAAATACTTGTGAACAAGAATTCTTCATCTTCAACTTTGTTTTCATGCAAGATTTTGTTAAGACTTAAAAATGGTTCGATTCGATACAAGAAACTACCAACAAAAATGGGTGATGACATAGGAACTCCTAAATTGAATCGATCTTCACTTTTGTCTTCTAATTGGTTCTTGAAGAATTTTTGTTTATCTGGTGTTTGTGCAATGATTGGAAGTCGGAAATCGCGTTTTGTATATTGACCATCGAAATTCATTTCAAGAATAGGGAAGAAAGGATACAACTTGTAATCTGAAAATGTACGACCTGAAAACAAATTTAATTTGAGCAAAAATTCAAATGTTGAGATTTGACTACTTTGGAACTGATGAAGAAGATCTTGTTCTTTAACAAATTCTTTGTATGGAACATTTTGGATAATACATTTCTTAGAAAACTTAAAATCTTTCAATAAATTGAAGAAAACACTGTTCTTATGTGGTGAAAAATCAATAAAATACCTTTTCCCTGTTTTAAGATAAATCTCAACTCCTGTTTGAATATGCATTGGAGAACGCCAAAGAATAGCTTGAACATCGCTTGGATCGATTTTAACTTTCTTTCCATCATAATATAAAATAAGTTTCTTGTCTTCAACATAAACATAAATTTCATATTCTTTAAGAAGTTTGATTCGACGACCTTGAACAAAATTAGATGGTTCTTGAAATTCTTCATGGAAATGATCATGTGAAATGATTCGTTTCATTTGACAACAATCAAAATTATTAAGATGTTTCAATGATTTCTTCATTTCGGTTTGATCTTGAACAATGTTATTAGAAATTCGTTCATTGATTACCTTGATTTCATCATAGTATTTAAATGATGGATCGGTCAAATGATTGAGTCGACTGTTAATTTCGTTCAAAACAAAATCAAAGTTGTCAAAAAACGAATGAATAATTGAACAAATACTTTTCAGTTTATCAAAACGTTCTGAAAGAAAGCCTTGTAAAACTAAAAACTCTCGTTCTGAAACAATCTTAAGAATCAATGATTTCTTCTCAAAGTTGCCGCGTGGATATCGAGAAATCAACTGAATAACATGAAGAATTGGTGTGAAAAGTGGTGTTTTGTCTAACAAATCTAACAAAATGTTCAATATATATTGTTGACTGTTAGGAATGTTTGTGTTATCTGCTAAATGTAATCGATATGAGCAATGTAATTTATTTGGAAGATAAAATGCATTTTTGATCTGATTGAAACTTGTTAATTTTTGAAATCTGTTTGGAAGTTTACAATTCTTCCAATCGTCATGAAACTTAGAATCAAATCCAATAGATATCAATGAATCATTGTGTAATGACCGAGTCAATCGCATAAACAATGTTGAGAAACAGAATGAAATCAAAAATGGCATAGATTTGCTATCACTTTTAAGACAATCATACAAACGCTTAGTAATTAATGCTTTGATTTTAATAACTTGGAAGTTTGTTGTGATTCGCAAGACATCTAAATGTGAAAATATCCTTTCAGTAACTTCGGAATCGAAATCCGACAAAATCAAGTTAGATAAAACATCTGATGATCGTGGATGCAATGTTGGATCAACTTGTAATGCAAATAAGATAAACCAAATGTACCAATGTGAATGTGATGTGATTTCTTTACAATTATCTTTGTTTGTTGTTAAATGTTCATATTTTTCTAAAATAGATTTTTGTGTTTCTGATGAACTTCGTAATGAAACAATCAAGATAATTGGAAATGCGGATAATGGATTTAATTCGCCTTCGAATGAACAGATGTCTTCGTATTTGATGTCTTGAGGAATGTGGTATCCAAGCAAAATACTCTGTTTGTAAAGTTCCGATGGATAGAAAACTTGGATAGAATATAAAAAAATGAAAATAAATTCTTTCTGGTTTTGAAGACTAACTAAATGCATCATTTGTGTGACATCAATTGGACATTTCCTGTGATAATGAAGAAGTGTTGGTAATAAACCAAGAATTCGACTTGTCAATGTTTTGTTTTCACAGAAAATTCCATGTGAAATAAACAATTCGATCAAATCATCATTGTAAAAATTTGGTGATAATTCACTAATCAATCTATCAAAGAAGAATAAAATCATGTTCAAGTCTAATCCATTTTTAGAAATGTTTTGTTTCTTCATTTCTATCGATTTGTCACTTGACTGTGAAATCCTTTTAGTCTTTTCATTCAACTGGAAATTATCATTTTTATTTGTCACTTTTTGTACATTATTTTCATTGTTGTTTGAATCCTTTTCATTTTGAAGATTTTCACTTTCTGTTACTTTTTCACTTAAAGATTTTTGATCAAGATCACTTTTATTATCTTGATTTTCGGAAATTTCTATCACTTTTTCTTCTAAATTAGATTTTTCATTTTGAATTATTTTGTTTTCATCTAAAATATTTTGATGATTTGTCACTTTTTGATCTAAATTATTATCATTTTGAGAATTTTTGTTTTCTAAAATATTTTGTTTTTCTGTCACTTTTTGATCATTTGTCACTTTTTCATTTTGAAGATTATTATTTTTATCAAATTCTATTTCTTTCATTTCATTATACATTTCATTTGGATTCTCATAATCGTTGTTTTCTTCTTTTATTTCTTTCACTTTTGTTTTCTTTTCATCAGGTAAAAAGAAATATTTCCTGTAAACAGACAAAATCTTATTATAAAAATCAATATTCAATATTTTGTCATTTTCTCTAATTATCTCTATCAATGCAGTAGACCAATGACTCAGCACTTTCTGTATTGTCGAAGGTGGACTTTTTGCCCATAATTCGCCATTCATCAAAATTTTGTTTACAAAAACCGCCAATTCATCATTAGTCGTAAACAAATCAATCAAATTATAAAATCTTCTATACAACTGGTAAGTCAGTATTTCTGACGGTGACTTTGCCAAATAAAATGGAATTTCGTCAATTACTGTCAAAATTTGTTTTCCAAAACAATAAAAAATGAAATCAACCAAAACACAAGAATAATCCTTTGGTGAATTCTCAAGTTTTCCAAATACAGGGACAAAAGAAATCATTGGTATATAATTACTGAAAATATCATTAATGTTTGGCATGATTTTATGTACATTTTGTAAACCAAACAATTCTTGGATTTGAACAGATGTTTTTTGTTTTTTATCTGTTGGATTTTTTTCTTTTATATTGAAAGAAAACAAAACAGGAACATTAGGTAAAACAAAGTCCAATGAATTCAAAGCAACAGTATCTGATTCTTCACTTGAAATAACTTTGGAATAACAATTAACAGCAGATATTTGATAAGAACAAATTAATTTTTCAGTGTCAATTTGATTAATTTCACAATTATTTCCGAAATTTATTGAAAATAAATCATCTTGATCTAAACAACTATCTATTGTTGATGACTGTGGTTTGTTCTGATTCAATCTTGCAGTAATTCGAACATTCTTTTTATCAGGAACTCTTCTAAAAACAATTGCAATGCAATTCCAATTTGAATTGTCAAGTTCCGCTATTTGTAGTTCAGCAGATTTTTCTCCTAAATTAATTTCAAAATAAACATGACTTTGTCTAATAGAAATTTCGAAAAAGTGACGTCCATCTGAATAATTTCCTCTCAAAATTGACAGTTTTTTGTTTAACGGATTTGCCAACGCTTGATCCACTTTTATCCAAAAAGAAATAGTGTTTTCTGTGAAGAAATTTTTCTTGTTCAGATTGGATACACTCCAAAAAGTCTTGTTCATGGCAATTGGATACAAAATTGAAGGTAAATTTTGGATAGTTTTGATTGTCAAGAAAAATTGACTCAAAAATTGAAAAACTAATGGGTTAAACTTACCATCTTTCGGGTTCATGATATTTAATATCCTTTGTGCAACAATTGTAGATGATTTAATCGAAATAAGTTTGTTGAACAAAGGCATAATCATGTTAATTATCTCTGATTCATCGGAAAAGTTGTCAATTTCGCATCCTCTGAAGAAGAATGAGTTTGGAAAGTTCGATACCATGTCACAAAGTATCAAATCTACCTCTCCTTTGTGGATCATCAATAGATTATACGATGAATAATTAATAAGATCGTTTAAGAGCTTGAAAAGCTCCTTAAAATGCTTCCCACATGAATAGACAGAGAACATTAAGGTCAAAACTGACGGTTTTCGGATCAATGACAAAAAATTTTGATGAACAGATTGAGATGCTGAAAGAAAACAGAGTAATTTCTGTTTAATAGCATCAGATAACTCAGGTCCTTCCAATTGGCGTATGATTTTTGACACTTTTGTTGTAGTAATTAAATCATATTCGAAATCCAAGTGGTAAAGGAACATTTGAAGGGACAACTGCATGATTTGTGTCAAGAAGCTTTGACTTGGAAACGCTTCAGTGTATTCTATTGCGTTTTTAAGAACATTTTCGCAATATAATGCCAAAGATGTGTTTAAAGGAATAGAATCACCAACAGAAGCCAATAATCTTGAAGCCAATGATGAAGTATAAGATGTACTTGTATTATACTTTAACGTTTTCAACGCATTTGCTACGAAATCTGTTGTTTGTTCAATTTCAGAGCTGGCCACTTGAAAAACCGATCGGAGCTTCTCAAAAACTAGATCCGAAAAGTGTGGCTCGAAAAATGCTGTTAAAAAGCAAGTTGAAAAGTATTTTGAGGAATAACTTGCTTCTGTTATTGCCGGGCTATTCATTATAGAGTATATCAATACGAAAATGGAAGATCTTGCCTTGATAGCGATTTCTCTGTAATCTTCCGAAATTTCGTAAATTTTTCTTAATTTGTGTTCAACTTCGATGAATAATGTGAAATGGCGGTCTTCAAAGACTACACCATTCTTTATCATCGATTGTATCCTCAAACAAAGCTCTGAAAAAAGAAATTGATGATTAACATGTTTTTCCAAGACTTTTGGAAGCATCGTAGGCATCTTTGCAACAACTGTTTGCAATGCAAGTTGTCTGATGAACGCAATGTACTCGTAATCCTTTGGAGGACAAAACATATGAATCGAAGGGTCAAAAATTCGATAGTTTATGATCGCATCGAAGATACCGGTCGAAAAACCTTTTGATTCTTGCAAAAGAAGGAGAAAACAAAGATATGGTTGTACATCATCGTTCAAAAATCCATATTTGCTCATATTTGAGAAGAAAATGTCCGTTAAATAGGATTTTGCGGACTGGAAGACCATTTGAACAAGTTTGATCTTTTCATAAAAGTTTTCATTGAAAATTGAAGAATAATTTAAACAAGAATTGATTCCAGGGACTTTTGTATCGAATATGGACTGATATTCTACATTGTGCTGGAAATCTGTGGATGAATATGATGGTTTCTCAGTAAATTCTGAAAATTCTAAATTTGTTGATTCAGGAATTTTAAATTTTCCTGGGTTACTGTTCGACACATCTTGTATACTTGATACTAATGATAAAAATAGAGCTGATAAGCACTCATTTTGCTTTCTATATGTGATTTCTGAAAAACATTTGTAAATTGAGATTTCAAATAGGTTTAATCTGTTCTGTACTATCTGACATACAACTGTATCATCGTATGTATAGCTTTTTTGATTGTAAATGTGAATTATATCTGAAATTTTTTCTAAAATGTGCTCTGCGTATGAATTTGACTTGCTATTGTAGAACTTTTGGCATAACTTGCATAAACATGAAAAGAATTTGTCGTTGTCTTCTGATAATTTGGAAAGCTTTTCAACTATTTTCGTAATAATTTCTCTATTCGAGGTTTCTTTCAAATGATCTATCATATTTTCTATTACAAATAATAGTAAGGTCTGTGCATCTGATTTTTTCGAAGATTCATCAAATAAAATTAAACTTTGATAAATTTCATTGAATTTTGCAAGGTCAGAGTCTGAAAATATGTATGCAAATGAGTTCTTGACAATAACAGGAAATGATAAATCAATAAATTTTTGCTCTGTGCCAAAAGAATTTCGAAATATTTGTAATTCTGAATCAGAAAAAGTGAATTTTGATTTTAAAGGTGTATCATTGATGGAAATATACGTTTTGGATGGCAAACTATCAATGAAAGATTTGATTTCAGAAGATGATAAAAGCGGAAGTTGCCAATTTGAAGCGTATTTCAGAAATGAATCATCATCAGTCTCTGGAGTATATTCGTGCTCAAAGATTGATAGAAGATTCTTCACTTGATGCCGAAATTCTTTTAAAAACAAGCACATTGATGTAATTGTCAAAACCTTATTTCGATAAGATTCGAAATCATAAATTTTGCATTTCGTTTGAACTAGAGTATAAAATATATTCTTAAGATTTGAACCGCAATTGAAATTTTCAAAAGTGACAACTTTTTTGGTTTACGACTTTGATTATTCCTGCTCTCATGAAATATAATTTAGCCGGATAATTATAGAGCATCTTATTATAAAATACCTAATTTGATAATATATCATCAATAGTGAGTTAATCTCATAGATTAGATCATATTGTTGCAATAAGCTAGCAAACAATGTGCATTTGCATAAATTAGTGAAATTTTGAATAATGTATGAGCGTTCACATATTTGTTTGCCTTCGCCAGCTTAATATTCGCCATTTAACATAGCAATATTTTCCATCCTTAAAATTAAGTAACCACATATCAAAATCTCCATAATTGATAGGTAGAAGTCATTGTTATGTAGTTTTAATGATAACAGCAAAAAAATTATTGAAAAATTATCTAATTTTTCCTCATTGGACATCATGAATATGAAACTTTATAGACGAGAATATATTTTGTATCTTCCTTAATAAATATTGGCAATATAAAAAACTAGATAATATATTGGATGAATAATTTCTTAAAAAGGATAGTATAATGTCATTGATAAGTGCTAAAACAACTGTTTACTAGTTTAGCTTGAAATTAATTCACGACGATCTTGGCAGACGACGCAATGCATGCAGCATGTTGTGATTAAGCAGTCTGCAACGTTAGAGCCCTCTTCACCTCTCTTTTTGAGAACGGACTTGCGAACCCAGTAAGGGTGGACAATCATGAAGTAATGGCAAAGTGTGCATTCTTCATCACGAACCTTGGCCCAGTTCTCTGCGTTAGCCCATGGAATGCAGATGCATGTTAAGAGGCATCCAACAATGTCCTTAAAGCATCCAAAAAGGCCGCCTTCGTAATCGTGCATTTATGGAACTGAATCTTTTCAATTGAAAATTGAAAAAGCAAGAAAATTGAGAACTCTGGTTGAACTCATATGGAAATTTGTACTACTTATTAATTCTTTTTATACATGGCACGGCGGGCGCAAAAAGTGACAAAATAGAATACCTATGGTGGCAAGACAAAGGAAACATTTTTGTAAGGCAAACATTATATCAAATACCTTTACTTTGTAATAAGAAATATAATTATCACGAAATTACAAATAAATATTGTTTAATATAATTAATAGCAAAATTCTTTTTTATTATTTCCCTTAAGACCTTACTTATTAAGTATACGTATAACAAGCTTGTATTGCATGTATTAGTTAATAGAACAAAAGAAAATGAGCTCAAATGAAAAAAATTTTCATGCTATTTTGGAAATATGCATATTCGAAGTATGAGAGTTGTAAACACTGAGAATTTTAAGCTTTGGTTGATGATAGTCTTTAATTTTTCTTGAAGTAGTAAATTATTTGATATGAAAATTTAATGGCCAGCATAATCAATCGTGCGTTTCGTTTCTTGATTGAGAAACGATGATTGTGTGCTAATGAATTATTGCGTCTGACAGGTTATGATTATGGATACCTGAAATTAAGCTTTTATGGGAAACATCACCGAGCGCCATTTGGCGCCCCTAATGCTGTTTCTATCGGTATGATTAAGGAGCTTTCTTATGCACTTTCATCACTTGAACTTGAACGCTACAAGATATATGCCCCCCCTCCCAATGGGAGATGTGAGCAAAAATTGAAATGTTTACATTGATTTTTGAATACTTTACAAGCGCCCCTCCCAGTGGGCGCGGGCGCAAGTGATCCGGTCAAAAAAAATCATAAAAATATTCAAAATTGCGATTTTAATAGATGTTTAAGAAGTAAATTTATTAATAACGATATTTCATAGTACAAAATGTGTTCAACCTCTTCGTAAATCATTCAAAAAAATCAAAAGAATTTCCAAAATTTAGGGTTGTTAGATTCCCGACGATAGGTGTCTTGGAAGATTTGCCTGGTGTCATCATAGTGTCTTTAAATCAAAAATTTTATTTTGGAGTTAGTTTTATTGATTTTTCAATAAAAAACATTTCTAAAATAAGAAAATAAAACGATAAAATATTTATATTTTAAATAAGGATCTTATATATTTAAAATAAATATCATTTTATTTTTTTCATTGGTGTCTGTCAAACCATAATACACTATTCAAAAATTCAATGTGTCTTGCGGTTTCAAAAGACACCTTCAAATTGAACGATAGCACAGACACTAATGAATTTTACCCATTTTATTTAGTTTTTACCCTTTTTATTTTTAAGAATTAATGACTGAAACAGCCGTTTTGCTATGACCTTAATCACTTTTATTTATTATTTTAAATATTATTTAATTTTATTATTTGAATAGGCCAACTTATATTTGAAAAGCTCAATTTGAGACCACTTAATACATTGAAATATCATAAATATTGAAATATTAAAAAGTGTATTTCAAAATATTGAAATTATAAAAATTTATAATACTGAAATTGAGACAAATTAATAAATTCAATGTGTTTTTTTTTGAAATAACTCTCAAATATTATTTTTTTGTTTATTTAATGATGAATAAATATGATTGCTTTAGTCAATCATAAAAACTAATTTAAGTTTAAAATAATGAAAGGATAATTTGATCGTTTTTTAAAATACAATTATTTTTGATGATTTGCAAGAATCTTTGAAAAGAATATAATATAGGTTCTATTTTTGTAAAATTTATCCAAATCATGTATTACATAAATTACGATTAAAACGATGAAAGAACCAAAAAGTGTGTTTTGTGTTTTGTTGTTGCGTGTTGGATGCGGGATCCTGTTATTTCAGAAATCGACAAAAATTTGGAAATTTAATTTCCGAAATCGAAATTATATTAATGTTTTTAATATTCTTATATCAAAAGGATTAGAGTTCATTAAGAGAAAAACAATTCTTCTTCTTCAATCTATTGGCGCATTTATTTCTACACGCCAATAAGGAAGGGAAAATTATAAGACACCATGGTGTCTTCAAAACGCTAATTTTTGATATTTTTAACAACCCTACCAAAATTCAATTTTTTTAGTAAAATTTATATTTTTTTCTATCGTCTCCTCCCCACCAGTGGGAGCCACCGGAGGCGCGGGCGGCGCCGCTGGCGCCAAAAAAGTAGCGCCCATCGTGCCATGTATAATTCTTTTTATTATTTGATGACAAAATTTTCAATTACCAAAAGTGTAAAAGTCATAAATTGCAGTGTCTATATTGCGCATTTAATTTTGTAACTGATTTTATTTTCCTAAATTAAAAAAAAAAAAAAAAAGGTAGTGGGGCTTCCAGGCACTTCGTGCCTTCTAGCCCTGAGGATGAATGAGTATAATGAAGTTTTTTTTTTCTTGGGGGATGGCTTCCAGGCACTTCGTGCCTTCTAGCCCCCGAAGATGTTTAGTATAAATGAAGTTTTTATTCGGAGGGCTTCCAGGCGCGTTACGCCCTGAAGATGTTTAGTATAAATGAAGTTTTTATTCGGAAAATTGTTAGTCTTCTTGGTCGAAAACATTATATAATGTTTCACTTTTCACAAATTATATATGTTTTCATGTTTTGTCAAGATTTCATCGTAAATGTTTTGTCAAGACTTCTTCGTAAATGTTTTGTCAAGACTTCTTCGTAAATGTTTTGTCAAGACTTCTTCGTAAATGTTTTGTCAAGACTTCTTCGTAAATGTTTTGTCAAGACTTCTTCGTAAATGTTTTGTCAAGACTTCTTCGTAAATGTTTTGTCAAGACTTCTTCGTAAATGTTTTGTCAAGACTTCTTCGTAAAATCAGACAAAAATAATGTTTAGGGTAGAAGGTTAGATATAACCTCTTTCTAACCTTTTCTACCCTCTTGAATTTGTCAAAGATTTCTTCGTCATAGGCACGGAGATAGGACGGTTATTTTACAAAAAATACAACACTTTGACCGAGTAGTTTTTGTGCTGAACAAAAGTGTCATATAAACATCTGTCAAAAACCGTTTTTTACTTCACTTAAATGCCACGTAAGCTACGTAAGAATATACGTAAGAGGAAGAGAGCATTGAAACATCCAATAGTAAAACTAACACCACACAACAGTTGCAACAACAAATGCTGAATGACCCCACTATGTTGCAACAAATGTCAAGCAACCCTATGCTTTTAAACCGAGTTATTGGTGCACAGAGTGGAGTTTAAGAGCGGCACTTTTAGCGAAAATGGCAGGCTATGTGGAGCTGCAGACGGAACAGCTTATAACCCTCAAAGTCAAATGAATTTGAGTTCACTCAAAAATCATAACAGATGTCAAAAAGTCAAACATAGACATACAGAAACAAATAAGTGAAAACGAAAAGAAACTAGAATATGACAGACACACAAAGAAACTCAATGAGTTAAACGTAGAGAAAAGAAGAAAGAAGAACAACTGAAAGAACTAAGTACAGAGGAATATGCGAAAAAAGTGTCAGAAAAAGCAGCAGAAGTAGCAAAAATGGAACAAGATGTTTATAATTTGAAAAACCATACTACTCAATATAAAGTACTGAAAGATGAAGAGATAAAACAAAAAGCCCTGAAGACATATTGATAGCGATGAGTATAAAAAAGAAGTTGAAGCAAATGTAAAGGCAGAAAAACTTTTACAGTTGAAAACCAAACCGTACAGTATGAAAACTTAGCACAAGAAAGTAAAAATAACGACGCAGCCATGCAAAGGCAATGAAAAGCGCAGAATATATAAAAGCTAATAATGACTGGTTAGATGCCCAAGCCAACGCCAAAGCAGCCCAACTTATAGGTCAATAAGGACAAAAATACAAGCGGATGAAGACAGTTCAAATGAAGCTTTAATGAATGCTGACTTTAAGAACGCCTTCGAAGCTCTTCATAGTAAGGTGAAACTAGTGAACGACTTCTCATCTGGAAAGAAACTGAAGTCTGAAGGTTTCGACAACGAGTTAAGAGAAGTAGCACAAAATATGACGAAAATAACAGATGCAGCAACGAGACAGGCAGTTCAAAGTGCCTATGACGCCGTTAGAGCAACTGTTGTGGAAAGTCAAGAAAAAGAGTTACAACAGACCAAAACAGACCTAGTAAATGCTTTCTTAAGAACGAAAAGTCAGGTAGGACATTATGCTGCAGATGGAACATATGTGCCAGCTGGTGGAACTTATATACCACCAAACCCTCCAAGAGAAGCACCTGCACCAGGACTACCTAAAACATTTGCATCGTCACATGGACACAGACACAGGCATGCAACAAAACCAACACAACAACCAACAGTTCAAAATCCAGCACCACAACAACAACCAAAACCAACAGTTCAAAACCCTGCACAGCAACCAACAGTTCAAAATCCAGCACCTGCACCACAACCAAAACCAGCACAACAACCACAAACAGAGCAAGGACATAAAAGAAGTAGAGAACAAGGAAACCAAGAATTCTTAAAAATGCTTAAAGAAGAGTGTGGTTTCCCAGATACTGTTGACTTTAGTGACAGATATAAAGAAGCTATTAGAAAGTTCAAGGAAGGAAATACTGACCCGAACCTATTTAGCTTTATGGTTCAGCACCAAATGGGATATAATTTCAAACCTGGAAAATACAAGCTCGCTAAGGGATATGATTTAATAGCATATCATCCAAATGACATGGATGAATTTACTCCAAGATATTTGGTGTCAGAGATAAATGATAATTCAATTTCTTCATGAAACGCGTAAAAAATAGAGACGGAACGAAAGAAGAAAGGGTTTAATGCGGATGGCTTAAATAGGGAACTTGTTAAAAACGGTCTCGGAATATATGAAATGCCACCAGATGAGGTACAAGAAACTCCACAGGAAGAAGTTCAGATACAACCAGACATGGAAGAAATAGTTCAGCAACAACAGCTAGAAGAGCCTGAAGGAAACGAACAAGTCCCTCCTTTGGAAACTAACTTCACAGAACTAGATGAAGATTTGGAACAGCCGAAAAATCTTGACCCTCAACAAGAGTATGCGGAGAATATGTATTTCCAAGAGTCTAAAAAAAATTCGGCTGACTAAGTAGAAGAATATCGAAAAATGTTTGCCGACATACAAAAGACTCCAACATCAGATGAAAATATCCAGCATAGAATGGAAGAACTGAAAAAAAAATGTACACAAATACAACAACCCTTTTTACTTACGAGCATTTAACGTTCATCTTCGATGAACTCGGTGAAAATAAAAGTTAAATTTCAAGAAAACATATAGAAATGAAACATTGTTTAAAGTTCATTCAGAACCTAACCAAGATGGAAACAAACCTACTTTGTTTTCTGCAGACGATGGAACTACAATGAGATGGGTCATAAAGCTAATCCGGATAGGTGGTTCATAAACTTACAACCACAATTCCAAGAAGTTGTAGACGCAATGGAAGTCAATGTGAACCAAATATAGCGGTATTTTCAGCGCGGCTTTAATGCCATTGAAGATATGAAAGATGCAGATTTTTTGGACCAGTATGAAATGAACATGGCTGATGGAAATATAACACTACGTTCTAGAACATTTATCTCAAAGAACTACACAGAACCATAAAGATGGTATATTTGGTGAAGAGTTTAGAAAGAAAGTTAGGGAGAGAGAAGGAAGAGAACCTATTGTACATGACCTTGCAAATGAAAGTTTACAAAATGTCATAAAAATTACTTTGCAGACAATGAACTGAGAAGGGATGAATATTTAAGAAAACTCAAATGGACAGTACCAAATGAAATGTTAGTATTGAAAAACATGTTTCTTGACAAAATAAAACCAACTACAGAAATAAACGACGCAAGACTGAAAGATTGGTAAAGCTTTCCCATTCACAAAAGATATAGTTGGTAACATGGAAAGAAAACCAGAATGGCTACAAAAACATATATTTGGAAACGAGCTTATTCCATATGGACAGGCACTGTTTGAAGAGCTTGAACCGAAAATCAGGAAAGAGTCATGCAAACAATACGCAAAGACTCAAATACAAACTATGACAAACTCTTTCTAGGATATTGGTTACCTGAGATGGGCGACCAGAGCCCAAAGGCAAAAGACATGGGAAATTACAACATACTAGGTGACATGAGGCAAAGATGCAACACTTCAAGCAGAGGGCAAGTTACCAAAGCGACACCAAAGAAGAAGAGTAGAACAAAGTGAAAGTAGTGAAGAAGTAACTTCATCTAGTGAAAGTAGTGGCAATGAAGGAAAAAGAAGAGTAAAAACTCAGTCAGGAAGAAAGTAAAGCTTGGTCCACGTGGTTCTATTATGACACATAAACCCAACTATTCTATATTTTTACCCATATGAAATGTACGCCGCTCAGAATATAACGCCAACAGTTTTGGATGCCATGAATGAAATGTTTCCGAATGTATAACGAATGCGACAATGCCATTAGAAGGTCAGAAATAGTTCCTGGAACTTACGAATATACAACTGCTGTTTCTTATGGAAACGTAGGTGAGTTTGGAGATTCTTCAACAACAGTAGATATTGCTTGCGACAGTTTCATATAATTTCTATTGACAACTCATTCTTATACGTGGAACAAGACATTGAAATAAAACCTTCTGCCAAGTTGTCTGACAAGAAAGGTTGCAATGGAATTTTCTATGTCGGATACCAATATGCTCCAGAAGTTTTCATGGGATATAAGATATATTCTAACTCTGACTTAGTTCAAAACGTAACATGGGCAACTATGAATGGTTCGCTTTGAGAAACTCAGTACAAACACAAGCGAGAGAACAAACAGACCAGTATGCAACTATTGAGAAAATAAGAAGATTGACCCTAACGTTCCAGGAGTTTATGTTAACCTTTCTGGACAAAATGCAGCAGCAGTAACCAAAGTAAAATTGAAACTTAGAGTTCCTTTGTCATCTTCCTCATCTTCAGGTTTTTAAGATACTTGCCAACTGGGCAGGAAAAATTTCTATCGAACTTACTCCAAGCAAAAATAACTTAGTCATTGCACCAACACAAGACCCATTCACTCTTACAGAAGTAGTGGGAACAAATAAAATGTCATTCGCCGACTTTTGCAAAAACAAAGTTGACTAGACTTTGGTTTCTCAACCTCAACACTGAAGTAAACTATTATTTCAATGCTGCTGGAGATCTTGGACCCAGTTAAGTTCACATGCGAAAAGTTTGAATGCAAGAGAATAGAAAGCAGACTTGCAGTCTATATGTTGGACCCAGATATTCAAATGCTTTAGCTGCCAAATATATTGCAGTTCCACTTATGTTCCCTATACACCAAATATCTGTCAAAGACTTTGCAGGTGAAGTTGGAAACCAAAGTGCTGACCCAGGTGCAAGAACGGATATTGCTTTAACAAACTGCAATGAAACATGCAGATACTATGTTTGTACTGTTCAGACGAACTATAAATGACTATTCTTGTTTCTACAACCCTGGTATAAATATCATATAAACATAGATGGCAACAAATATATCCAAGGAAGAATATTCTACAGTTGAGGATATGAGGTCATACAACTTGACATTAGATGCTATGAACTTTAACAACAACTTCACAAACACCATTAACCCTGAAATGCAAAGTTCTATTATGCCATATGTGAAAGTATGGACTCATACAGGAGGTCAAAAAACTCAATATACAAATGGAGACCGTTCAAACTTTTGGCTTGGCATTCCATTTGCTGACTCAGAAGACTTTATGGGTGGTATTTCAACTGTTGGTACTGTACAAATACAATATACTGGTGACAGAGACGGTCCAAGAAACTGAGAGCAAAGAAGTTTACAAAACAATGCACTTTCACGGAAGATGCTCTTTTGAAGATTCGTTCGATAAACTGCTGGCTCCTCATAGATTGGCATAACGACAGCTTCCATCGAGCAGATTTTGGCAGCAGTCAGTAAGTTGTTCTTGAACTGACTTCTCTCCGTCAAATATTGACAGTACGCCGATTTTGACATAATATTGTAAGATAAACTTACCTTTAGAAATATCTGTAAGTTTTGTTGTTATATTTTGTCAAGTCAAGAACTTTCACCATTTCAGTTATACCAACTTTCTTTTGCTTTATGGAAATATTTTGGTTCAGCAAATATTGCTATTCTATAACATTTACCATTGTTTGTATAAGAACTATTCTGTCAATGTATTGTAGTTTGTGTGTGTAAACTTTGTTCTGCTTCAATCGAAGAGATACTCGAATACGTCCATCTTTTTATTCTAAGTAAAATGTCATTTCCGAAAAAAAGAAGCGTGAGTGTTTCAAAAGGTTTAATGGCGTGGCAGATGTGAAGTTAAATTCACCAACTCAAACAAACAGTCAAAGTGTTGTTGTCAATGTCAAAGACAGAGATGTTGAAGTGGGGAAACCATACGAAGACGAAGATGGTAAAACATTGTTCCTGTAAAAGAACAACCAACATATCCTGAAGTTAGCAGAGACTTAAGTTCTGTTTGCAGATATTCGAAACGACTACCAACAACTGAAAGACAAACTTCAAACTCAGGAGAAGATTTGTCAAGCTTTAAGTATAATGTTAAACTTGGTCGAACACAACCCTGTAAAAGTGAACTCATATTGTCATTGACCTCATGAAGTTTTGAAAGAACTATTGAAACTTTGACAGAGGCAGACGATATAAACATCAAAGAAATAGAACCCGACTTAGTTTGCTGTGGTGTTTCATATAATGTCATTGACAAGATATACGTTATGAAAGGAGGTGAAACGTTGAACTTAAAATATAGTTCCCAGACGTTATAAAAATATTTGACGACCACAACATTTCATTAATATTTGCTAAGTAAAATGGCAGAAGACATAGTGGTTTATACTATTACGACTAAAACCCTGAGTCATATAATTCTATAACAACAAACTTACAAAGTCCTCAAGGACGATATTGTAAACTAACTTTAAACACAATGACGACTAAAGCCTGTTTTGCTCTTTTGACACCAGAAGACTTTATTGTTGTGAATGGTAAAAAATACTCCTTTGAAGATACTTACTCAGATATACCACCAACAGGTTTTGTTGACTTATTTAATACTTTACGTACGAGTGTAACATGTGCTGCAACTAGAGCAGGTTTCATTATGTTTGGATGTCCGACTGAGTTTACTATAAACAATATGAGCTATAATACAAAACTTATTTCTGGTTTTTACTACCAACAGTTTCCTATAACAGGAAAAGGTGTCATACAAGGAATGTCTATTCCATTGACATTAAGCACACCAATCTTATATATTGTTTCAAACTTAGGTTCAAAGTGTTATTCGAATGTCGACAGAAACTATTATGACCAAAAGATACTTATGCGTATAAACAACACTTTCTCTGCTGGTTTGCCTATTGTTCATTCGAATGCAGAATTTTCAACCTTAGTGAACTCAAACACATTGGCAAGTATAACGTTGACATTAGTTGACGCAA